TCTACACATTCACGCAAGGTGACGTGGGCGATGAGCGGGCCTGCTAGAAATCAACGTGAGGAACCAGCAGCATCTGTGTCAAATCATGCGCATTTTCATGTCATCGAGTTCTCTCCACCATGATCCGACGTTGACACTAACGCTCACATCTTTCGCATCTCGCTAGTGATCYCCTCATCACGATGCTCTGCATGAACAGAAGCTCCCTTCTCTTTGCCAACAGCGATATCGGTACCACTTCCGCTCTCCACATCCTTCATCTGAGAACCTTGCAATCCGAGCGTGGACTCAAAAGTGCGATCAATGACGTCGCGATAGGCGGGAACGAAGTTCACGCAGATGGCGTAGCTCAAGGGGACCAGGAAGAAGCCAAGGGGAACGGCCATCGCGATGGCTGTGCCGCCGTGACCATTCACATCACGCGCATCAGCAGCAGCGCCCATGGCTGGGCTAACGACGGCGCCGCCAGACACACCTGCAATGATGAAACCAGAGCCGCGCTTTGAGTGCTTACCTAATCCGCGCATGCCCAGTGCCACGATCGTCGCGAAGATGATACTCTCCCAAAACAAGGCTGGAGAGAAGGTCAGGACGATAGGTCAGAATGAAGGAGTAAACGGATTCGACTCACTGAGGTACAGCATTATCTATATCATCGAAGACTATGGTCAGTATTGGCTTCGTATTGCGGGGCCTATGGTGGCTGTTACTCACCATGCCAGTGTCGCCGCGCTGCGTAATAGTAGGGGCGAGGAAGACAATGCACCTATATTGCTGTCAGTGATGCAGAATATTGACTGAAAGTGTCGACTGACATTGTCATGTACACCAGAAAGATCCATCTCGGGCGTATGAACCTCATGAGAGCAACACCAACGAAGCGGCCTACTGCAAAGGCAGCTTGTGCTCCGCTTAGAAACCGAGCTGCAGTTGAATCCGATGTTCCGGGGCGAGTGTCTGGCACTTTGTCAGCTAGAGCCATCAACCAGCTAGTGACCCGTGTAATTCACCTTTGACATAGTTGATGAAGAAAGCTAATTTTGAGGTCGTTAGTCAAGCGAGTGTGTGATGATTCGTAGTGTCTTGACTCACTGGCTATTGCCACCTGAGAGCCCGTGTAGCAGAACTGCGCAAATGAAGCGTGGAATAGTCGGTACTGTTTGCTGAACGGCTGGACTGCTGACGGATTTGCCTGTGACTCTTCCGCTTGGAACTCCATATCTGCGTCCGTGATCTCCGGGATTGGCGAGAAGTAGAAAACGATCGCGAGTAGGAACGTGAAGCAAGCCATTGCCAGGTAAACCCATTGCACTGTTCTCAATGACTGGACATCGTCTCCGATATCGTTGAAGAATACATAAGACCCAAGGACCGGCGCAATGACCGTGCCGATTCCATTGAAGGCTTGCGAGAGGTTGATACGCATCTCGGCGTACTTCGGGGGTCCGCATACCGTGATGAAGGGGTCTTATGACGAAGAATAGAAGATCAGCGACGTCTCAGGAGTACTGACAGTCCCCGGAGCGCTTTGCGAGGCAGTAGCGTATCCAATGCGCGTGGATACGGTCGCTCGAGGGCGTCTTTCCATGCTCATTCTTCTTTTTTGTACTTACTTGCAGCGGTCTCAAGGGAGCCAAGGCCGTTTCCAATGATGAACTGGTGGGTATCAGCACCATCACCTCCTCACGCTCATCTACATCACATACAATAGCGGCACAGAATCCACCAAAAGACTTGTAGAGTAGACATGGCCACGCTACTAGGGCTCCTACGGCGTACAGGCATAATCCCCAAATGAAGACAACCTTGTAGCCATAGTGACGGAGTAGCCAATTCGCGTGTCCAAGCGATGCCAGCGGGTATGCTCCGAAGTAGGCTGCTTGAAGACCGGCAGACCTAGCTCTTGTAATTCCGAGAACATTTTGGAAATGCTTGAAAGACGATTAGAAGTTACTCTTGATCCATCGCGCTGGCGAATGCTGGCTGACCTTGTTCAAGGTGTCCAGAAGACCATATGAGAATCCCTAGATTTCAGGAGTCAACGCAGAGTTCGATGTCAGAATGAAGATTCATACCCAGAGGAAGAATAGGATTGTCACAAGCACAAGTGGATCTAKGTGTCGAGTTAGGGAACCGACGCTGAGCTCACAGTATGACCGTGACTAACATATGGATTGCCGCAGCGTGAGCTGCGAGGCCTGAGTCCGTGCGTCATTGCTCGTCTTCAAGACGTTCTTTTTGAAGAGTTTTGCCATAGTGACGAAGGATACGAAACATTCCAATGGCGGATATTCGACAAGTTAAAGACGACCGGCGGCGCGAGCCCAAGTCACGCGGCACCAGAAGGCCCAGAACAGCAGGGATCCACAGCATTTGCAGATAGGAACTCTTGGCTGTGGTGCAACCGAGTATTGAAGTCGCCCTAGACTGAAGCGCTTCCTTGCCGACGTTGCATTTCATCCATCTACCCCGCCGCATTGTCCCCGTGGGGAACTTCTGGGTGTCTCGGCGCTCGGCACATTAGCGAGCGAAATGCACGTCTATTGCGTGGCATTGCACGCATTGCATGGCATGGCATTGCATGGCATGAACGCATCCAATAGCATCGAATGGCACATCTCTGGCTCCAATTGGATGTAACCGAAGAAGGTTTGTGGGTCAATGGGCGTCGTACTAGTCTCGCATCGTCTTTGTTGCGGCTTGTGGCCAATATTGCATAAAGCTGAGGGAACTGTCACATATCTGAGTCTCTAGTACAAGTGCAACTCTCGTCTCTCTAGAAACTTTCAGTGAGTAGGTTCGAAACTTTGCCTACAGTCGCCTCGGTCATCTCTGCGATGCTCAACGGCGCCCTCACAGTAGAAGGAACTCGAGGGGAATCATCGACGTTTCTGTGTGGGAGAGTCGAGATTTTTTGGCCTCGCAAGTCCGAGTCCGAGGGGGGCATTGTTTTGTTTTCAGTCCTGATGAACTTTGGATTCAAAGAGTTGGTTCATAGAGAGACCACTCTGCAACGATACGGCCATTCCGAGCCGCATACGTCCCATAGCAAGACAGGACCAACAGGTGGTTTCATCTTCGACTCGTGTACCGTATTTGTGGCGGCTCCACACGACTGATTTTCCACTATTTCAAGCAAAACTCAGGATAGTCGACATTGTACACTCAGGGTATGCTTGACTGATTTGGACTTACTGTGGACTCGGGTCTTTCCAATGTCTCTCAAATTGAGCGAGAAAGACCGCGGCCCAGAGTGCGAAGCAGGATGTCGCAAGAACCATTCCCTAACTTGCTGCGGTATGGATATCTCTCTCTCGGCCATGCAGATGGCATGGTGATTGACAAGATCACCAAGCGGACAGAAAAGATCAGTCCAGGCGTCTCCGTGAGGCAGGCGGCGCTTGCCCTTCGCTTGTGACGCYAGACAGCGCTTCGACAACAAGCTCGCGCAATGCTCTCTGGCCCTCCTCGCCATCAAAATCGCCTCGAGCAGCAAGTTCTTCGATGCGTCGTCTGAACTCTGGGTCTGGTTCATCCCCAACATCTCCGGCGGCCATTGTACCCACGTTGAGCTGCAGACCCGCTGGAAGAGGCGGTGGGGGATGATTTCCGTCTGAGTCTCCGTTCGCTAGCGAGGACGAAGGTGCGGTTGGAGCATCATCGTTCGTGACGCCTCCCGCTTCTCTGAGGTACGCAGCCACTGCAGGTTGCTCATCTTCGTCTGCAAGTTTCTCCGCAGCAGTCTGGCCCTCGTGGTTGCGGCTATTCATGTCCGCCCCCAGTTCGATCAACACCTTGGCCATGTCAACTTCCTCGACACTAAACAAGGCGGTCTCTCCATCCTCATCCTTGATGTTTGGGTCCACATGATACTCGTTGACCAGTGTTCGCAGTAGAGCGGCATGTCCGTACGACGCCGCTGCGTGCAGGAGACTGTAGCCGTGAGCATCCTGCTTCGACGCAAGGTGTGGATGCAACTGAAGCTGGCTCGTGACGGTATCTGGAGTGTCCGGGACCAGATTAAGCAGCCGGTCGATTGTTGGTGCCTGCTGTGCCATTTCTGGTAATGGGTAGCAGTCAATGCATGTGAGAGGTGTAGTTCTTGGACGGGAGAGAAAAGTGCGGAACACAATTCGCGATCCAAGCTCGAGCACAACTCCAGATGTCCATCTGCACATGTATGTAAGCTGCATCAAGCATCCAATCCAATCAATGCTCGTGCCTTCCCCCTCCCTTCTCATTTCTCTTCTACAATAATAATAGAATAACAACGACTAGCTAACCAAATCCCGTATCGCATCGATTCGACACTACTCTACGTCTGCAGTCCATCGACAAAGCGCATCATGGCATCCCCGGCCGCATCCTCTGAGCTCTCTGAACCACCAGCAGACGAGTCGGACATTGACCACGAACACGATGATGGCGACGTGGATGGCGAAGGGGAGGGAGACGGGGATCTGGATCACGACCAGCGGAGCACCGCCGCGCCATCATCACGGCCCAGCGTCGATATATCGCATACCGATATGGAGCATCTGGCGCCGCCGGCCAAGCGGCGAAAGACTACCTCTGGGCTCGCCTTTGACCGTGCCCCATCATCACATGCGGAAGAGGACGATGACACATTGAGCATCTCGTCGGACGGATACAGCAGTGCGCCCGGTTCTGACGACGAGTACGCGCTGCGGGAACAGGCACAAACACTATGTCTCTGGCGCGACTGTGACTACGGCACCGCCATCAATAACGATGAGCTGGTGCGCCATGTTCAGGGCACCCACTGCGCTACTGGCGGGCCTAAGAGGACAAAGTACGTGTGCGAATGGGGCGAGTGCCAGAAGAAAACGAGCAATCATCCCAGCGGCTACGCGCTCAAGGCGCATATGAGGAGCCATACCAAGGAGAAGCCTTACTATTGCTCCCTGCCGGAATGTGACAAGGCATTTACACGTTCAGATGCCCTTGCCAAACATATGCGCACCGTCCACGAGCCAGAGGCCGCCAAAGGGACCGCGGCTCAAGCCAGCGAAGCTACTCCTCCAGGCAAGAAGGGCAAGGCGAAGCTCACCAATGGTAATACCCCCTCGAAGGCCTTATCGACTCCCTTCCCAGACGCCGGTCTCCCTCTTGATGAGGACGGTAACGAGTATGAGCCCACGCTTCCAACCGACAATATCACCTACATACCGGCACACCATCCCCTCACTGGGCAGCCGGGCTTTATGATTCACTACCCGCCTGATATTCAGTTCACCGCATGGGAGAGCAGTATTGCTGCTGATCAGTTGATGCGATTGCTGCGGAGGCAACTTCACTGGGCACAACAGGACAGCGAGGGGCTGCGGAGCGAGATCGAGCAATTAGAACAGCAGCGGCGGGACGAATGGACTCTGAAGGAGATCTTACTCGACGGARTCATGGAAGCTGAGTATGCGGCTGCTCAAGGCGATAACGTACTTCGAGACGTCGAAGAACGCGTGCGAGAGGCCATGGAACGTGATATTCAGCCGGCAAAATCACTCGGCTGGACCGGGGAAGAGCCCAAATGGCGTCGGCCACAGCCACCTCAAATTCGCGATGACGGAGATGTTCCGATGAATGACAATGGCGCAGAGACTCCGGGCCAGGATCGAAGAACGCAGTCCCCGCCGCCGACCGGCGTATCCGGTGGCTTCGACGGTGAGGAGGATCCTTATGACAATTATCTCAAAGCCAGAATGGCCGAATACGAGGAGAGGCAACGGCTGCGAAATCCATCTACGTCTGCCAAAGTCAGCGAACCTCATTCAGCAGAGGCGGATGCGGTCGGGGCTCTGGTGGGCATGCAGAGCAATACATGAAGTCGGCATGACCTCCAGATACCATTGTAACAGTAATACTGAGAGACCCAGGCAGTGCGCCAATTGGGCCGTAGTCATATGAAGAATATCGATATGACTTTCGCATCACTCTCCTTTGCTGGGCAGTCGAGATGTCAATTTTTCATCGTAGAAAGTGCCCGAGACTGACACGACCCGGTTTCGTGGCCAACATGCTCTACACCTCTCTATCTGAACTTGGACGACAAACTCTTACGCTTGCCCTCCTTCTCCTTCTCCTTCTTCTTCCCGCTCGCGCTCTCAGAGGGAAATAGAATCCCGCTCGTTCGCTTGTCTGCGCCCGTGCTCTTACTGATCCTTCCCTTGTCCATACCGAACATTGAAACCCAACCGCCAAAACATGCCAACAACGCAGACAGCACCAGCCCTGATCCAAAGCCAAAAGAGAAGCCCCAAGTAATTTGCGTGTAGAGGTAGAACGCCGTGAGAGTATGGTAGGCTGTAGTGATGACTAGTATTGGAGAAGCGTATGGATTTGCCGCTCCATCCTCCTCTTGTGCTTTTGTAATGGGTGCAGTGGCCTGGTTGCCTAGAGGAATGTGTCCGGATAGAAGAACAATCGATGCTGACAGTGTGAGGAGGACCAGGGCGAGGGTTCTGCAGAGGTAGGTCTCTAGATCTGTTATGCCCCGCACTTCTGTTGCCAGGAGAGACACAATCAGTTTTGGTGTGAGGAGCAGTGGGAGTGATTGTGCGGCGAGGTAGGCGGAGGTGCCAAGAGTGTAGAGTCGGAAAGCCTGGAAGCTATTAGATACCTTTGCATGGACTGGAGTCAGAGTGAGCGGATCAGACGTACGTCCATGCTTGATGAGGTTCWGCTCGGAGCAAGTCAAAGTAGGGACGGAATGTTGTTTGTCAGATGGCAAAGTTCATGGCATCTACACGAAAGTTGTAGGGCTGAGTGAGGGAGCTAAAGAGTCGTACGTCATTCGTGATTTGACATGCCAGCTCGGTCAGTGAATCGATCTGATTCGCTTCGAGAGATTCATTCTGATGTTGAAAAACATGCTTCGCATAATCAAGGCATCGCATCTTGTGTTACGATGAGGTTTGCGCCACCATCCTCTTTGCACATTTCCCCATTTTCCCCTTACACGAACCTCTGCCATGGCAACGCAACCATCCTTCTAAAAAGTGCCCATGAAAAGCATCGTCTTTTATCAACGCACTGTCCGCGAGAACATATGCAGTAACCGCATTAACATAGTGTACCCCATGAACACCAGTCCCAGGCTATGCGCCTCACTTTAACGGGCTTGTCGCGTGGAAAGTCCAGGCCAGCTCCCTGCATCTAGCACATGTCGACTCGACGCTGTTAACTAAGGTAACTGCACTAGTGGCCGGTCTCCAACTCTACGCTGGATGGACATCGCCTGGGTATCTTCTGGTGGTATATGTGTCGTCCATGAGGTCGAACAGCAAGCAATCACCCCTCATGAAGATCATTGTAACCTTTATCGTGGAATCTAAAGGCGAACATTAGCCACTGCCTTCACTGTCACGCCCAAAACAAAAAGATACTCACACATATTCCTCATAGGTCATACCGCGCCAGATCTTTTCAGTACCGCCGCCTGAGACATGCTCATAACCCCAAGGATCGGGTACCGGGGTCATCTCTGACCATACTCTGAACAGTTGTCGGAAATAACATGTCTGTGCTGCTGGCGTGAAGTACTGATCTCGAAACTTGGCGGCTGCATTGTCCGCGATACGTTTCGCGTTGTTGTTGTCCGCGAGTAGCGCGTCCATCGTTTCTGGCAGATCAGTCCAGTCTTTTCGGACCTGGACGTAATTCTGATTTGGCCCGCTTGGCTCCAACAGATGGTAGAGATGGGTCGTAAATGTCAGGGGGTGGATTATGATTGTAGAATGGCAGCTGAGCAGATACTTCAATCTTCCAGACCATGTTGTGCCTTCTGTATGAACRGCAAACTTGTATTTGCAATGGTCAGGCATGGTAATCCGCCATTTCGTCGCCTCCTCATCCGACACGTCTTCTGCAACTCTATGCACATCTGACCATGCCTTGTCCTTGCTTTGTTCAATCAACTTCACCCGAATCTCCGGGTTGAAATCTGTTGTGCCTCGCCAGACCAGTTGCGGTCTTTTCGAATCGTAATCCTTTCCGATCTCTATGGCCTGGCGTTGATAGTCCCCGTAAGATCCTGCCACTCGCGGATATGCCCAAAAATTGAAGTCCGGGATCAACCACACCTGCTCCATGGTTTTGTCCGTCACATTGCGGTTGAAGTTCCACACGGTCGTGTCCGGATGTTCCTCTGTCAGCTCGATGTTGTCGTTGATTTTGATGCTGAATTCGATATTGGGTATCGGCTCCCTCGAGCCTATAATGGCCCGCTGCAGCGCATGGAGCGTTGCATGTGATCGCTCCTTCCAGTGCAAGAAGTGATTCAGGCCGCGAGACTCGATGATGTACAGCTTCTGCTCCCAGATCATCGCACGTAGTCCACCGTCTGCGCTCCACTCCAAGCCCCATTGCTTCTCTGTCAACTTCTTGTTTCCCTGCCGCGCCTTCCAAAAAGCACGCGATCGATCAATCTCTTTGTACAAGTCCGGAAATGCGGCGGAGCATTGCTCAAGCGTGAGCGAGTGATTGTCCCGATCGCGGTCAGCGACGAAAAGCCAGCCATCCGCCGTCCTGCTGGGAGCGCCGCTGGACGTCCCTGCGGCCTGACTTGTGAAGGTGGGTGTGGATGATGTCTGCGACCAGTGTGTTGAAAGCGTGTAGAGGCCCAGAATCACCAGCACCACCGCCAGCAGTGGCAGCCTGCGCGACTTGGGAATCCACGACATTTCGCTGAGATGCGGCGCCTTCATCGAGTCCATCTCTAGGCCATGGAATATAGGGAGCCGGGGTTGGGATTTCCCCGAAGCGAAATAATATCTGGGCGGCCAAAGGAGGGAAGACGCGTTGACCGCGGGGCGCTTGTGATAGGAGAGATGAGAGGTGCGTACGTACTCGCTAGGTTCCCCTTTTCCACTATTCTCTTGTTGGCTGATGGAAAAGCAAACCGCTATCCCAGTAAACGACTGGGTATAGTAATCTCGGTAGGGCTGGTGACACTGCTCTTACAATGATGTATTAGGAACTATTGTAGTTAGAGCGAAAGTACCCTATAGGAAAGCCAAAGATCGAGGTGCGTATGCACCATGCAAGAGTCCCGCGTAGCTAAATACCCTACATGGTACAACATCTGATCGGACCTCAAGCCTCGTCTTCCCCATTGAATTCTTAAAAACGACACATGCGTTGATATGTACAGATCGTCATGCCACGAAGAACAGAGTTACGGTGGTTGTACGAATCGGCAGCCTGTGCGACAGTCTTGCAAATCATCGCTCATTGCACAAGGCGTTGTATTGTACAGGCCACACCGCACCAGATTCATAACGCCGAACTCTTGATCGCTCATATCACACGCAATGCCCTAAGTCTAAAATCTATCTTCACAAAGTGCGAAGGAATTGTCCCTGCTAATACTTCGTCACAAAAATTCTTCATCCGCTCTTCGAGCCAGTGCAAACCGTGGCATATTCTCCTTGTCGGTGTGTCATGCAAGGCGTTCCACTCGAGTTACCACAGGTATCTCGCTAACAACGAAGCGCTGCGCACATGCGTAATCGCTACTTAGACTCCAAGTACAGTTTGCAACAGCGGCATTGTCGTCTTTCTGACCGCCACTTGCATGCACAGCGTGGCCAGCCACTGCGACTTTCTTCGTTGTAGTGAATGTGGCCCCGGTCCGCTGCTAACATCCGACCAGAGTGTGGTGCAGGCGTCAGGTCATCTCCAGTCGATCTCAATTATGCTGTAGTCTGAATCCGATTTCTTCACGTAGAATTGCCTCACCGTGCCGTCTGGCGTTGAAACTGCATGCTCAAACTTCCATTGAACCTTTTCCTTGCCCAGTTCTAATGCGGGCCGAGTATGGCCCATGCTGTGGTGGAATTCGAGCACCTCGGGCGGCCTTTCAAGATTGACGTCCTCGGTCATTGTGAGTTCCACGAGATTGAGATCTGGCAAGCCTGTTGGATACTGCGCGATGCTGTAGCCGTTCGTAAACACTGTATTGTTGTCGAAGAGATATCGTTGCAATACAGAGTCCGGGCCTGCCACTTCGGAGACAATATGTGCGAGTGTGATTGGGTAAAAGTGCCAGCTTTTCCAATGATGCACAGTAAGGATTGGAGAGAAACCGGCCTCGTACCATCCGGAGAGATCATTCCACAAATCCATTTGATTCAGTCCACGCAGTTCGGTCAGTTGAACCGTAGGCGAAGTTATTTCCATGATGCAGTCTCGCCATAGAATGTCGCCGAAGAACTTGTCGAGGTGTATGCACTGCACAGAATGCTCGGCGAGCGTTTGCATAAGAGGCGGAGAGACGAAGAATCCAGCGCCTCCCCATGCCTTGAATCCTTCCTTGCTAACACGAGTATGCCCTTCAGTCAGTGCTCCGATGTACCACGGCTTTTCGGGGTCGTAAGGCTCCAAAGCTTCCACCATTCGGGGTAGTGACAAAAAGAATGTGTCGTCGTCGATGATGCCGAACCATTTTGTTTCCTCTCGTTTGTGCTTATCAAGCACTGTTGCCAGACCAAAGTTCTTGAGCCCTTCGCTGTCCGCTTCAAATGTTGAGTGATATGGCTCGAGAATGAGAAATATTTTTAGCTCGAAAGCCAGAGCGTACACACGCAGCACATCTTCCGCCTTATCATCAAGATTGGGCTGGTCGACCAGCAAAACAAGCAGTGGAGAGCCCGTTTCTGAGAGCCACCTCGAGAACGTCGGCAGACTCTCCTCGATCCGCGTCAGAGTGGTCGCCACGCCTAGCATGAGAGATGATGTGGAGGTTTTCGCGTGTGAGTGGAATTCCGGTACATTTACTGTAGTCTCACTCCCACACGGAGGGAACATGCTTTGCGACTCCTGGTTAGGAGTGAAGTTCTCATCCAGGGTGATTTCCACAGACCCTTCTCTGCTGCGTAGTGATGTTGGTACTTCAATCAGTGGCTCTCTTTTCAGTCCGGGTTTCTCCCGCACGCTGATACAATGCCGCTCATAGCTGAACTTCACAGGCACATCCAGGCGCTTCAGAATCTCGACATCCAAGGTCAGATTCTCCCGGCGTGGCGCATCGTGGTGCCACCGAGAGGTGAGGCCGCTCGGGCTGTATCCAGATGGAATCAGCAGAAACCAGCAGATGAGAAAAACCGCCGTGGCAGCAAATCCTTGAAGCAGCCTTGCTGGCGGCATGATTGCGATGCAGTGGGCACGTAAAGGAGTGATGCGCCCACAGTCTCCCAAGAAATCAAACAACAAAGGCCAAACGGTGTAGCATGACTGCGGTAGTAGCAACCTAGATGGGCCACGCAGTACCAAGATTTTAACGGCAGGAAAGGGGAGATGTGCTGAGCCAATCACGGTTGAGCATTGGTGTTCTCGTCTATCCGCCGATGGTATTCATTCATGGCAATCAACACAGACGAAACGCTCATGCTGTACTACAACAATCATTCTCCGAGGCCATTCTTTGGAATACGAGGGGATCATGTGTGGCACGCTACCCTGGAAATCTCTATACGGGCTGACGGGTTTCCGGACTCTCGGTCAAGGCACGCATGGACTCGGGCTACAATSCGTGGATACCAGGGTTCAGCGGTGACAGCCGGCGGGGTTTCAGAAATAACATTCAGGCACAGTTGTGAGCACATCCATTGATTGTTGATGGTTCGACCGAGGCGGCACGATGCATTGTTCAAAGATTCGAAGAGCATGTTGTGAATGACGTTCCAATTTGCAATCCATACCTCAACAATAACAAGAAGAACCTTGAAGATTCAGGTCGCAGCACGGCTTTCGAACGATCGCCAACCGCTTGGAACCGCATAACTGAGTTTTACCTCATACTTACGCTAGAAGCTTTTTAATCAACAAATTCACCATTCGGGAGTCTGCGACATACTTCATCATCATCAAAGGATCATCACGCCATCGCAGAGCGCTGACTGTCTTACTACAAGTTCCGACGACGACGTGCTCTGTCAGCATTCTCATCCCTCACAAAAAGGACCCACCTAGGTACATCGTTGTCATTGCCACTTCACGTYAACATCTCGGACATAAATTATATACCCCACGTCGAATCCGAGAAAACTTTCGTACCGCACGCAATACACAACAACCATGAGCGTCCCTGGAATCACGAGCACAACGGCGGCGAATGGTGATCACACACCGGCCGACACTCGCCTCCATAGATTTGGGACGCTGGCTGTGGTAAGTGCGCCAGTCGATTAGGTATCTCTGTGACCCAATGCTCACGAAGCTACAGCATGCGGGCAGTCCACACGATCCCAGTACCGGAGCAGTCATAGAGGCCATCTCTCTCAGCACCACATTCGCCCAGACTTCTGTCGGCAAACCCGTTGGTGCCCATGAGTACACACGTTCATCCAACCCCAATCGCGAGAATTTCGAGACTTCGATTGCGGCGTTAGAAAAGGCCAAGTACGCGTTGGCCTTTTCGTCTGGCTCGGCTACCACAGCCACGATCCTGCTGAGCTTGGCCGCGGGAAGCCACGTTGTTTCGGTATCCGACGTCTACGGCGGCACCCATCGCTACTTTACCAAAGTCGCCTCAGCGCATGGCGTTCGCGTCACTTTCACCCCGAGCATTGAGCTCGACATCAAGGATTTGATCACCGCGGAGACGAAACTGATCTGGATCGAAACCCCCTCCAACCCGACTCTGTCTCTGGTCGACATCCGCGCAATTGCTGATGTGGCACACCAGAGCGGCATCAAGGTGGTTGTCGATAACACCTTCATGTCGCCCTACGTTCAAAACCCACTCGAGCATGGCGCGGACATCGTCGTGCACAGCGTGACCAAGTATATCAATGGTCACTCCGACGTACTCATGGGTGTCGCTGMGCTCAACTCGGACGAGATCCACGAGCGGCTGAGGTTCTTGCAGAATGCCATTGGTGCCGTGCCAAGCCCATTCGATTGCTGGCTCGCTCACAGAGGTGCAAAGACGCTGCATCTTCGTGCGAGGGAGGCGAGCAAGAACGCGCTAGCAGTTGCAACGGCCCTCGAGGCGAGCCCCCACGTAGAGGCTGTCAACTACCCGGGTTTGAATTCCCACAAGCAGCGCAAAATCGCAATCAAGCAGCACCGTGACGGACTTGGTGGTGGCATGCTATCTTTCCGCATCAAGGGCGGTCAGCCAGCTGCCAACCTATTTTGCGAGGCAACCAACATCTTCACTCTTGCCGAATCGCTGGGTGGCGTTGAGTCTTTGGTAGAGGTGCCTGCTTCCATGACCCACATGGGCATCCCCAAAGAACAGCGAGAGGCCGCCGGTGTATTCGACAACCTTGTCCGAATCTCTTGCGGTGTGGAGGACGCCGAAGATTTGGTGGCTGATGTCATGCAAGCATTGCAGATGGTGGTCGCCGGTGGCAAGGCTACGAATGGCACGACTAATGGACACGCATGAACGAAGGAAGATATGTCTCTTGGACCTAAGAACGATTGCTTACGATGAATCTGCGACCCCGGCATGCTCATTTGTCACTACGAGCCTCACAGATTAGAGGCTCGCGGTACATAGAACTATATAATGGGGGCGATAGTGCTGCAATTTGCATTGTCCAGATGAGATTGCCTCTAGGCTCATCATTATCTAGTCCTCGATGCTGCTGTGAAATCCTCAATGAAAGCTTCGACCATAGTGTGTCAGTCGCAACGAGTCGAAAGAAAGGCAACGTCCACGCCCAGTGATCCTGCCTCTCAGTCTTCCGCGTCGAGGCCGAACACGCCCTTTTTCACCCGGAGATCCTCCTCCAGACCCGCCAAYTTCTGCATTTCCCGAGCCCTCAACAACTGGTTTGTCATTGCATTGGCCTTCTGCCTAGCTTTCGATACCTCGCGCTCCAAGTCCGCCACCTCCTCAAGCTGCTGTGCCCGCTCTGCGGCCTTTGCAAGTGCATCTTCATCGATAACATCTGGGGAATCGCCGTCCTCTTCCGACTCGTCCTCTTCAGATTCTTCGTCTTCGTCATCTTGCGTTGTCATGCCAGCGTCAGCAGGCGTTGCAACAGGAGTGGCTTCGAAATCGTCCATGGCGTTTTCCACCGCAGCCATCGAAGCCGCTTGGTCCGCAAGCGGTGCTGGTGACTCAGCAAAGAGATCTGAGGTAGGTGCATCGTCTTGATCGAACATTGCCTGCATCTGTGCCTCCAGATCCTCAGCCGGCAGATCGTCGTCGTAATCCTCCTCCTGATCGGAGCCAAACATTTCGCCTTCGCCTTCCGCATCCTCGTCTTCGTCGTAGTCTCGGGGCTCGATTGACTGCTCCGCTTGTGTCTTGTGGTCCAATGTCACAGTCCCACCGCCTTGTTCCCACAATCTGTCGGCTTCTAGCAGCTTGAGGACCTGATCCTCAACATTCTGCACTTGGGTGTGGTTCAGACGCTTGCGGAATCTTCGCTTGCGCACCCAGTGCATGGGCGGCGTCAGTCCGTGTGCATATTGCAAGGTGTCTTTGTTGACTTCCTTGGGTAGTGCAAGACCTCGAGCCTCTTCCTCTGTCTGACACCGTCCAAGCACCAGTAGCATCTGATTCATATCTGCGACTTTCCACCATCCCTTTTTGTCAAAGCTCTTCATCGACTCCACGATGCACGGTAGATCGACCAGCACAGCGCCATACATCCTACCTCTGATTTTGATCACGGCCCGCCGCCAGCCCTTCTCGATGAACTTGATCGATACTTCTGCATCGCCCTGCAGTGGATGCGGTCCAATCTGGWTGTTTTGAATGGCCTCTCTCAGGTAGTCGGCATCCTCTCCAGGCTCCATACGCAGCACAATCGCTTGCTGTATCGCCGGATCCTTCTCTGTGTCCGAGTCCTCGCTATCATAACCGACGCCCTTTGGCCGCGGTGGTGCCTTGCCACGCGCGCGAAGATCGACAAACTTTGGTAGCGAAGCCCTCTTGCTTGAAGTGTTTAGAGATATCTTTGGCGGTTTGCTGCTCTCTCCACCATGGACTGCGGGGGGCTTGAGGGATAACGTGCGCGGATTACCGCTGGCAACACGCTTGACGGGTGACATGGCATCATCTTCCGCTGGACGCTTCTTTCCCGCGCTCTTTTTGCCATCGCCTTCCTTCTTAACGTATGTCCGCTTCTTCTTCACAGCACCGTCCGCTCCAAGCGCGGCACTTTCAGCCGCAGGTGACTCAATGGGGGTTGCAGGCTGCGAGAAACTGAGCTTCAGCTTCACCGGCGGTCCTGGTGTCGAGGCTCCTGTGGCCGTGGCAGCACCATTGTTCTGCTGCGATTCTGCCAGCGACGCGGCCGCTTTGGCACCGACCTTGAGTTTCAGCAAAGCGCGATTTTCACTCATTGCCGAGACAGTGATGTTTACGGTGCGCGATCGCTTGTGCAGTACACTGGCGTTGACGACGCGCGGTAGACTTGCGGTTGTTAGCGCTCTGACATGTGCTGGTGGAAAAGTAGTGCATGCATCTGTGGACGATTGCGGTCAACGCACAGACCACATCTTGAACGGCGCGCGCCGCGAACCGCTTTTCACTCCGGACTTCCACCACACCAGCCGCACATGACAGGGATCACGAAACCCAGTTGCGATGAACYGCCAGGTGGTCAAAGACCATCATCATCGTTCGCTTGATCCCTCAATCACAGGCCTTGAAGGCGGCGAAGCTCAGAGTTACCTCAATGCAACCATGACCCAGCGCGGAGCCCCGGCCGTGGACCTGGGCCCAATCTTGACGCATAACATACCATGATCATGATCATGAAGGAGCTGGACTTGGTCTTCTCTGGATGGTGGGAACGGTCTGCGTGGAACTCTCCTTTCTAGGATGGGTCCCAACTGCTTCTTCAAAATAGTGTCGACGTCCAGTCTACATTCGCCGAACGGGGCAAATGCAACTTCGGTACGGTGAAGTGCTGTTTCCGCACGAAGCAGGACCACCCGACGCAGTGGGCTCCCGCGCAAGACCCCTGCTTGGGCCCGGAGACTCCGCCCCCCTGTGCACTTTGCGCTCACCGAGCTTTCGTTCTCCCTTTCTGCGGGCGTCTGAGGCACCGCACTACGAAAGGGCGGACTTCCACGCCTGCGTTCCCCAGGTGTAGTAATACAGCACTTGGGCAAGCGRGCATTGAGGCATGGACGTCTCCACCCTCCGCAAATGAGTGTAAGCAAGCGTCACGACCACAACGTAACACCGCACTCTCTGTTGCAATCACCGTCATATGCATGCTCCGCTGCATAGCCCATTTGCGTTCAATCGTCTTCACACACCTCTCCTTGTCCGTCTCATCGTACATATATGCAAATCTCCCTCCGGTCTCAGCCATCTGACACTAATTCCCCACTTGGCGTTGCTGTGCATAAAGCCATCGGCAGGTCATATCCAATACATCTGCATGTCACAAACCAGAGACTCTGTCTCGCCCCCACGTTCACCATCATGGGCTTCGAAACTATGGCCTCTCTCAAGCTGTTGCTGCAATCGATTGCGAACAAGACGCCCCACGTCGTAGAGCGACAAGATTCATTCACCATGATCAGCAGCACAAAACGCAGGCAAGTCACCTCATCAACGGGAGACCGTACGTCGAACTGACAAATGGCAGGGACTTCGTTTCGGACCCCGACATTACACATAAAATACCATCACCACAAAAGTCTCTGCGACCACGAAAGCCTTCATCTCTTCCGATCCCGCTCAGCGTTCCGCCCTTTCAAGTGGCAAAGTCGAAGTGGTCCCCACCGGCGTCACCTGGGATTATTCCAGATAAATCCCTTTCGGAAGGACCAAAGACGACCACCGATGAGAAGAACAGCCTGGCAAATCAGCTTTTCGTAGCTGCATGCGCAGGTGACCTCACCGCGATTGAGTGCCTTCTTGGAAAGGGCGCACCTATCAACTCATCTGCCCTTGTGCCAGGCCTATTTGAGGCTTTCCAGCCTGCAAAATCGGGGCAGCTATCACCACTCGCTGGTGCGTGTCTAAAGGGACATCTGACGGCTGTCCGGCTTCTTCTCGCTCATGGCGCCGAGCTCAACCCTTCCAGCAGTCGATCTTCTAGCAGTCCTCTTCACCAAGCATGCAGGAGCGATAATCTCGACATTGTGCAGTACCTGCTTCAAACAGGAGCTCAGGTCGACATCCTCGATGGTTATAAAGTAACACCCATAATGTATGCTTCAAAATACTCTTCGGCCGCCCTGGTCTCGCTCCTTTTGGAACATAAGCCGGATCTCAGCGCGGTGTCTTTCATCAATGCAGCAGCAATCCATTGGAGCGTTTGGCCTGGCAAGGTTGAAGTCACTGAGTTGTTGCTGATGGCCAGAGCCGACCCGAACCTCGGAATGGCCGATGGGAACACCGCTCTTCACTGCGCTGTCCTCACGGGCTCCATTGAAATGTGCAAAGTGCTCCTTCGGTATGGCGCAGACCCTCTGCGAAGGAACAAGAGCGAGGAGACCCCTCTCAAGCTCGCCGAGATAYGCTGCGAGACAGATGAGATCCCGAGGTTACTAAGAGCGGCTATTACCGCAAGACCATGATGATTGTTAGCGCTTGGAAGATGGACTTGTTACACCAGTGAGGTGGGATGTATGATACCTTGTGCCGATACAAGATTTGTACTGTTAGATTCCTTCGTACGTTGCAAAAGATCAGTCAACGCCCTTCGCATGCCACTCTTCACTTTTCGTGACATCCGCTATTCTATGCCACTATGACGGATTGTCGTTCCAACTCTTCTATGCGTGTGAGACGATTCGGCGCGTGATGCCGTGACAGACCCGCGTTCCTGGATCCGTAGCGTCGATCAGATGAAAGTCAAAGAAAGTCTAAATTCACCATTCCAAGCTCATCCTCACACTTCGACATGCGATCAATGCAATGCCCCGGTTGTCACCGAGCCTTGTGCGCCGAGCTGCATCAACTGACAAGAACGATGTCTTGAAGCGAATACAAATTCTCGCCCAAGACAAAACGAGTTGGGCCGACACGCTCGCGCTTCCTAAATCGCGATTCCCGCCTCGCCCGTCCCTTGAGCAGCTTGACATTTACCGTCGACGATGCGCCGACGATCTGTATGAATGGCAGTGGAACACTAGGGGAAATGGCAATGCTGCTGGGGACTTCGTCCTGCATGACGGTCCGCCGTATGCGAATGGAACGGTGCATGTGGGCCATGCGCTGAACAAAGTGCTGAAAGATTTGATGCTACGATCGGAGCTCTCCCGTGGCAAAAGAGTGCAGTATCGGCCAGGCTGGGACTGTCATGGGCTTCCGATTGAGCTCAAGGCTTTGCAGCAGTCAAAGGATGCGGGAAAGCAGGGACATTCATCGAAGAATACGCCGGCACAGGAAGCGCGGGCTGCGTCTGATGCATCCAACAAGATGAGCGCTTTGGAGATCAGAACGGCTGCCAGAAAGCTAGCCAGCGAGACAATCGAATTGCAGAAAGCGAGTTTTCGAGGATGGGGTGTCATGGGCGAGTGGGATCGTCCTTACAAGACCATGAGCGATGACTTCGAGGTCAGGCAGCTGGGCGTTTTCCGAGRGTTGCTACGGAATGGTGGGATCAATGAATCACGCAATTTTCGCGGAGCTAACGCATCCTTCAGGCCTCATTTCGCGCCACCATAGGCCCGTGTACTGGTCGCCTTCGTCTCGCACAGCTCTCGCAGAAGCCGAGCTTGAATACGATGACAGCCACAAGTGTACCGCTGCCTTTGTGAAACTTCCGCTTGTACGACTCCCGGATGTCTTCAAGACCAACCCGTCGATCAAACCGGGCAGTGTGAGTGCACTCATATGGACCACCACGCCTTGGACTCTGCCAGCCAACATGGCCATAGCCATCCGGAACGACATTGCGTACTCGGTCGTCAATATACACTGTGCTTCAGAGGAAATTTCCAGTGATGATCAACTGATCGTGGCCAAAGACCGGATCGAACATGTACTTTCGCATTTGTCCCCGGATGCCACCGTGACTACTATTGTGGACTCTGTGCCTGGCTCGCAGATTGTCACTGGCGGGACGGCGTGCTTCAATCTCTTCACTGCGACAAATTCGCCCATCCTACATGCTGACTTCGTAACGGCAACAACGGGCACTGGCCTAGTCCACATGGCGCCGGGTCATGGCATGGACGACTATACAGTATGCCAGCAGCACAACATCGGGCCTGCCTTTGCACCGGTCGACGATGAAGGAAGATACACTTCCGATGCGTTCTCCTCACACGTCGATGGGAAGAGTTTCCTCGGTCTGAATGTTCAGACAGCTGGAGTGAAAGCTGTCCTTGATGTGTTGATGAAGCCTTCAAAGTACTTGCCGTCCGGCGTAAATGAGACGCGTACCAGCCTTTTGCTTGTTGCCCACAAGTTTACGCATAAGAATCCAATCGATTGGCGTACCAAGCAACCAGTTATTGTGCGTGCGACAGCGCAATGGTTCGCCAATGTGTTCGCGATCAAAGACCGAGCTTTATCGGCTCTGGAWGWTGTCCGCTTCATCCCTGACAGCGGAAAAGTAAGACTACGAAGTTTTGTTGAAGGACGAAGCCAGTGGTGCATATCTCGCCAGCGTGTTTGGGGTGTGCCCATCCCCGCTCTTTATAATCTAGAGAGCGATGAAGTTTGCATCTCGCCCGAAAGCGTTGATCACATCATCTCTATCATTGAGCAGAAAGGCACCGATGCCTGGTTCTCAGACCCACTAGACGATCCTTCATGGCTACATAAGTCGCTCGATCCTGGGAAATGGGTTAGAGGCTGGGACACCATGGATGTGTGGTTCGACTCTGGAACCACATGGACCTCACTAGAAAAGAGAGGCGATGGCGTTCATCTCAGTGATGTGTATGTGGAAGGAACAGATCAGCACCGTGGATGGTTCCAAAGCAGCCTCCTCACTGCTATCGCCACTCAAGACCCCGACGACAAGCCTCGGGCTCCTTTCAAAACGCTCGCTACCCACGGCTTCACTTTGGACGGGATGGGCAAGAAGATGAGCAAAAGTCTTGGCAACGTTATTGCACCCGAGGAGATTATATCAGGTACTCTAATACTTGCCTCGACCAAAGCCAAGAATAAGAACAAGGCGAGCAGTGGACAGAGCTCGCCAACAAAATCGAAGGCCCGGAGCACATTGGGGCCTGATGTTCTACGCCTATGGGTAGCGTCCTCGGACTACACCAAAGATGTATCCATCTCGCAGCCTATACTTCAGAGCGTTCAGCAGGCTTTGCAAAAGTACAGGGTAACTTTCAAGTTCCTACTCGGAGTCCTACACGACTATCCATCACCGTCTCCGCAACGTTCACTGCTCGCAGAGTTGGACTTCGCCGATCAGGTCATCCTCCACCAACTAAGCAAATGCAGTCACACGGTATTTTCTGCGTATGGCGAATACAAATTCTTCGCTGGGATCAACGAGATCAACAAATTTGTCAACAATGACCTCAGTGCTTTCTATTTTGAGATTGTGAAAGACAGGCTATATGCCGGATCTACACTCGTGAGGAGACATACTCAGACCATCCTCGTCCACATCACGCAGGAACTTACAAGAATGCTGGGTCCTGCAACGCCGCATCTTGTTGAGGAGGTTTGGGAGTGTTTGCCGGAAGCTATGAAGCAGACGCATTCGCTCAACAGTCTGGATAGTGCTGCGGTATCAGATCTAAGTCTGCACCCGTTGCGCCAAGTTTGGGATCGACCGTTCGATGCGACACGTGCTGGCCTCCAGAATGGAAATTCTCTTGACGGTGCAATTCGAGTGTTCCGAACGATCAGTTCTGCTGTCAAGATCGCACAAGAGGAGGCTAGGGCCGCAAGACAGCTAGGCAGTGGTCTTGCTTGCAAAGTCGTCATATGTTTGCACAAGGAGGTCAAGCTGGACCATCAAGATTTCGAATGGCTCCACGCCGCCGATTTGGCAAGCCTCTTGGTTGTCAGTCAGGCGGAAATACACTCGTGGGATGGACTTATGCCCATGCCCGTGGAGTGGCAATATGAGCAGCCGATTGTGAACTCAGAGTGGCACGGGTCCCATGAGCAAAGCACTTGGGGAAAGGTCATTATATTGCCGCCCAGTGGTGAGAAGTGCGTTCGATGTTGGAAGTATACTGCAGAGGATCAGACGCTGCCGTGCGCTCCGTGTCGCGAAGCTGTGTCAGAGGCTTTGTAAATATTCCATCGATGGCGCACTGTAAAACCGATTGCTGTAGCAAATACCGCATAGCTCACTTGATATTTCACATCCTCTCCGTCTCTCATTGAAGCGGCGAACGCAGTACCTTCACAACAAAGACCGGTGAAATTTGAAGGATCGCCCTACCTCTTGCGATTGAAGATATCTCTTTCGATAGCGACACAATCAGGCAGAAATTATTCGGTGGAAGACTTGACTCTCCGCAAGACTGTCATCTCTCATTAGCGCGTCTACCCATTCGCGAGCGTGGTCATCGCTTCACTGCCAGGGAAGACGGTAAGCTTCTTTACCCATCCTCGCAAGTGAGGTGGCTGCCATGGAGTCTACTAGAACTGCTCGTGTGCGCCAGGCATGAAAAAAAAGCTTTGACCCAGCAGAGATCTCYTCCACCTAATTTTCTTCACGTCTCCCAATCCCTCCTTCGCACCACCGTCCGTCCAACTCCAACGGCAAGTCACAGTTGGATGCTCCTCGCAGCAACGTCGCGTTTCATCTTCCTTTCTTGCTCTCCATCTTCCACCGCGGCAGCAGGATCTGTCTTCACTAGCCAAGCAAGCTCTTTGCGACCCGCACCACCTCGACTTTTCGGCCTCTGCTTCCTCCACACCCCACTTCGCACCTACGCCAGCAAGAAAAAGATGCCTCCCAAGAAGGAAGTGAAGCAGGAGAAGCTGCTGCTGGGACKTCCTGGCAACAGCTTGAAGAGTGGGATTGTATGTACGACTGGCATGTGCGTGCCCCGCGCATAGACTCGCTGGAGGTGCTAACCGCAGCCCCAGGTCGGTCTCGCCAATGTCGGAAAGTCGACATTCTTCCAGGCCCTCACCAAGTGCTCGCTCGGTAACCCCGCCAACTTCCCATATGCGACCATCGATCCGGAAGAAGCGCGTGTCATCGTGCCGGATGAGCGCTTCGACGCACTGGTCGACATGTATAAGCCCAAGTCGATTGTACCGGCAAATCTCACAGTCTACGACATTGCTGGCTTGWCACGTGGTGCCTCCACTGGCGCAGGTCTTGGAAATGCCTTCCTGTCTCACATCAGAGCCGTCGACGCCGTCTTCCAGGTCGTCCGATGTTTCGACGACGCGGAAATCATTCACGTGGAAGGAGACGTTGACCCAATCCGAGATCTAGACATCATTAGTGAGGAGCTGCGCATCAAGGACATTGAGTTTGTCGAGAAGGCGCTCGATGCCTTGGTCAAGCAGACTCGGAGAGGCGGACAGTCACTGGAGATGAAGAAGCTCAAGGAGGAACAGGCCACTGTGGAAAAGATCCTCGCGATGCTCAAGGACGGAAAGGACGTACGAAAGGGCGACTGGGGTCCAAAAGAGGTATGAATGACTCCCCTCATAACTCCCTTCCCCTTTCAGGATGAACCAGAGATCAAATCTCTATAATCCCAGCTCTTCGAAGCCTCAATCACGCAGAGGTGTCATGAGAGACCTTCTTTTCTGATCAGAAACTCAAGCATTACCATTGATTCAGCACCATCACAACGGGGAGCATTAGCTAACCTTGTTCACTTACAGGTCGAGGTCATCAACCCGCTATTCCTGCTGAGCGCCAAGCCAGTWGTGTTCCTCGTCAACCTCAGTGAGCGTGACTATATTCGCCAGAAGAACAAGCATCTTCCCAAGATTGCTGAGTGGGTGAAGGAGCATGCAACTGGCGATCCAATCATTCCCATCTCCGTCTGCTTCGAAGACCGCCTCACTCGTTTCGAAAACGATGAGGAAGTCGCAGAAGAATGCAAGAAGCTGGGCACAAAGTCTGCCCTACCCAAGATTGTTACCACCATGCGAAAAGCGCTCAACCTCGGCTCCTTCTTCACGACCGGGCCAGATGAAGTGCGTCAATGGACGATTCGCAACGGTACCAAGGCGCCGCAAGCRGCCGGAGTAATTCACGGCGATTTCGAGAAGACTTTTATCCAAGCAGTCGTGTACAACTACAAGACGCTAAAGGAAGAGGGCGACGAGGCTTCGGTCAAGGCCAAGGGTAAAGTTATGACCAAGGGCAAGGATTATGTTGTCGAGGACGGAGACATTCTACTCATCAAGGCAGGCGCCGCCAAAGCATGAGCCACGATTATGAGGGCGTCGCTCAACTACAGACACAAATGGTCTGGACATGGCAGTCTGAGCACAGCAAAATGGCTATACCTTCTATAGGGATTGGTAATGATGTAAATGACCTTTGCCGAATTTAAAAAGATTCAGCGCCATGCATGTACACTATAGTACACATGTAAAGTATGACGAGTGTCAGTTCTTCAATTCGAATTGCATACATGTACAGGACAAGTTCTGCATCAAGTGTATTCAACATCTGCTTTTTGCGGTCGACAAGCGTGAGTTGTGAGGTCTCCAAAGCTGATTGGTGAGATGTGTTGAAAGAAGGACATGCTTTTGTCACATGCGCATACGCTTCCGAAGCGCATGTAGATCATGGTTCTACAGGGCAGCACTCCGGCGCATCGCGGCTTACGCTACCTTGGCCAATAACGAAACCATCGACGACGACGAGATGGCCGCACGATGATGAAGCTCACATAATGATCCATGCAGCCGCTTAATCCTTATTTGAGGGCCTTTTTCCGCAGCGCTCTGCCTGCGCAATGCCAGCCCATCAGTCACCATCTGCTGCTCGTCCCAACGACCGAAGTGCTGCTGCGCTCCAAAGACCGAGACACGAACACGCCCTACGTCGATCTAGCGGGAACTGAAGAATTTCTGGCAAGTCATGTGCTGCGTGTGCCTGGTGGCGGTGCACCACAAAACAGTGGAGGGAATGGGAACGCCGGGAGTGGTAGCGGACGAGGCAGTGGGAAGGACGGCGCCGGCGGCGTGCGTGAGGGCAAGGGCAAGGCGAAACAGTACTCCACCATTAATGGTCGGACAGTCATAATCAAGGACTCGTTTGTGTACAGCAACAAGGGCTTCCGCACCCTGAACCAGGCACAATTGCTGGCCGATGCCATCTTCTACCCTGATGCGCCGGACGGCCAGCAGTGGCTCATCTACTACATCTCGCGTCCATTACTGGGTACCTATCATGCCACACCAATCATTCCGGCGGTGATCAGTGATGAGCCTAGCAAGGAGAGAAGGCGACTTCTGGCGGAGGTCACCGCAGATTCCACAACGACAGGCGTGGCGCCGCCCACGCCCAAGAAGAAAGAGATCAAGACATTCGGCGATCTTTTGACACAGTTTCCCATGATCTCGCGGCAGATGCAAAATGGTTTGGAGAAGGTCATTCGCGATTTCATTTCAATCAATGATGCACCCCTTCCCAAGCCGAGATCCAGGCGATCGTCGGTCAGCTCACAACTCTCGGGTCCGTCAATCAGCGACTCCGTATCATCGATCAAGTCGTCGCTGTCAGGAATGAGCGTTGTTCATCCAACATCGATCGAGCTGGAACCGGAAGAGCAGACACTTCGTACTTCGCTGGAGACTGCGATCATAAGCGCAATCGACCTCTTTCAAAACGTTGACAAGCAACAGCTGTCGCTTCTTGGCGCAAGTACAGAGCTGAATGGACCCACGGTTGAGCGTCTGATTGAACGATATGTGACGGAGCAGGTCCATGACCAAACTCTGTTTCCCAGGGTATGCGCAATGCGCCAATCTGACGACTCGGATCTTGGATCCAAGATTCGAAGAATGACAGACATTGATATCGCACAAGTAGGTGTGCCTATTCCGGATGGTATGCGCGGGAAGCGAAAGCTTGCGGCCCAGATCGCCAAGGGCGTCGATGCTTTCAAAAAGATGGGCGTTGCAAGCAGCCCGCAGGAGATGTTGGAAATATTGTTGGCAACACAGAAGGCCATCACCGCGACCGAGACTTCGGCTGTCGATGGCACAGAAATGGTATCGCAATCGGAGTCACAAACTCCACTGACCATCAACGCTGATGTGCTAGTGTCCATGCTACTGATCGTGGTTATTCGCAGTGGTGTGCGACACTTGCACTCCCGTCTCCTGTACATGCGCTACTTCATTTTCATCGATGAAGTGGAGAGTGGAGRGCAAGGCTATGCGTTGGCAACATTAGAAGCAGTCCTGGCGCATCTTTCAGGGGGCGCTAATGCTCTCCGGAAAGCAAGCRAGCGGAATCGCTTGCTTTGGCAAGCTGTCAAGACAGACGATGTCCAGGCCATGGAAGCGATACTCCAACCACGTATTCTCTCGGGTGACGACTCCACCTTGGCCGAATCACCCATCGGGTCTGACCATGAGTCCTCCGATACCGAAGATGTGTTTGTGGGCCCACCGCATGGAGCTGGCCTGGAGACGGACCCCGTTCAGGACGTGTCGCACTCGATCGATTTTGCTACGACAAACACTTCGCTGCATCATGTTTTCCCATTCCAAAGGCCTCCAACCCCTCCGCCTGAGCACGCAAACCAGAAGGTGAAAAAGCATGTGTCGATGGCGTCTTTACCAAGAAGCCACTCGGCCTCGTCTGCTTACTCTTCCCGTTCGCACTCGCGAAACAAGAGTATCGACTCTGACGCCAGCACGAGCCTTGAAGGTGACCTTTCGGTAGAAAGGCTTGCGCAGACACAGGACGCAGATGGGAACTCGATTTTGATGATGGCCGTGGACTCGGGAAAGACAAGTGCGCTCAGCCTTCTGCTCCGCATGCCAGCACATTTCCGCGCCGCTTTCGTCCTAGAAGACGTAAACAACGACGGTGCAACTCTACTAAGTGTTGCTGTACAATCTGGCAATGTCGCAGTGACAGAGGAACTGGTTCGATACATGGAGTACAATGCCTCCGAGGAAGAGCTCCAACGATACATTGCGACACAAGACAGCAAAGGCCGCTGTTTTGCACACTATCTCTTCCATCAGCCTCATCTCATACGCCGATTTGGGAAGAAATTGCCTTGGCGGTTGAAAGACAACATTGGCCAGACACCGCTGTTTGCGCTGTGCAGGTCCTACGATCACGAACAGTACCACTCCATGATTGCAGAGGCTCTTGCTTTGGCTACGGCCGCACAGGACGATGGAGAGCCGTTACATCTGGACGATCACGTTGACGCTAAGGGTAATACCCTTTTGCACATCATCAACGACATGGCACTGACCGTCAAAATGCTTCGACATTGCGACTCCGATGTCAACGCTGCCAACGACAAGCGCTTCACGCCGCTCATGGTTGGAAGTAAATACGGCCGGATCGATCTTGTGCGGGCGATTTTCGGAGATCCGCGAGCAGACCTGACGCTCAAAGATATTCGCGGGTTGACAGCAGTGGAACTCGCCAAAGACGACGATGTGCGCAACCGTATTGATGACCTGATCTTACTCTCCAGTCCAGCCGGGAGAGACGGCCGCATGACGACCGTGGTCCGCTCATTTTTCGTCGAGGATGCCACCATCAGACTGGTCTTGAAGTCCGGAGCACCGAATGGGAACGGATCGATTACCGTCACCACATGTATGCGATCCGTCGCAGACTTCGAAAATCTCATCAGATGGCTGTCAATTGAGTGTCCCGCGAGCTGGCTCCCCTCGCAGTTCAGTCTCCCCTCCCCGTTTCTCATACCTTCCAGACCATCACGGACGGTCTTAAAGGACATTCAGATCAGGATGGATAATCTGTTCCACACTCTGCTGACTCATGGAACGTTTTCAACCCATGAGTTGGTCTGGGAGTTCTTCCTGGTCCCAGAAATAGACGTCAACATGCTCTCCGAGCGCACGCAACGCAAAGCAGAAGCCAGAGTGGAGAACGTGAAGGAAGATTATGAACCGATCACAGATACTCAAGGCGTTGAGAACTTTACCGCTTTTGCACGAGAACAAGTCCGGGGAGTAACGCAGTCAACGAAGAAGGCCATTCGAGCGACGAACCGGCAGAGGATGCTATACAACGATCTTTCAGACGCACAGCTACTGGCTTCCTCTGCCCTCTCGACGCTCTTGTTTCTACCGGCACCCTACATCTCGGCTTTTGAGCGCTATACTAAACTGTTCGTTCCCAGCGAAGCTTCCCCGTTAGTGAAACTTTACTACGCTCTCCATGCAATTCACTCGTCCAGCTMTGCGATCCAAGTTGCCACAAATCGCCCCACATATCTCATTGGCAGCATKGCGCAGTCCCAGCGTGCGATCGATCGAAGCAAGAACTCCATTTCGAGATCAAACCGATGGACACCAAATCTTGGGATTTTCGAGGATGCGAAGAAGGCGGTGGAAGTAGAGGCTTGGGACAAGGCTGCAAAGGCTAGAAGAGAGAAGAACAGTTTAGGTTGCGAGCTGGCGTATACGCAGCAGACTATTGCGAGTGAGCTGGCTGTATGGCAGGATGAGCACGTCAAGAGTGGGAGAGCGATGCTGAGAGCATTAGCGCGCGAGACCATCGTCAAGGAGCGTGCGAAGCTTGAAGGTATGAGGCGTGCGCTTAGAGCCGTCAAGAAGAGTTGATAGCGTGAATGTACGAATTGAGTATGTGGGGGTGGACGATTTGGACGATTTGATCGCTCTGTTGCAGTGAAGCGTCGACCACTTTCCAAAAATGTTTTTAGATACTTAATGCTTCTTACGTCCTACCAAGCTGTTCTCATGTGTACAGATATCTGCGTTGCGGCCATAGATCAACCAGACTCTGCATCGTCTACGCCAACCTTTATCGAGTCTTGTTCAGGAACGAAGGCATCCACTCCTCCGTACCATCCTCGAAGTATCGCTTCGCGGGTTCCTTATTCATACCTGGCAAGACAGTGAACGGTTAGTGAATGTCTTGCACGACCGGTTTCGAGGGAGAATCTGCAGACACGCTCTATGCCCTGGACGGATCGGCTTACTCACCATGGGAGTCTGCAAAGTAGCAGGCGTCGGAGTAGCAGTTGTCTCCAAACTTGCAACTATGTCCGTATGCACAATCAATGTCGCGACACCAGAGTCTCTGGGGGCAGCTGCGCGACCTCGCCTTGTGCTTGAGCACCAACACCTCTCCTTTCGTCAGCTTCTCGCCATGCCTAGCAATAGAAGGTCAGTCACCCGCTATACACTGGAACGCTGGGAGATTCGGTTGCGCTCGCTGCTACCCGCTCGTTGATCCACTCACACATAGTCGCAATAGTCTCCTGCTGAACATTTCCCGGTGAGATGGTAGCTGTTACAGCACTACGTTGCATGACAGGTCAGCGGGATTTGATGATAAGGTCCAGGCGAAGATGTTGCTCACTTTGCCTTGTCCTTCCATGCGCTTGGCGTAGCGACCTTCTGCGCCAGGATCGGTCCTCGGTAGCTCTTCGTCCAGTCGCTCGTCGTCTACATTCAACAGTATGAAGCGACGAGCTGGTGTCTTTTTGGACGCAATACTTATGAATTTGTTCGCGTTCAAGCCGCTACCTTTTGCGACTGTCCCCCATGTAGACCCGCCTGCAGAAGTAACGGACTCGGTCGATGGGGCTGGACTTCCAGGTTTTGGGATGAATGGCATCGCATTGGTGTGTGTGCTCATTGGCGTCCGCATTGTGGTTGCAGCAGGTGGTTGTAGCGTCTGACGGGACATGGGCAAGTCGCTTGATCGAAATACCTGGCTCATGGAGCACATCTTGAACCCCAACTGCCTAAATCCAGGTTCGGCGGGTCGAGTCTCAATCAGTGTCAGACGAGATGCAACGGCGGTATCTCGACGATGTCTAGACACAGAGGAGAACTGTCAGTGGGTGGTTCGACCATTGTATGCTGAAAGCCTCATATGGGCCAATGGATTCGAGATGCAGATTTGAGTCAAGCAAGTGATGTAGCTCCTCCATTGTTCGCTCGACTTACTGTTCGAATACGGTAAGATATCCATTGTCATGGCAATGCGCGAAGAACACATGCTTGCCTGGGAGATTGGAAGGTATAGACGGAGCATCTCTCTCAATTTGTGGTCAGCACGCTCCTTGCCATTTCCAACGTCGATGATGTTGAAGAGAGGCTGTGCGAGTCCTACCAGAACATGTCAGCGTGGCTCCTCGGCGATCGATGGGGTTCCAGGCGGATTTGTGTATTTCTATGTGTCGCAGGCCTCAAAAATACAAGTCCCGCTGCGTCGGTACGTGGCTTGAGCTTACAATCAAGCCATGGCATGGATAGGGGTAGATTGGCAWGAGACACTCGAGGACCGTCTAGCACTCGCTGAAGCTCCAAACGCGAAAACTCACCCAAGGCTCTACCAAACGCAGCCAGTTCGTTGGCGTTCGAAATGATGCCTAGACTCTGTAGTTTTGTTGCTAATCCTTGAAGATTTAGAACGACTTGAACCACTATACTCCAGTCGGAAATGGCGTCTGGATATGTTGCTTTGACTTCTTGCTGGACCGTAGAGTGGAGCTGGTGCGCAGCTTCAGCGCCGCCATCTTTGCCCATGGCATAGAGATAATCTTGAAAGATAGCCCCGTCGCCGTCTATTAGGACCAGGATGAAATTGTGCGAACCCTTTTGGTACATCAGCATCCAAGTGCGAGTCTATGATATTCTTGTCCACTCTTCTCACCGATGCCTGCTTTGATGCTACCAGAGCCTGTTCACTAGCCTGTGCTTTACTCTGCCACATGCGACGCGATGCAACCTGGAAGGTGAGAACATGGTGTTAGCGAGGTCTCTAGGTCTGAACAACATTATGCCWATCTGCCTGGACTTCCGTTCCATGATTTGGTAGCAATGCTCCCTTGAGAAACTACGGTGGGCTACGCGCGCGCGATTGCACGGCTGCTCTCGTCTTGCTTACTTCGTTCTGCCAGTCGTCATTCCTTTCRTCGTACTTGAGCTTAAGTTCGTCGTGTTTTTGTATAATCTCAGCCACCAGCTGATCTCGCTCTTCGTCACTCTTGCGAAACGCTTCCAGGCGCGCCGAATAGTCGGATACGGAGTTCCCGTTCATCATTTTTGCAACGACGTCGAACCGTCGATGTCGAATGTAAATGGAATGGTCAAAAAACAAACGTAGAACGTTTGTTTCAATGTCCTGCCAAAAGCTCGAGCCAATATTTAATCACCTTAGTCCCCTTTCCACGAGGCGCTAGTTAGGCTGGGCTCACATCTTCGGGTTAGGGTTGGGGTTGGAGTTCAATCACTATATCAATCATGTACTACGCCTCCAGTGCGTGAAGACCGTGCAGCTCCCATTTGAAGCTCTTACTGCTCTGAGCATCGGTATTCGAGACGATCAACGAGTGTCGCGAACCGCAATGTGGAATATCTACGGAAATTTGGTGAAACGCTTATTATGAAAGAACTCTTTGGCTTGATCTTTCTAACTAAGGTAGCCACCAGCAGGTAGGACATACCTGCTGCATTGGTTTGCTATCTTCACGAAGAGAAGATGTGAGAAGAGTCCACAAATATGTGCAGCCCCCGTGTCTATCACTATGAAGTGAGACACAGAGAGCAGGGAAAGGTGTTCGATGATTGGAAACTCGTCACTTCACACGCAGTCTTGTAATACAGACGCAGACTACACGCCTTATGTTTGGATTCAGCTCTAGAAGAGTGGACGGGCTAGGACTAATGCTGCACTGCGACACCACTCGCATTCGCTTGCTCTGTAATTCTCTTCTTGTATTGCTCCACCGTACCACCAAAGTTCTCGACAGTGCCCTAATACGGATTAGCATGTGGCCGAAGAGTGAATGTGCGAGGGAGGACTTACATTATCACACACCCACAGACTAGTACAAACTCTCTGCAGCATGGTGACATCGTGAGATACCATCAACACACCGCCCTCAAATTGGTTAAGAGCTGTGCTGAGCGCATCCATGGCTTCGATATCGAGATGGTTAGACGGCTCGTCCAGGACAAGGATGTGAGGGTTGGTGAGTCCAATGCATGCAAATGCGACACGAGATTTTTGACCACCAGACAATAGCTCCATCTTCTGTAGACCTGTCATACCTGTGATGCCAAAGGCACCCAGATGACGCCGGTATTCCTCGTCCGACTTGCCTGGATACTTTGCGGCCATGAATCCGACAGCACTTGCATTCAGGTCAAGCGCGTCGACGTGATGCTGCGCGAAGAAACCAATGCGGAGTCGAGGATTTTGTGAGATAAGACCGGAAGAAGGCGAAAGTGCTCCAATGAGCAGTTTAAGAGCCGTAGTCTTACCTGCTCCGTTGGGACCGACAATGCCGATCCGAGAATCAAGCTGTACAGAAAGATCGACGTTCTTGAGAAGGATCTTGTCAGGACTGTAACCAAATGTGACGTTGTCCATCTGGATGATGGGCGGCGATAGCTTCTCGACCTCGGGAAACTTGAAGTGAACCAGGTACTCGCTCTCAGGAGCCTCCAATACTGGCATCTTCTCCAGTTTCTTGATTCTTGACTGCGCCTCAGACGACTTGGCAGCATTGTATCGAAACTTATCAATGAAGGCCTGCAAATGTGCCCGCTGTGCCATTTGATTGTCGTACTCTCGCTTAGCAGTCTTTCGGCGCTCTTCTTTGGAAGCGTAGAACGACTCGAAATTGGCACCCTTGTAATAGTCGAGACGTTCCGAATGCTGGTGAATGATATCGGTGGCGACTTCGTTCAAGAAGGCTCTGTCGTGAGAGACAACGAGGACAGTGCTGGGATAGCCTTGGAGGTAGTTGGCCAAGAAGGTAATGGATGGCACGTCCAGCATGTTCGACGGTTCGTCAAGAAGAAGGAGGTCTGGCTCGCAGAAAAGCGCTCTCGCCAGAGCAAGACGCATACGCCATCCACCGGAGAATGTCTTGGTGGCGAATTGCTGTCTCTCATGCGAGAAACCCAGACCTGCTAGAATGCTTGCTGCTCGCGACTCGGCCTTGTCAGATTCCATCTCAGCGAGCTTTCCTTGTACATCACTGAGCGTAATGTCGAGACCCTCGCGCTGTTTATCAATCTTTGCCGCATCTGCTGACGTGTCTGCCATTGACGACCGCTCTGCTTCAAGCTCTGCGAGCTCGGTGGTAATTTTCGTTTGCTCCTTGAGAAGGTGCTTTCTCCATACGTCGGCGTCGAGCACTGCTTGCAACGCTGGGGTGTCATCTCCAGAAATTTCCTGCTCGACGTGCAGAATCGAGATGTGGGTAGGAATTGACACCTCACGCTTTGCAAGCGCTCGGAGCAGGGTAGATTTACCAATACCGTTCTGACCCACCAGACCATAGCGACGGCCATACGCGAGTGTCAGGTTGGTGTCGGTCAGGATGCGTTTGCCTCCGATGGAGATGTCGATACTGTCGACCTTGATGTCTTTACTCTTCGAGCCAGCATCGCTGCCGAGCTGCAGAGGGTTGACGGCCATGAAGAACTCTTCATACGACATCTGATCATCGGGCTGGTCCAACAAGCGTGAGGCTTCATACTCAACAGTCTTGAACTCCTTGCGATCTTGCTTCGCTCGTAGCTTTCTCTCGGCCTTTTCGAGCTTCTTCTTGTCGACTCGTGACTCCACCTTGCGGGTGTTTGCAGACTCAAGATCTACAGCACCACCGGTGAGGCCAAGCGTGGACGAGATGTTGCGCTGAGAAGCGACGGAGATGGTTTGGTCCAATTTCCTGGCCGAGGGAGCTTGCTGCCGTTGCTCGCCATCGATGCTGGTTTCACTACCCAGTCGTGACACAAATTTCTCGACGAGATTCTGGACGGAGAGCGCATCCGCGCCAGTAGGATCCCCACATGCAGATAGCAAGAGCTGAGTTATGGCAGCCGCCGCATCAGCCAGAGGATCACCATCAGCGCTGAACTGGCGGGCCGCATGATTGAGATATCCAGCAGCGTAATCCACAACGACCGAGTCGACCTCTGGCAACTGTGCTCGGATCTCTGCCTGCATCTTTACGGGTGAAGGCGTTGCCTCTCGCTTCGAGATTCTTGATATGAGTTGGCACGTGAGTACGTGAATCCCGAGGATCCCCGTTGAGTTGATGATTCGAAAGTTTTGCAGGCGCTCGTGAGGCGTTTGCACAGGATCCTAGCTGTTTCAAGATACTGTGCGCAAAACTTCCAAGGTTTGAAGGGAATTCATTCCGTTACCCCATCAATATTTCAATCAATTTCGGCAAACGCCACTACCTTATTCAGTTCCCTCCAGCTAGCTCACATGCGAATGCCAGAATAATCACAGACGCCTGCACGTTGCTTCACCCGTGCGTGAACAACTCCGTACAACGCACATCAAAAATTGAATCAAATTGTACTGGATTCACATCTCACGGTGAGATTGGCGACCAAGCACGTCACAGTGACACAGTCTCCATTATTCAAGAAGCTGGTCGAAGCACGTGGTTGCAAGGCTGTCCGGTCCTTGCTAGCATGCGACCCTGTCTCGCCTGTGTTGTTGTTCATCAGGTCCTGGCCAAGATTCAGGAAACGTGCATCTGTGCAATGTCAAAATGCAAATGCAAGAACACAACAGTTTGAACCGGAGAAGTCTGACACGTCAGGTCCCGCCTCCTGTGGTGTCCATCCCAATGATGTCCCTTGCAGAATCTACGAAGCACTGCTTTCATCGACTTTGCTCTGTGCTCTTGCAATCGGTTTTGGGATGATGACTGGTTACAGGCCCTGCGGTGAACGCTCCGCCGCAGTGGAGTATTTTGCAGGGCTCGCTTGGGGCTGGGCCAACAAATTGTTCCAGAGGCCGGGTCCACATCTCAAGATCCCCGCAAGGAAGCTTATGACCCGCTCTAAATGTAGTATAGCAGGGATCCCCACTATCGCGTTTCATCGTGTCGGATGAGCTGAAGTGGTTCAACAGTCGCCTCCTTGCCACAGCAGGTGACGTTGAAGCGCATTCACCAATGCCGAAAACGACTTGTGTGCAAGATGTTAAGACGATGCCAAAGCAGACTTTGTCACGGTAACGAGAAACACATACTCTGCCGGTAAGTCGGCGATAGCGCCACTGCATCGGAATTGTTAGAGTTTGCAATGGCGTGTTCTGCAGTAGTGCGCGTGAGATCAAACAAAGACCATCTCGAGCGTGGGCCGCTGGTCAAGACTCGTAAAAGAGGGCGACAGGCATCGCAGTCATGAGTCCAGTACTACCCGCACGGTATCCATGACCTGGATCTCCGGTTGATGGCACAGCTCGCCATGCAGTTATCGCCGCGGTCGGTCTGATGCACCAGCAACGGCGGAGGCGCCGTTCTCGGCAGCATCACAGTACCATGGATCATGATGGATGTGGCCGTGTCTTGGAACGAGGAACCTGTTCGTCGCTCTTGAGTGGATCGACAGACAAAGCCTAACGTCTCAGCTAGAGCTTGATGAGTCCTGCTGTCCTGCAGGCTGCGAGCAGCTTCTCGTGGCCTCGTGGTAATAAGCGCGAAACGATACCACGCGTGCGAAGGTCTCGCAGCAGCGAGAATCGGGTAGCAGTCATAACACTGTGCAGCGTGCTTGAAAGAGAGACTGCATGATGCGCAATTGTCGCATCTGGAGAGAGTGGAGTATGGTGGACGGCCAACTCGCGCCTCGCCGTCTCGACCATTGTGTTATGCAGGTCCGGTGTATGCGGACTGGGGTTATCCCTGCGAGGGCGAGATGTTTGCGCTCCTCCGAAGGGTGGCACGGCATGATATTCGCCAACAGGCAAGCATATACGCCCAAGGGCGCTGCTCATCAAAGATGCACCTGCGCGCAATGTCGGTGTCGGTACGGGCGGGCCACTGGTGCAGCAGTTGTCAATATCGGGAACATCATTATTTGTTGACACCTTATAGCCTTACTGGTCCTAGCATGGATAGGCTAGCTTTCCTCCATTCGCCTGTTCGCGCATAGCTCCTCAGCCTCAGCTTTGGTACCTTTGCACCAAGCGCCGTCCTCTTTTCCACTGGGCAGGGCACCGTCCTGGCCTCTGTCGTTTCTTGCTTCCTCATGCGTAGAGACACCACATCGTTTGAACGAGCCAATCCGCGATGTGTGTAGTGCTGCTCATTGACCGGCACTYCACCTCTCCGCRTTGGCTGTGGCTGCACTGGCTGGAGTCCGACCTCAGGACATGAAAACCGTGTCGTCCATTTGCGCTGCCGGCTCGCTGACAGCTCTGTCGGCCGTGGGATTGGCATTGGCGCGGCCTCACGAGGGTGACGACGACGACAGGGAGACGAACGGGGATTCCGCTGCTGCTGCTCTTCGCACGCGACACCCCGCAAACATGGCAGCCGTAGCACATTATCCCTTTCCCAGAGACACCACCACCACCTTCGCCTTTTCCCCGGTACAGTCACCACGACGTCTAGTCAGCGATGGAGAGAATGGACGAATACACGCCGACTTGATTGTTGAGCATAAGAGACACAGTGCGGCGAGCAAGGGCGGGACAGCAGCGGAACGTGAATCGGACGGCGGACGACGCTCGGCCACCCCGTCCAGCTGGATGCGGCGACTGTCGAGCAACATGTCAAGCACCATGTCAACCTCTCGTGACTCCAGTCGAGCGCCGACATCCCGCCCTGCGTCCGCCGCATTCTCCTATGCCAATTCGAATGGATCCACTGTCGTGTCGCACTCTGGCTCGACCACCCCGGTCTTTACACCTCCATCTCGACCGCCGAATAAGCTGGTCAAACGTACGGCGTCCTCCCACGGCACCCGTGGGTCTCCCTTTGACATGGGATCGAAACTTCCCGTTCTCCGGAGACCTGCAACAAGTCATCAACGGTCTGCGACTCTGCAGGAGACCAGTTCGAGCCATGCTCCAGACATCAGAGTTTCCCAATGGCGCCACTACTTTACACCGCGGGTGGTCGCGGCGGATGCGACTGGACGGAGAGGTTCCACGGGCATTCCAAATCCCATCAAGCGGGTGTTTCCAGATCGAAGATATAACCCCACGCTGATATCGGCAAAAGAGCTGGCTGTCCCAATAGTGGTAGAGGTGGATGGCAGTGAGCGCGACGAAGACCTTCCAATGGCGCCGAGCACAGCTTCCTCGCCATTTCCGCCCTATGCTCCACATTTTGAGGAAAGCACTGCGCCACGACGCTCCTTCTCAATCGGTGACTTGCTCGCCCACGGCTCTCAGCCACTGCGCGTGCGATCATCATCAGGCAAAGGGWGACCTTGGTCATCGCGGTCCTTGCGCACCGGAAGACCACGGGTCGTCTCGGAGCCACAAGCACCAATGGGAATATACAACAGCAGACTCGCAGACCATGAAGCCGAGCGACCTGCAAAGCGAAGAAGCATTGCTGATACTCAGACGCTATTGCGTAGCACATCTTCATCAAGCAGCGACCATCCGACACGTCACGACACGGTCCACGAGGCAAACAAAAACCGCAACCCGGATCCTCAGCTTGTGCTCGTCGTACCGGACACAGCAAGTCTAGAATCACCCACGTCGTCGATCATTCCTGGTCGAAAAACAACACCGGCCACACTGACCACAGCCGCGATTGAATCCACACGACTCTCTGCCTCTCTTTCGGAAACCGCTTCTACATCAGCGGGTTCCGACAGCGACGCACATTCTCTCGGCGACAACAGCACCGACTACCAGAGCGATAATGTTTACGACTCATACCCTACCCGAACAACACGAAGTAGCTTGGGGAGACGAGGACCTCACATCGAAACGATATTTGACGAGTCTCCGCCCAGCTTCTCATCTGGACGGAGCTTGAAATTAAGGGACTTTCTCAGCGACGGGCATTTCCCCGGAGGAGAGTCTGGCGAAAGATACCGACACAGCACAATTGAGGAAGAGGACAGCGTTGTCAGCACTCCCGTTCGATCCTTACGCAATAAAAGCGTCACATCCACCCCATCAGCACGTCCCGGCGCATCTCATGTCTTCTCCTCATCACCTCCTACGATGAACATACTGGCGGACTCGGAGGAGCTGGACTGGGACGTTACCGAGGAAGGCGGCTTCGATCGAAGTCTCGCGACCCCACAGCGAGCTTCATCGTACCTTGCAAAGGGCGGTCCCACCGAGCTGAACCTCCCATTCCGCTTTGCTTCGAACTTGAGACCAGCGCATGCTGACTCCGCCAACGCAACACCGCAGCGAAATGTAGGTTTGTCAGTAGACAAGGCGAGTCTGTTCGACTGGGCAGAACAACAGCCAAGCCCTAGCCATGCCAACGACACGCCTCAGCGTCCAAGAACAGTCCATGGAAAGAAAGACCAAGAGAACCGCTGGAGTAGACTAGCAGGACGGCGTGGCCCGAGCGCGATGCATGCTCGCAGTCACAGCGTTCCCGTCGTCCCTGACTTGGATGGTAAAAGAGACACCGTTGCTGCCAACAAGTTTGGGACATGGGGTGTGGGCAGCAAGGCTGTGACGGAAGACTGGAATGAGGACTTCGATTTCGACGAACTCCCGCAATTCGCACACGCCGATTCGCACATGGACGAGAAGCGCATCGACAGTGGTCACGAGATGTTTGTTCCCAAGTCTATCAGAGAGCAACAGGAAAACGTGATGGCAAACATTGGCTTGCTGCGAGAATGGGGATTGCTGATAGAAGAGCTGAAAGAGCTGCGGGTCCGTGCAGCTGGCCTTGATATGCTCAAGGGACCACATCAGCAAGCATGGCGGGAAGTAGACGCAATGATTGAGCTGGCTGACCAGGAAAGCGAAGAGCATACCTTGGAGCCGCGAGGTACGCCACCGTCGTCGCCGGGATTTGATTACAGTGCCTTTGAGGAACAAACTCCCATCCGACAAAATTCAGCAAGCCTAGCGGGCCATGCATCATCCTCAACAGACCGCTCCTCATCGGCCAAACAACCGTCCACGCCGATGAGCACTTCGGTGGTGACTAGGCCACGCAAGGACTCTGAGTTGGTCGCGCAACGCGTGATTGCCGCTCTGCAGAGTCGACGCGATGCAGCAGACCCGATTCCTGCACAGCTTGTGGGCACCTCCAAAAAGGTTCCGTTTGATACGGCCACGCTCCGGCACATTGTCCCGTACGTCAACGGTCTGAAGCGCAAAGTCAAGGACGCTTTGCGCGAGACGGAAGGTCTATACTCTAGTCCACGCCGGAAACCATCTCTTTTGCCTTCCGCTACCAATGCTCGCGAGGAGAAGGCTGGGACACCCTCGTACCGCAGCATGTTTAATGAGCCGGAGAATGACATTACCATCACGACGCCACGACAGACTCGACGAGAGCAAGTAGTAACGGATAATGACGGGTTTGATTCGTATCGATTCGAGCAGAGCCAATCTGCGAATCGAACACCGAAGAGAAGCTGAGCTTCATTCACCTCSAAAAATTTGCGCACATGAGACCTTTTGCGATTCATCTTTCTAATTCCTGGGCGTTCACTGGATGGTTTGACATTTTCAGTTCGCAGCATATCCGAGTTTTTAGCATGGCGTTCTGAGCGTTCCGACCGAAGTGTTAGGCGGACATATTGCGGAGGAAGATTACGACCGCCGCAAAGGCACAGCGTGCACAGGCATGAAAGACCGGGTGGCACGAACCCGCTTTAAAGTTTTGAGCTCTCGTGAATCCGTGGGCATGTTCCGCAGGAGCTTTGCCGAGAGCGTCTTTGCAWTGAGGCCATTGGGAAGAAACGACCACAGAAAATTTGGCTCGCTGAGATGTTCGAGTATGCCGACATTGCATGGGATAGCGCCTTGAGGAGAGACAATCAGATAGTTCTAGCATATCGTAGAGAGAGATATGATCAGAGCYCAGGACAGTACAGCACAGATATTGACCATGACCCAAGATCGGCGCTTTTTCTTTGACATTTCATCGGACTCCGACACCTCAAGGTAAAATCGGGCAGTGGTTGAGCGATGAAGTCAGGGACCAGCTCGGCGGAGGGGTCTTGTACCCYACCTCTGTTTTTCTCCATAGCTTTCATCATTCCTTCTTCTTTCCATCTTCCCACACCTCGCATCCCTCACTCCTCCACCTTTCCCTCTACACCCCAAATCACAAATCAATTACAAATCGCCAATATGTCTTCACCAGCAGGAAAGTTCAAGGTACACATTGACCGCCCAAAACAACGCAATGGCCACATGTGCTGACGGAGAGGGACCAGGTTGCGGACATCAACCTCGCGGCCTTTGGCCGACGCGAGATTGAGTTGGCCGAGCAGGAGATGCCCGGTCTTGTTGAGACCCGCAAGAAGTACGCCGACGAGCAGCCTCTGGCAGGTGCCCGTATTGCCGGTTGCTTGCACATGAGTACGTATCTCAACGCCACAATCACAGCTTCGCTGGCCATCTCTCGCTCTGCATTACTGACAACACGCACAGCCATTCAGACCGCCGTTCTTATCGAGACCCTCAAGGCCCTCGGTGCCGAGATTACCTGGACATCATGCAACATCTTCTCCACCCAGGACCACGCCGCCGCTGCCATCGCCGCCGGCGGTACCCCCGTCTTCGCCTGGAAGGGTGAGACCGAAGAGGAGTACCAGTGGTGCTTGGAGCAACAGCTTAAGGCCTTCCCCTCCGGCAAGAAGCTCAACCTGATCCTCGACGACGGTGGTGACCTCACCGCGCTTGTTCACCAAAAGTACCCTGAGATGCTCGACGACTGCTACGGTGTCAGTGAGGAGACCACCACTGGTGTCCACCACCTGTACAAGATGCTCAAGAACAACAAGCTGCTGGTACCATCCATCAACGTCAACGACTCCGTCACCAAGAGCAAGTTCGACAACCTTTACGGATGCAGAGAATCGCTCGTCGACGGCATCAAGCGTGCCACCGATGTCATGATTGCAGGCAAGATCGCCGTCGTTGCTGGTTTCGGTGATGTCGGCAAGGGCTGCGCACAAGCTCTGCACTCCATGGGCGCTCGCGTCTTGGTCACCGAGATTGACCCCATCAACGGTCTGCAGGCCGCCATGGCCGGTTACCAAGTCGTGACCATGGAGGATGCTGCGCCCATTGCCCAGATTTTCGTTACCACCACCGGCTGCCGGGACATCATTGTCGGCAAGCACTTCGAGGTCATGCGTGAGGATGCCATTGTTTGCAACATTGGTCACTTCGATATTGAGATCGATGTTGCGTGGTTGAAGAAGAACGCCAAGGAGGTCGTCAGCATCAAGGAGCAGGTCGWCCGTTTCCTCATGCCAAGCGGCAAGCACATTATCCTCCTCGCCGAGGGTCGTCTTGTCAACCTTGGATGCGCCACCGGACACAGCTCCTTTGTCATGTCATGCTCTTTCACCAACCAGGTCTTGGCACAGATCATGTTGTACAAGGCCAACGACAAGGCCTTCACCCAAAAGCACATTGAGTTCTCTCGCGCTGTCGAGGAGGTCAAGGAAGTTGCCAGCAAGTCTACCGTTGACCGTCTGCCAATTGGCGTATACGTCCTGCCCAAGATTCTCGATGAGCAGGTTGCTCTGCTTCACTGCGAGCACGTCAACGTCAAGCTCACCAAGATGACCGAGGCCCAGGTATGTCGTCCGATCAATCGTATGATGAAACGTGCTAACTGTAATCCAGGTCGAGTACATGTCTCTTCCTCAGGAGGGTCCATACAAGCCAGAGAACTACCGTTACTAGACGGTCTGTGCTTTTTCACGATTAATGGAGCAATGTTTTCAACATTACATTGGGGTTTGCACTAGATACCACTGGGGACTGTCTTCTTTCAACCGGACAAAAGCATTGCAAGGCGCGCGGCGTTCAACAAAAAGGTCTAAAATCCACACGGAGCATAACTGGTTCTCACTTTCAACCTGAGATCTAGCGTGGAATGGATCTGATGTCTAGATAGACTACGTGCCTAAGGGGCCGGAGTGAATATGAAGAGTTTACACGTTTGAGCTTGGCGCTCGACGATGATCAACATGATCCTCCTGTTCAAACCGTGGAAACACCCACACGTTCGCGTGCTTAAGCCACGCCGGAGTTCCTAGGGCTCCTGTCCAAAATCGTGATGAAACACGCACCACGATGGCGTGCTGGAGCCACGCCGGACTTCCTAGGGCTAGGGCTAGGCCTGCCCTTTGTCAATTCCGAATTCAGTAAAATCAATCTGGACGACAACATCAGTCTCGGACTGTTCGATCTCATCATCTGTGGTGGGTGATGATACCACCCATGTAGAGATCAACCAGACTTGTGCCCACGCTGAGGTCGTTTGTACGTTTGACATTTGAGACACTTCGGAGTCGCAGTGTGGAGGCGAGGATCGTCAATGTGTCGACGACGCGCCTAGCCTTGGCTTGACGTTCGATTGGTTCCCCAGCCGATCGTACTTCAAGCTCCTCAACTCCCGGTGCCAAAATAACTATCTGCGGCGGCAGCGCATTTAAAACCACTGCAGCACACGACCACGGTAGCACAGCCACGTTCTCTTACGGTTCGTTCGCTTCCCTACTCTCTTCTCATCTCCCCACTACTCGTTTGCGACCGCATCGTCTTCGCACTGATTTCATCAATCAAGAAGCATTGGAAGAGGCGGCGCGCGTCACCCTCAAAACCCCTGTCTTGGACACATCCGACCTTGACGTTCCAACGCGCACCTGGTCACCACATTCGAGAGCTTGCTTCATCCGATTTCCATGTCCACCAACATGAGGGCCACTTCGAATAAAGATGCCGCACTGGAAGCAGCTAGACACATGGGCCGCCTCAGCAAGCGATTAATCTTTTCATACGTCCTCGACTGGATAGTGATTATTGCGTTTGCTGGTGCTGGTGGGGCCCTCAGTGTCGTGAGTCCTCGACATCGCCCATTCTCGCTTCTCAATCAGGAAATCGCATTCCCCTATGTTCATGAGACGGTGCCGATTTGGATGCTGGGTGTGGTGTGTTTGTTGGTTCCCGCAGGACTTATCGGTCTAATTACACTCATTTTCGTCCCCGGATCGCATGCACGACGTACGGGAAACAGAGCGCAGACTATTCGATTGAAGCTATGGGAGTTTGAGAAGGGACTGGCTGGATTGTGCCTCTCGCTGGCTGTCTCTTTCTTCGTCACTCAAGGTAAATATCGATTGGTTGGAGCTTGAGGAATGACAGTTCTGTGAATAACTGCCATAGTCATTCACAGATTTTTGTTATTCATCAATCTCTTCTACAATGCTTCCTTGACACCGCTAACATCCATGCAGGAGCAAAGAACATGTTTGGAAAACCGAGGCCTGTAAGTAGACATGGGCGAACATTGGACGAGTCGATGCTAATCTTTGACTTCAGAACATGCTCGCACATTGTCTTCCAGACCTCAATGCCGTGTCTGAACACATTGTCGGACAATACGCCGGCCAAGACATTAGTGCTAGCTGGGTTTTGGTCGACCATGACATCTGCACGCAAACCGACCGCAGCTTCCTAGACGACGGCTTTCGATCGTTTCCCAGCGGACACTCTTCCTGGTCATGGGCGGGTCTACTCTACCTCACACTCTTTCTCTGCTCCAAATTCGCAATCGCCATTCCACATCTCCCGGTCGTACCTGCCAGCAGCCCGCGGACCCGCCAGCCAGAGACCGACCACGAACTTCTACCACTCCATGCAAACAGAGCGAGAGGCGAATCCATGGAAACCAAGCGCGAGTTCGATGATGCTGCCGAAGCTGTAACAGCCGCGGATCCTCTGTCCGTGCGAAATGCTGCTGCAGCTCCACCAAACTACCTCATCATTCCAGCACTCGCGCCTGTAGCGACCGCTGTGTGGATTTGTTCTACACGATACGCCGAGTTCTACCWTTTCGGCTTCGACATCATCTCTGGCAGTGTGATTGGCATTGTCTCGGCCTATCTTTCATTCAGATGGTACCATCTTCCGATCTCGCGAGGACAGGGCTGGGCATGGGGTGCTCGAAGCAAGAGCAGGGCCTTTGCGATTGGTGTGGGTACTGGAGGTTATGTTGGTGATGAGGGTTGGCATAATGAGAAGCCTGTCTTGAGTAACGACACGACAACTAGGGCGTGGAATCCGGAGCGAGCAGCATGACGGTTTGAGGCGCTGTAGAATGCGGACTTTGTGGCAAAGGGGAGTCTTGATTTTATAGCGTCTTGTATTGAGGTTCTTGGAGAGCCGTGTTGGAGTGTACTCTTAGCCAATGTTTCGAGCGAGATGTGAAGCTTATGCATTCACATATGGAACAAAGCCATTGAAGGGCGTGCAGTATTTAGATACTCAGCGTGAATTCATAGCTTGGTCCTCGTCATGCACATGCAATCTGAGCCTACTCTCTCCCGAGTTCTTCTGGCACATTACTGTCATTCCCATGGTTCCTTGAAGCTGGGCTCGCCAATTTCAAGGCGGCTGAAGATGACGGCTTGGTCTTCTATTGATTCGTATCACATCTGCTAATCAGCATATACTTCATCGCATCTCTTGCTGTCCATCAGTGCCTTCGATATGGCCTGGTTCGCGATAGACAGCTGTGAAGGCTTCCCCAAGAATCTTCATACCTTGATCGATCTCCTCGTTGGAGATGATCAAAGGTGGTACGAATCGGAGGGTGTTGGTGCCGCATGTGATGAGGAGAAGTCCTCGTTCACGGGCAGCTGTGATGATCGGTGTTGGATCGCTCTTCAACTGCACCCCAAGAATCAGACCACGCCCTCGGACCTCTTGCACAACATCGGGGAATGCTTCCTTCAAGCGAACAAAGTGTTCTCGGAAGCGAGCCTCCTTTTGGAGAACGCCCTTTTGGAGTTCAGGATCGGAAAGACGTGATACGATGTAGTGCGCCAGCCTGCTTCCCAATGGATTGCCGCCGAACGTCGTACCGTGATCGCCAGTAACGATTTTGCTCGAGACGTCCTCGGTCACAAGGGTAGCGCCGATAGGGAAGCCATTTCCAAGGGCTTTTGCAGTCGTGACAATATCAGGATGGGCCTCGCGAGGAAGCTCCGCATGAGCCCAAAGCTTGCCCGTACGGCCAAGACCGCATTGGATTTCATCGTGGATCAAAACCGCACCGACCTCTGTGCAGCGCTTTCGCAAGGCAAGCAGAAACTCGTGAGTGGCGACATTGACACCGCCTTCTCCCTGGATTGGCTCAATGATGACACCGCAGGTCTTCTCGGTCACAAGTTCGTTGATACCGGCAATGTCATTATAGGTTCCATACCTGAAGCCCGGCAGCATAGGTGCAAAAGGCTTCTGATACTTGGGATTCGGCGTTGCGGAGAGAGAGCCCATGGTTCTGCCATGGAACGATCCTTGAAAGCTGACGAGTTCAAACTTGCTGCCGTCCGGTTGCACGCTGCTACCGTACTTCCTGGCGAACTTGATGGCGGCCTCGTTGGCCTCGCTGCCGGAGTTGCAGATGAAAGCGCGGGCAATGTCAAAGCCACCGGCCTCTTTCGTCTTCTCCACGAGCAGTTGACTCAATGCACCCGTCCACGGATTGTAGTACAAGTTTGAACTGTGCACGAGAGTCTGTGACTGCTGGTATAGGATCCTGCTCATTTCCGGGTCGCAATGCCCCAATGCATTGACGGCAATACCGGCAGTGAAGTCGAGGTATTGGCGGTTCTCGATATCGTAAAGGAAGCAGCCCTCGCCTTTGTGAAAGACGGGCGGTGGACGGACATAGGTGGCGAYCATGTAGGGGGAGTAGGAGTCGACCATGCGGCGGGTCTGTGAGTCGGCGGGCGGATCGGGGGTGAGCAGAGCGGCATCTTTCTGTTGCCAGCATCAGTCGTGTCCCGCGTGAACGATGAGTGAGTGCCATTTAATGACGCACCTCAATCGCGGCCGTTGCAGCTGCAGACAGCGCATAAGAGCGCTGCGTCCGGGTTGGCACGCTGCATCTTGGGGTGGGAGTGCGCAGTAAGGCTCTGAGCCGGCTGCTGCTCTTTAGTAGTGACATTGTTGCGAAATGTGCAAAGAAAGAAACATTTCCCTGCGGTTGAGATCTGAGTCCGACATCCCGATATCGCTCCACTCTTCATGGACTCCACGACGAGGCCCCAAAAATAACGGGCAAGCTTACCTGTGAAGTACTTGATCGTCCAAAACCTACCGAATTGCAGAACACTTGACGCGTCGTACGCTCGCTCAGGTCATTTGGGCTCGGCCTTGTCGAGTATCTCGCTCTCTTGACATGAATCGCCTTCGACTCCACTCGCCTTCCCCTCTAGTTCCCTCGCGGAGTTCCCCATGTCCATCGGAAGCTTCCACTGCAGCGGACTTGTCGTCCGGCGGAGCATAACCAGATAGCCGGCGTAGGTGTACGTTCACGCCAAGTTGGCGTGCTGGCGGCGAGACATTGAAAGTCAAATCCTGGACGACTAATCACTTCGACCTGGAACTCGGTTGGTATCACGATCAATCACTACAACCGCAGTATCAGTCCAAGGTAGGGTCTCAAGCACAGTTGCGAGAAGGCATAACGACGCGCCTACTGGCACAACAGCTCCGCGGCCATTCAGCATACCTTCATGCCATACCCTCATGCCATACCCACAATGTGCTAGAAAGATGGACTGCTCTCACTCAGCACCCACTCTGACAAGATCGAAGGAGCTCGCTCAGAAGAACGGACCCGAACTTGCCTTCTAGGTACTCGCGTTCATCCCGAGTATCACAACCGTACTACTATAAAACCATATCTCTTCCATGGACATCCAACGACGCTTCAGACCCAACAACACAAATCCCAAGGATTAATCCCCACTCTTTCGCCTTGAGGATAATCTTCGTCGTCACCGTCTTTCTTTGCCTTATGCTCGTACTAGTGAAGCATCAATTCTTGGAATTCACCCTGGGACGAAAGGCACGACCACTATTCTGCTTGCAGTACTTCTGGGAAGCGTAGACTTCCGCAACAAATATGATTTGAATTGAGTGTGGTTGAGATCTGCTTCACAACTCGCTCCAAGCAAACCTTAAACATCCACGCCACAGTGTGCAGCTTCTCGACGCCCCGGAGTTGGGTGCTTGCCTAGCGGACTACAGCTTTGCAAGCTCCTCGACCGACCCGGGAATATGAGGGCAACACTCAAAGGGCGTCGGTACGCTCTTAGTCAATCCCGCTCTGTTGCGTGAAGGAGACGGCTCTTTGCACGAGCCTTCTTGCGATCAGACGATAGCGCCGTAGAACTAACTGCCCAGCCATGCTCGCCATGTCGCTGTTAAATGCCAATTCGCTTGAACGCGCTGAGGAGAAAGACTGCTAACATTCGACCTCGCTGCGATTTCGCCTGTTCGGCCATGCCGTCTAGAGCACGCCTCAAGCCTCAAGGTTAAGCGAACGGCCAAGTCTTCAAGAACTTGATCTCTTCACGGGCCGCACTCCTCGCAGAAGAACATTTCAAGGGACGATACAAGTAGACACGCGTGAGGGTACAGATCGTGGCTTGATGCCGCTTCTGCTCGCCGGCTCCGAGGGAGTTCGCTAGCTCGCACCTTGGCATCAGGGTGAGCTTGCTTGCATCTTAAACCTTTGACAATACAAATGCCCCCGATTGAGCTGCTGCACCCTGTCACACACGGACCGGTGCAGTCACAATACACGGCCCCGCATCTCAGTACGCGCTGGCCCGGAAAACCGCCGGCAGCGACGCGAGATGCCGTTGATGAGGTCTGAATGGAATCGCGGCAATATCCGGCAGAGAAGGTAGTATGCTCCTCAATGTTCCCTCAGAATGATCCCCAGCACGATGGATCTGGTTGATGTAGGAGTATAACGAAGCTTCTTCGGTGTGCCGGTGCGGAGTGTCAAGCAATACCCAAGAGACATGATCGCTTGTCTCCAGACAAGGATATAAAGCAAGCTCTGCCCAGAGCAAGTACAGCCGGGATTGATTTTAAACCTTGCACGTGTGCGTTCGAAACGTGTCTGCCACGCACCGGAACCGAGAAGAAGCTCTCGCGTTCGAATCGTCCAACCTCTCAGACGACTGGCTACTCTGAAGTCCGCGGCGACGTGCGTCCACAACTCCAGTGCCAAGAAGCCTGGAAGCTCTGGAATTTGCCATGGCGTTCATTCCCCGCGTGCGAGATAAGCTTGCGAACAAGATCATGCACTAGTCTCCGCGAAAATCTGGAGCCGCCTCCGGGGTGCCCCGTATTCCACAGCAAAACATGAACAGTCCGGTCATTCTCGAAGCACCGTGGCTGAACTACTCAGAGTCGGGTGATTTCGCCCAGTATGCCTTGCTGCAAGATGGCAGTCGAAGCGGCAGACAGGGATCCACCTACCCTGCTATAAGAGCTCGTAGACTCCCATGCCACTCATCTCTTCAGATTGTGCAGCATCCTCCTCCCATCACTTTCCCATCTCATTAACGCCGCCGCTATGGATAAAGTGGATATCGAGAAGACCATTGAGGTCAATCACGTTGAGCGAACGATATCAGGGGAGTCTCTCGAGACGGCCAATGATGCTCGCATCAACGCCCTCACCCCTGAGGAGCAGAAGAAGTTGATCTGGAAGATCGACACCAGACTGGTGCTCACCCTTGGGTTCATGTATTGTGTCAGCCTCATGGACAGAACGAACCTGGGTATCGCTGTGGTCGCAGGAATGGGCGTCGACTTGCAGCTCATTGGCTTCCGGTACTCGACATTAGTGCTGGTATTCTTCATAACATACGTTGCCCTCCAGCCTCCTGCTACTGTTATTCTCCGAAAGCTGGGACCTCGCGCCTTCCTACCCTCCGTAAGCATACACAGGAGCTATGCTAAGGATTGCGACTGACAGCTCGTAGATCACACTCCTCTGGGGCGTGACCATGATTGGCTTTGGATTCGTGAAAACATGGAACACCATGATCCCACTTCGTCTCCTTTTAGGCGTCTTTGAGGCCGGATTCTTCCCAGGCTGTGCATACCTGCTCTCCTGCTGGTACCCTCGTTACGATCTCCAGAAGCGCTACGCCGTCTTTTACCTGATAGGCTCGCTCTCCTCTGCCTTTTCTGGTGTAATGGCATATGGCTTCGCACAGATGAATGGACTCGGTGACCTCGGCGAGGCATACGGACAGCACTACGGCCCCACTAAAGCCAACCCCACTGCACCAAAGGGAATCATGCCTGGTATTGCTGGATGGCGATGGATCTTTATCATGCAGGGGGTGATCACCTGCATCGCCGCTACCGTAGGAGCTTTCACCATAGCCGATTTCCCAGAGAAGGCTGCCACCAAGTCCAAGACCTTTGCGCTGTCCTTCCTGACTCAAAAGGAGGCCGATTTCGTCGTTGCTCGTATTGAGAAAGATCGTCACGATGTTAGTCAAATTGAAGCATGGGAGGCATCAAGCATGTCTTGAACCTTCCATGAAGCCCCCCATCGCCAAGACACTTGCTGACCTTCTATACTTCGCTAGGCAATCGCTGAGCCTTTCAACATGGGTGTCTACCTTCGTTGCGCGGCCGATTTGAAGGTGTGGGGCTTCGCCATGCTTTTCATGCTCACGACCACGACCACATACGCAATCGCCTACTTCCTTCCCATCATCCTCCACGAGGGAATGGGATATACTGCCGCAATGGCAGAATGCTTAATTGCCCCACCATGTAAGTGAATAACTCCAGGTGAATGACAATCGAGGCACGTGCTGACCACCACCAACCTTTAGACGTCTTTGCCGCTTTCTGGATGTACGGCTGTGCCTACTTTGGTGATAAATATCACATCCGTGGCCCCTTCGTCATTCTCAACGCAATGCTCGGTCTCATTGGTCTCCCACTCCTGGGCTTCGCCACTTCCCCAGCTGCTCGTTACATTGGTGTCTTCCTCGCAACCACCTCTGCCAACGCCAACGTACCCACCATTCTCTCCTACCAAGCCAACAACCTTCGTGGACARTGGAAGCGTGCCCTCGCCTCTGCGACTTTGGTTGGTGCCGGTGGTATCGGTGGCATTATCGGTTCCACTGTATTCCGTAGCCAGGACAAGCCGGGCTACCTTCCAGGTATCTACGCCACAACCATTGCTTGCGCATTGGTCGTTGTCATTACCTGCTTGATGGAATTCAAATTCTGGCGCGCCAATAAGAGAGCTGCTGCTGGCGGCAAGATTATTGAGGGCCTTGAGGGCTTCCGCTACACTTTGTAGATTTTTGTGTAGATGATGCGAAATGAGATATGAATTCAAGACTTCAATCTGATGGGGTTTCGCTCAGTTGTGATGACAATGGGGTACATCACTTCTACGCCTTGGATCTGATGTGTGTTGCGGGAGTAGTGAATACGCCTGCGAATTTTGCTTTCATGATCGATCGTGGATGACCTTGCAGAGGAAAGCTGCGTTCGAGGTAGAAATCGGAGCTTACTAGACGAGTGAATCGGTCGCTGTAAACCACATGTAGGCGTTCCCACTCGGCCCCATTGTCAAAACAGAAGAATTTCCATCTGCGAGTGTACAGGTGAAAGTTGTGTTCAGAGGCTCGTTAGGAAGCGCGTGGGAACCAGGGCGAGATTCTGTGGAAGTAAATGCAGAAATTGAAGAGAACTCCGTCTAGAGGGTCTCACAGCCGATTGAATGTCGCGCTGTCAGCTGCAAAAGTCAGAAGTCCTTTAAGGATTATACATTTTGATACACGTAGTATTTCGGTGCCACCCCGGTGACCTGAACCATGGTCTGTAGACATGTACATCCTCCCGAGGCAAAATGAGCGAGCTATGGGATCCTCGGACTCCTCTTCCGCCACGAAAACTCGGTCCTCGATAGTCTGATCGCAGAGTCGAGTGGTTTCCGACTTGCTTTCCATGGAGGCATTGCGCTATGTGGACATTTCATCTGTTGTCAGGCTGGACAGACAATGTCGTTCATATGATGCCAGGAATCATGGCGAAGCGCTTCTTCTGGTACTTGCCAGGAAGCTCCTTGCGATATCTCGCTTCCTTCTTCTGGGCCCAGATTGCCATCTGCCCAACGGCAACCGCGACGAAGACCAGTGTTGTCCAAGAGCGAGTGATCAATGTGATGCCCACCCATGCGACAGTCTCGAACAGATAGTTGGGACACGTAACCCAGCTGAAGCCCAGGCCTTGCGGCACTCCACGCTCAGTACCACCTGGTGATCGCAGCGATCGCAACACATAGTGGGCGTTGAGGTTGGCGAGTTCTCCCACTACAAAGAGCGCGAGGGCAAGGTATGTGAGAAGAGGATTGCCTTCAGCAGCCGTTGCGTGTGTTGGCGAATAGATGAAGGCGGCAATCAGCACACCCGCCAATCCCCAGTAGTGTGCGCTGTTCTTGAAGATGTTGAATGCCGGCATGGTGCCATTGCTGAAGCGGTGCACGAAGAGCGTCTCAAACTCGCGTTTGACAAAGTGCAGCGAGATGAGCAGGCACGAAAGGGTCTGCAGGGTCGAGGGTTCGGAAGGTGCGTTGGAGTAGATGTACGGGCGAAGGAAGTAGAAGAGCGGGTGGATGAGAAGCGGGCCGAGATACTCGATCACGAAGACGGTTCGCCATGCAATTTGCAAACCTGGTTCACTGCCTGTCAGCGTGGTGCAGAGAGATGAGGAGGACGGGAACGAGAAGGGAAGGAAAAGGGAGAGGAAAGCGACGACATACCCAAGTCCTTGACCTGGATGGTGCTGCCATCCTTGAGGCCCACGCTGTCGACCGTCGTCTGCTTGTCGTTGGGGATCAGCTTGCCATCCAAGGTGGTGATGCGCAGACGGTGCACGGAGAAGCGGGACTCGGCGGCGATGCGGTGGTAGAGGTCACTGGTGCTGCCCTGAATGTAGATTTTGGTCTCGGAGGGCAACTGGGGGATGCGTTTGCCTGCTGACCGGTGAGATTGTACGTCCGTTGCTGCAAGACGCTCCGCGAGCCGGACAGTCACCCACCTCGCGCCTTGACCTGCAGCGTCACCGGTTTCGAGGCCATCTTGAAGGATGAGGTTGGGGATGGGGATGCTCAAAAAGCTGGGTTGCATGTGAGGACGGGAGGCCCCGTAGGGTTCACTTGGGATGGATCACTGGCTTGGTTGTAACTTAGTTGTGTAGCAGTACTCCCGTCCTACGCACTCAAACCTCACTGGCACCAACATTGAACCGACCCGCGGACATATACCGCCCAGGTTACAAATTCCCGCCGGATCCGCATCCGCTGAGATCGAGTGACATTGGGAATTTGCGATGCCTTTGTGCTCGCTAGTGGAGGCAAGAAGGGCAGTGCTGACACGAGCTGTTGATCGGGATGAGCATCGGAGATCACTGCCCATGGCGACCCCACCATGCCTCCATCTGCCTCCACCGCTTTGTTCTGGAGGCCATCACCGCTGCTGGCGGCCACAAGACTCGGGGAAGGCGATGTGACATGAGCACACGCCGCCTCAATGCCAGCCTTGCGCAAGCCACATTGTAGTCCTCCGAACTAGCGTCTTCCATGGACCTATGAGCGCTCAGCTTTTACCTTGCAGCTCTTTCGCGTCGAGGATGCGAATGCATGAGCTCCTTCGGGATGGTCTTCCTCGAGGCGCAGGTACGGAACGAACGGTACAGCCGCAGCTGACAGAGGCCAAGGACAAAGGCCTCCATGCCGTCTACTTATACAACGAGAGTGTAACGCACGGTTTGCGCCTCTATWTAAGTTCTCACCTTGACCGCTTTGTTTTGACTTTTGCGTGATTGCCCTTTTCCGCCCCCGTCGTTGCTGCATCTGCTGATAACTACTCACCACACATCCGGATTACGAAGTGTACGTATGAGTTTCAATATGCTTCTCGAGAATGCCTTCCATCGGCCGTGGCCATGTTCGTTCCTGCACTTGACCCAAGCGAGCAGCATCGACTTGCGGGTACACGTCCAAGGACAACAACTTCTCCGCAAACTTACCATACTCCAAAACTTCGGATCAACAGGAAACTGGCTAGCTCGTGACACTCTTCATTCTGATACACGACCTGTGCATGGAGTCATCATTACAAGACAACATGCCTCGAACCAGTCGGCCGGTGGGCGAGGATGTGACAACGGAGCAGCTTTCAGCACCGTCTCACCATCATTGTCGATGGTGCGACTCTCAGCAACTACGGCACCGGGGCAATAATACGAGAGAGCATTCGCCCGATGGAGCCAACAACGAAGCTCGCATGTACGGGCACTCGGAGGCTTCCAACAATGGAAGCTTGACTGACACTCAGAGCACGTCAAAGCTCCTGGATTCTCACGTCCAGGACGTCCGGAAGATGCATCACTCGAGGAAACATACCAAGACGAATCAAAGCTGCTTCAAGCCTCTACCATCTCTCCCTTTGGATGCAACAAAAGATGAAGTTTCCAATACCTATCTCAGTGTCTCGGAATCATCGTACTTTGTTCTCGATCTGCGCTGATATGTTCTGCGAGCTGCGTACTGACCGTGTCAATAGTGCCAACATGGATTCTCTCCTGAAGAGAATTCAATCCCACAGGACTTCGAAGAAGCCAACAACAACCGCTGGGAGCGCGAAGACAGAGCCCGTCGCTCCATCGCCAAAGATTAATGGAGCAGCCATCGAACCGACACCTGAGGCGGATGTCATCAACAACGGGAATGCAAAGCAGAAGTCTCCCCCTGAGCCAGAGCAGCTGTCGATGCTTGATCAAACTACACGCAGGGTATAMGAATCTTTAGGCCAGCTCAGGACTCTCCTCAAAGCTTCTGATGCTCCTCTGCCCACACAAACTGGAGATGGCAGCGAGCTACCCCAGGAAAAAGACGACTTCTGGAAGGATGTCAACGAGATCATTCGTGACATCCCACGCCAAGACATCAACAACGTCGCGGGTCTGATCGAGACTGTGAAGTTGACAGCGTTTGGACAGCCGCTGGATGACAAAGAATACCTTATGGAGAGTATGATTGCAGTCGCTGCCAAACTCCCGGATGGCTTCTTACGAGACAAAATCACCAATACGTTGGTGACCACGCTATGGAATGACTTGGAACATCCTCCGCAGACCCTTCTGGCAGAGGAGTACGAATTTCGTCAGCCAGACGGCAGTAATAACAACTACAAATATCCAAATATCGGCAAAGCAGGCATGCCTTACGCTCGTACTGTGGCCCCAAAATCTAAGCAGAGTGGTGTCCTTCCTGACCCGGGCGTCTTGTTTGACTCCGTCATGGCCCGAAAGAGTGAAAAGGGCGAGAAACACCCAAACCGGGTCTCGAGTATGCTCTTCTATCTGGCTTCGATCATCATACATGATGTGTTCAAGACTGATCACGCTGATGCCCGGATCTCGAACACCTCCTCGTATCTCGATCTTGCTCCTTTGTACGGAAGTAATTGGGATGAGCAGAAGCTCATGCGAACTTTTAAAGATGGGAAGATCAAGCCCGACTGCTTCTCCGAGACTCGTCTTTTGAGCTTTCCTCCGGGTGTTGGTGCGCTTCTAATCTTGTTTAACCGCTACCACAACTATGTCGTGGAGCAGCTCGCCTTGATCAACGAAGACGGCCGATTCACGGAAAATCCCCGCAAGATCAACGTGGATCGATATGGTGCGACTGGCCTCAACAAACGTGATGATGACTTATTTCAGACCGCCAGGCTTATTACTTGCGGACTGTACATCAACATTATCCTGGTCGATTATGTACGTGTAATCTTGAACTTGAATCGAACAGACGACAATTGGCAACTCAACCCACGTGTGGTAGTTCCAGACGGGCCGCCACTTGGGACAGGCAACCAGGTCTCAGCGGAGTTCAATCTGGTATATCGCTGGCACGCTGCTGTAAGCGAGCGGGATGATCTATGGACAAGGCAGCTATTCTCCGAGCTTCCTTTACCAGAGAACATGACACCCGAGGACGTAGCCAAGCCCGAGAAGATCAGGACCTTCCTCGGAACTCTTGCACACATCGAGGTCGAGACAAAGAAGCAAGATCCGACAGAGCGTGCATTTCCTGCCCTCAAGCATGAACGTCTAACACGTCTGTCAGAAGGACCTTACAAGGGCAAATTTAAAGACGACGACATTGCTGCTTTACTGACAAGTGGTATTGAAGACTGCGCCAATGCTATGGGACCGCAGCAAGTACCAACAGTCATGAAGGCCATTGAGATCTTGGGTATCCAACAGGCGAGAACATGGAAGTGTGGCACACTCAACGAGTTCCGCCAGCACTTTCACCTTGTCCCACACAAGACCTTTGAGAGCATAACCAAGAACAAGGAGGTCTCGGAAGCACTGAAGCACCTATACAACACCCCAGATGACGTAGAGCTGTATCCGGGACTGGTTATCGAGGACGACAAAGAACCCAAGTTACCAGGCTCCGGATTATGCCCGTCCTACACCGTCTCTCGAGGTGTGCTATCTGATGCCGTGGCCTTGGTCCGCGGTGACCGTTTCTACACGACGTCATACACTCCGGCCCTGCTCACCAATTGGGGCTTCCAGGAGGCCTCATCGGATCTCTCCATCGACAATGGCTGTGTATTCTACAAGCTATTCCTCCGTGCGCTACCGAACAATTATGATCCGATGTCTGTTTACGCGCATTATCCCATGACCATACCTGGAGAGATGCGAATTATTTTAGAGGGACTCGAAAAGGACCACTTGTACAACTTTGACAAGCCCAAAGAGTCTCACCACCCAGTCGTGCTGTTCAGCCACGATGCTGCGATCCAGGTGACCGAAGACCAGGAAACATTCCACGTGACCTGGGGCAAGGCAATGGAGTTCCTGATGGGTCCAAAAGCCAGAAACTTCATGCTCGCTGGGGACGGCCCTGAGAATGCCAAGTCAAGAGACTTGATGGAGAAGCAGATGTACCAGAGCGCTTCTGGTACTCCATCTCGCGGTATGTAAGCTTCGCTTCTCACGCAAGGTCCATATGCTGATTTCTCCTCAGGCATTCCGTCGGGCAACGAAAAGTGGCTCAAAGCCGTGCGTGAATTTTACGAGCAAAAGACCACTGAGCTGCTCAAGAGCAAATCCTACAAGCTTGCTGGTATCAACAATGTAGACATCATCCGAGATGTCGGAAACCTTGCTCACGTGCACTTCTGCTCCGAGCTTTTCAGGTGAGTATTGATAGCAGGCACTGGTGTTGCTCGAATGCTAATGCAGAGACCAGCCTTCCTCTCAAGACGGAGAAGTTTCCAAAAGGAATCTTCACTGAACAGCAGCTTTACCTGATCATGGCGGCCGTCTTCACCTGTGTCTTCTTTGACCTGGACCCTCCAAAGTCATTTCCACTCCGCCAAAAAGCTCGAGCCGCAACGCAGTCGCTCGGCAAAATCGTCAAATTGAACGTGGTCTCAATCAAGACATTTGGGAAGGTGGCAGAAATGCTTTCCGATGCGATCAGGCCAAACGATGGACCCCTCAAAGACTACGGCGTGCACATGATCGCCCAGCTGTGCAAGGCCGATACTGATGTTGATGATCTTGTCTGGGTGTGTAGGAACGCCAACCATCATCTCCAGGAACATGCTGACATGGCAACAGGGCAATATCATGGGTACTGCGGGCGGAATGGTCGCGAACCAAGGACAGCTTTTTGGCCAAGCATTGGACTACTTCTTCACCGAGGGCAAGGATTATCTCCCGGACATCAACAGGTTGGCGAAACTCGATACGCCTGAAGCTGACGACACACTTATGCACTACTTGATGGAGGGCGCCCGCCTTAAAGGAGAGACTGGTATCTTCCGTGTTGTAACAAAAGATGTCACCATCACCGACACCACCGCGCCTCTTGGTACTCGGACTTATAACCTCAAGAAGGGAGACACCGTGATGGTGAATCTCAAAGCAGTCGGAAGGGATCCGAAGCACTTTCCTAACCCGGATACTCTTGACCTGAGCCGTCCAATCGACAGCTACATGATGCTAGGACATGGAGCTCATCAATGTTTGGGCCTGCCCATGACCCGCGTGGCTCTGACGACTATGCTCAAGGTCATTGGCCGTCTGGACAATCTTCGACCGGCGGCCGTGGCAATTGGCAACCTCAGCGTAAAGCATGAGGTCAAGAAGGTCATGAAGGAGTTCGTCCCGGGAGACAAGCACGTGTTGCCTGAGGAATGGCACTAGTAAGTATCGCCTGCGATGGAGCAACGTATGTTCTTGCTGACGGTTACTGCAGCCACCTCTACCTGACTGAGGACTGGGACCAGTACTTTCCTTTCCCTACTAGTGAGTGAGCCCATGCTTCTGCATCGATAATATATGCTAACATGGCGTGCAGGTCTCAGGATCAACTTTGATGGCGTGATTCCCGATGCCAAAACAAGTTCTTGAATGATATCGAGGGGTTGTTGAGATGTCTCAGTCGACGGCCTTGCCAATACTTTGCCTATTCGCAACTATGGACCGCACATCGTGTACACTATCTTCCTACAACGCTTTCATCATTCCCCGTACTCCATCATCATTTCGAGACATCATCCCTCTAGAAGTATCGTCAAGACCATAGGTCGAGGAGAGCAAACGGCCAACTTGGTCCCACGTGCATTTCATCTGCACCGATACTTCTGGGCAGCAATGCATGGGAGTGTCGTAACGTCTTCGGCGAGCTGCTTAAGGCAAGCGGAAATTGTAATTAACTGACGACTCGGAATGTATCCCTACTTCCTGGCTGCATCGATCGAGGCGACCTAATATAGTACGTGCAGCACCTGAGAGGGTAGCTGCATTAGGGTAGCAAGCACAAGCATAATGAGCTGTGTGCCCGTGCACGCGTTGTCGAAGGCCCTCATTCTGAAGGAGTTTGGTGTCTCGGAGCTACCGCCGAATAGTGGTGAGCGAGTCAGCGAATCAGCGGTAGTGCTTTGAGGTCTTCAAGGATTCAGGATCTGTGGCTTTCATCAAGATCGAATCAAGATGTCGACAACCAGAAGCGGTTTGAGAACTGGCGACTGGGGATCAGAGTTTGACAAGCCAAGGAGCCTTTTATCTTTCGCCCTCTAGTAGGCGAGCCTCGATCCGCAGTGGGGRATTGCAATTGGCACATGGCCGGAAGAGCGGTACACAGGGTTGGCGGCGCGCCGATCATATAATGTTGTCGTGACGAGTGTGGATTGGCAGTTACTCTGTCGTATCTGCCGTTGCATYGAGAAGTACCTTATTCCATCTCGCGTAACTGGAGTTTGCCTCAAGTGTCCCAATTCTGGCCCCAAGACCGCATCGCTGGCCGAATCATCCCTCCGGCACGTCTGCCAAGGACCATAAGGACATGTGGTTGCAGTGATACGGAGGAAGAAAGAGACGAGCACAATATGGAGGCAGATGAGCTGGGCGACAATGACAGCACGTTCGGCGGAGATAGGTACCTACAGCCTACCTACAGCTCACGTGCAAGCATCGCACAAACGTGGAGCCTCCCGAGCTGACCGGGTATACTGTATGACAGAGATTCGCTGGCGAGCAGTTCCACAAGTTTGGTCTYCGCCGTCACGAGATATCAGTTTGAGCATGGCCGTCGCTATCATGGCTGTAGGACAATACCACCGTCCCCGATCTTGTGTTCGATGCGAACTGACACTTCCGACGCGTAGACAATGCCGGCAAATACAATTTCCCCAACGACGAGCTGGAGCTCAATAGAATGGACATTGAACACCACAATCAAAAGCTGCAACTAGATGGCGCATTGCATTTGTGTCCACTCGATAATCCCAAGGAGATATTAGATCTAGGAACGGGTAGGCTGCGCTCAACCCGCCAATGCAATGCATATCGCCTACTGACGATAGCCAAGGTACTGGAATCTGGGCCATAGACTTTGCAGACGAGCGCCCCGATTGTCAGGTCATTGGTATTGACCTGAGTCCCGTGCAGCCCAGCTGGATCCCGCCTAATTGCAAGTTTGAGGTCGTAAGTCGTCTGCGCATGCTCAGGTACKATGAGTGTCTATTAATGAAGTCTAGGATGACTTTGAAGAGGACTGGTCAGTATTTCCCTCTACCATATGCATACAGTTTGTGTTGAAGCGACTCACACGTGTCTAGGACATATGGCGAGTCTCGCTTCGACATGATACATGGTCGATTCTTATTTGGATCCGTATCCTCGTTCCCGAACCTGTACAAGGAAGTTTATAATGCACTTAAACCCGGCGGTTGGTTTGAGATTGTCGAGATGGAATGCGGGACATTCTCTGACGACGACTCACTGAAACCTGATGCTGCTAGTAAGCAATGGTGGGACTGTCTGGAAGATGCTTTTGCAAAATTGGGCAAACGCATGCCTAAAATCGCCGAGTATCCTCGCTGGATGGAGGAGGCGGGATTCGTCAATGTGACGTCTACGATGAAGAAACGCCCGACGAATGACTGGCCAAAGGATCCACGCATGAAAGAAATTGGACGATATTCATGTCTGAACTTTTTGGAAGGTCTTGAAGGATTCTCCATGAAGCCTTTTACTCTCGCTCTTGGTTGGACCCCAGAGGAGGTGAAAATTTTGTTGGCAAAGGTCAGGAAAGAAACTGTAACGAGAAAGATTCATGGATGGCAGAAAGGGTAAGTGCATTTGAATCTTGTTATCAGAAGAGCTCCACTGACTGCTGAAAGAATTGTATGTTATGGGCAGAAACCTCTCTTGCCGCAATGAATGTGGTGTCTTGATGAGTCTGATCAATTCACGCAAGATTGATCACGATACCCAAATTAATGGTGCACATTTCAATAATTCCCGGTCTCTCATCCCCTCCACTGCGATGCTCTTGAGCGATTTTCTTGGAGAAAAAACTCACGCCACCAGACATGCTACATCCGCATCCATGAACCGTATCCTGGTCGTCATGAATACGTCCTTATTGACTGCATTACAGACTGATGATACTGCCACTTGATAGACGAGCCTCATGGCTGGCTGGTCTAAGCGCCACGAATCTGATGCATCAGGAATCCCCTCGTAATATTTCTGAAGGTGATGTTGCAGACAACTTTTGGTGTTGCATCGCAGTCTAAGTAAGGTAGTCTGGACCATTGAAGCAGATGCAGGCACCGCAAGCACTTCGGCCGACATTTCTTCCAACCAATGGCCGCCCGCAACACAAGCATTCCCTACACCAACAAGGATCGGGATTTAAATGCCACTCCGGCGCTGAGAGAGTCTGCAAGAAACTTCGGTAGTTAGTCCTCAACCACACGTCCTTGTCCGTCAAGACTCTCCCCTCCCGTTGGCTCCCTGGGAAAAACTCCACCGAGTGCCTAGCTCCCCCGATCTTCTCCCGGACAAATCCAGTCGCAAGAGACAATCTCAAACCTGGGGAAATGTCTCATGTTTCGGGCTTCCGACGGCGCTCGCTGGGTTCCACGTGGGCCGCGCCTAGTGCAGTTACGATCAGCTTTTGGGTGGGTGTTCGCCGAAGAGTTCTTTCTACAAGACCGCAAGATTTCCGCGAGGAGCGCGGGGCGCACATGATCCTTCGACGCGACTTATTATACCCCGAGCGAAGCTGGCCTTCTTCTTTGATATGCCGTTGACTGACCTTTTGCTCACAGCTGCTGTGGTTCGAAGGCAGTGGACTGGATAGAATTTTGGAGGAAGTCGCGTCGTCGGCGTGAGTGTTTCCATTGCGGACGTCCAGTCTTTCAACATGATGAGCTCGAACATGATGATTTTCGAGGAGCTGGAACCGCGCGCAGCGAAGATTCTTGCGAATCAAAATAGAGGATTGACCTTGGCCGTCGTTACATGGTTGCTGCTAGGCTTTTCCGCCATAACCTTGTGTGCGCGATGCTGGTGCAAGTTCAAGCACGCTCGTCAGCTCTATTACGACGATGTTATCATGCTAATAGCATTCGTAAGCAGTACCTGGTTTGCTCGCGGAATGATTTTGATGGACTGCTTCTGACCGGCATCTAGCTAAATGGAATCGTGTACTCTGTCATGGTTCAGCTTAATGTGTCCAAAGGCTATGGGCAACACATAGGCTCCCTGAGCCAAGTCGACATGATAGATACTGTGTGAGTGAGCGAGCAAGCAGAAGAACATACCTTCCGATCCGATATACTGACGACCAAGGTATAGTTTGCTCGGCTCCCTAGTCATGCTCTTCGGCGCGTTGAGCGCAATGGCGGGTCGAATATCCTTTTGTTGCACACTGATGTTTCTCATCAAAACAGACCCGCGTATAAGAACATGGTAAGATGCCAGAGGGCAAAAGACGTGCTATGTAGTTCGAAGGCCTCTCTCGAGCTACGCCATGTCTCTGTCCACATCGAAAACATCTTAGACATCGCTAACCTTTTTACCCTTTGCTTCTTAGGCATGTCTATGTCTGCATAGTCTTTCAGCTCGCGTTGAATGTKGTATGTTCGAAAGGAACAAACAAGATCCAAAGGAGCACAGCTGACAGTGCTCTCAGACTGGTATCATCGTCCTTTTCACCCAATGTGGCAGGACCCTAGATCACGTATGGGAAGGAGAGCAATCGTCAAACTACTACGACTTTTGCTCGAACCCTACAATGCAGACATATTTAAAGTACGCTGTCGGTGCAGGAAATGCATCTACAGATTTGTACTTGGCAATATTGCCCGCCATTCTGATCAGCCACACCAAGACGTCTTTGAAGGCGAAGCTAGGCATGGCGAGTCTTCTCTGTCTGAGTGCGTTGGCCTTGGTCGCTGCCAGCGCCAAGACGTACGAAGCAAAGGTAAGTGAAGGGAAGCTTAGCTTACCTTGCATCAAGTGCTTTTGTGTGAGAATATTGCTGACCAGCTTGCTCTTCATCACTAGGTTTTGCAGAACATTACCGACTTCACATTCACCCTCGTCCCTTACACGCTGTGTACTTCGATCGAGCTGAACATCATCATAATATCAGCATCAATACCCCTCTTGAGACCATTGTTTCGAAGGCAGAAACCACCAAAGGTCTCGCTCAGCGGAAACACATGGCCCGAAGGTGGACAGATTTCGCTGGGATCTCTGCAACCTTCACAAAGCGAAGAGAGCAGCATGTCAGAAATCAAGCGGGAGGATTCAAAGACGAGTCTGGCAAGGAGTCAGAACGAGGGCATTACAGTGACCACTGTGATCGACGTAGCCTCCCATGAACGGAGCGCACCAGTAGTCCACGCAAACCTCATAGGACTTGTGTCGGACTCGGATTACATTAGATACCCTGACACTACAGGCGACGGGTCTGCGAGGAGACGCCGCTGCTGGTAGCATTATAGTCAAAACTTAATTGGAAGAGTTCAATGCTGGGATCACCTCACAAGTGCTGTTACTCGAATAAAGCAGAAATGCTGCCATTCCAAACTATTAGCTATGTCTTTAAACAGGAAGAGGGATACTTCTCAGAGTCAATCCAAAAGCTATTCCGAAGTCACCCAATTGCGCAACTTCGGGATACGAGCACTCAATTTTTAATGTCTCGATCTCCCTTCTGATGACGCGGCTTCCCTTTCAATTCAGCGCCTTGCATGACCAGAGTCACACTCTGAGACCGGGCAGCGATTGTGTTGATGCGCCAGAATGACCTACTGACAAAGTGAGCGAGGGGATCTGTAGATGGTTCGGTCTTCGCGCTCATGCTTCTTTGGGACGCCGTGTTTCGAGGTTTGGCAAGCGACGTGGTGACTGCTCAATCTTCTGGTTCGTCCCGGCCGTACACGTATTTTTGCCGCTGAACGTCCTTGGACATTGGCTTTCCAGAGCCTGTGATGCCGACTAGACAGAATGTTAGCAGTKCACACCCAAAGACAAGGCAAGCGACATACCTTTGGCGTTGAGATTCGCCATGTCGGGTGTTCGGAACATGCTGTCCTTGGCAAGCTTCTTGCTCGGTGCACCAACTATAGCCTTCTTTGGCCCATTCTTCTGCCAATCGCCCCAGCTCGACTTGTTTTTCTCCAGGGCTTTCGCACCCTTGAGCTTCTTCGGTGCGGGCTGCATACGTGTCGGTCCATCGCTGACCTTGCTGGGTTCACGCTGTTGTACCAATGTCGGATCTATTGATGCAGCACCAGATGTCACATTTCCAATCACCACCGGGGACGAGGGCGCAGGAGGCGCAGTTGCTGACAACGAGCCTTCTGCTTTCCGCTTCTTGTTTTCGGCAGCGCGCACTTCATGCTTGCGCTTCGTCTCCTTCTCGGAATATCCTGTGAAGCTAACCACGTACACTGGGTCTGCGGTGCTACCTGTCTTGGATATTATGGTGCCCGGATACCATTGCTTATCGGCGGAGTACTTGGCGACAACCGAGTCTCCTGTGTTGAACACTGCTGTGTAGCTCTCCTCTGGCGGCGGAGGGGGTGGACCGTCCTCCGGTAGTCCTTTTTGATATTTCGGATGTTTGCTCATGTCGAACTTGGGCGCTGGCGGCGGTGGAGGCACGCTCTGTGCCCGCTTCAGCAGATCGATCTCCGCCTCAGTGGTCGCTATCTGCTGTTGGACCAGATCCTTCATCTGAACCAAGTCGGTGTCTGTCGGGTCAGATGCGATGGCTTGTAGGCAGGCCTCGAGGTCGCTCTGATGCCCTGCCAACTCCTCCTGAAGTGCTTGGATTGAAGCCATGGCTGTGTTCGTGCAATTGTCGCGGAGTAGTGTGATGTATCGATCTGGGTGAAGCCGACGTCGTACTGTAAGGTAGAGGTGTGATTGAAGGGAACTCGGGAGTCGGGACCGGCCAAAGTGGAAGGTGGGTCCGACGACCCTTGGACGATCAGATTCATCAGCCTCTCAAAGTCAGAGTCACAGACCAGACGCTTCTGTGCATTCTGCTTTGAAATCAGCAGAAGCAGAGGTCGATGCGTGAGGCTCTCCTCCAATCACTACAATCACCCGGCCCGTCCGCTGCAATCCTCCCCTCCCTGTCTTGAGCAAGTGCTGCCTCGTCCACTGCAAGGCTCTGCACATCTACCGGGGTCTGCGTTGTGTCTCGCCGTCTCCGACTTTGGGGGCTGTTCTGATCGCCGTCATCAGCACGTCTCTTTCTTTACCCATTCCACCTTTTCTTTCCCCACAAACATACTCACTCTACCTCTCGATTGGCGTGCACACATACCGGGAGCACCAACACCAGATCTGAGCCGAAGCACGCTCATCCACACCTACGAATCACGCTGCCTGGTCTTACCCCGCCTGCCGCTGCTGTGAGGAAGCACAAGCCGTGGTCGGATTGACATCCTTTCAGCTGCCTTTATTCTAGCCAGACCTGTCCTTTTTCTGGCCAACAAACAAGCGAGCACATTGATAGCGACCACAATCGATGGCCGCGCAATCTTCCAATCCCAACAAGCAATATCTATCGCGCAATCAGCAGGACCTCCTCTACGCTGCGCTGAACTCGCAAGCTGGAGGCCCAGAGCACCCAATCAAGCGATCGGATTCAGACTCAGACAAACTGACAATGAGCGTCGTCAATGGAAATGCGCTCTTCATGAGCCCGCAGCACGCGGAATTGGACAACTTCGACGTGGATCTTGATTACACACCCGACATGGACTTCCTGGACGGAGATAGCGGCTTTGACTTTGAAACCGCTGATCTTGGTGGTGAGATGATTGGTGCGCTGCCGGGTCGTAGCGAAGGCAGCGAGGACGCACGCACAACCACCGCAGACGGTCACGAGAAACGAAAAAGCCCCGATGAGGCCGGAGATAACGAGGAGGGCGATGCCAAGAGACAGGAGACCCAAGAAGGAGAAAAGGGCGGTGCGAAGAAGCCTGGTAGGAAGCCGCTCACAAGTGAACCCACAACGGTATGCATAATTCACTCCAAACATTTGAAAAAGCTACTGACAGGCGCTTTCAGAAACGTAAAGCGCAGAACAGAGCAGCCCAACGCGCCTTCCGTGAACGCAAGGAGAAGCATTTGAAGGACCTGGAGACCAAGGTTACGGAGCTGTCAAAGTCCCAAGAGGCGGACAAGCACGAGAATGGACTGTTAAAAGCGCAAGTCGAGCGCCTTCAGGCTGAGCTGCGAGAGTACAGAAAGCGTCTTTCGCTCAACAGCGCCAGCGTCAACCGTTCGCCGATACTTCCGGCAACGGGAGGTCAGCAGCGGAGTAGCAGTGCCTCCTCATATGGCGGCAACTTTCACTTTGATTTCCCCACGTTCGGAGGCCTCCCTGGAAGTCAGATGTTTGGCAAACAGGGAGTCTCCAGCGGTCCAAGTCCCACCTCCAACGCCTCTGACATTACACATCCACAAGAACGACGCGGAACTCAAAACAGTCGCAGTCTCAGTCCACAAAACCAACAAGCCACCAGCTCCAGTGCAGGCACTCCAGCAGGTAAACTCGATTCGACATTTGCACCGTATAGTACCAACAGCAACATGCATGGCTTTGCCAATACGTTGCCACAGATGAACGGTTCGAGCGACCCCTTTGGCGACCTCTTTAGCCCAGGTCTTCTGAAGAATGCCAATCAAGACAACTACTTTGAGACTTCTCAGGTGGCGAACGCCGCGTCCGCAGTGCAGTCGAACGCAGGCGACACCGCTGGCGGCGACAGTAATGCTGGCCTCAACCGCGTCTTTCAGTTCAATGGAGGGAGCAACGCTAGTGATAGCACATCTCCCAGTAACAGCAGTGGCTGGAATGTCAACACGGGTAACAGCTCGTGCGGAACCTCACCTGCGCCATCTCACGACAGCCCAGCCAACAAGGATAAGAATATCGACTCTTTCGTCCAAAAACAACACCCCGGCAGCGCGACATTTGCCACCACCGATCTGCAGAACGGAGTCGATCCTTCGTTCTCTGGATATAGCGCGCCATCGCTCGGTAGCTTCGACCCAGTCTTGTTTGGCGACTACCGAGAAAGTAACGATGCTATCGTGGGAGGTGGGAACTTTACAGGTGGATTCTTCGACGATGCTCTTATGTCCGCGCCTTTCGACTTCAACTCGCCCAGCAATTTGTTCGGTATTCTGCAATCACCACAGCAAAGCAATGCTGTCATTGGCAATGGAGCAAATGCGTCCACTCCGAGCCGGAACCTCATTGCTGAGGTTGAAAAGACACGAGATGGAGGGGATGATGATGCACGAGTGTCTGCCAAGAGGGAAGGCTCTGGCCAGATGATCAGCTGCAACAACATATGGTACGCCAAAACATTCACATGTGATCGGTAAAATGCTAATACTTTACTAGGACCGAGTTGCAGACTAATAAAGACTTCGTTGACGGCAAATTTGACCTCGACAGTCTCTGTCAGGAGCTGCGTACCAAAGCGAAATGCTCCGAGTCGGGAATGACCATACCCAAAGAACACGTAGATGCTGCTCTGCGGAGATTAGGCCAGAAGGAAACGTCTCGGGAGCAGTCAGCGCTGATGTTCGAGCAGAACAGCTGGTAAGTTTGCGTAAATATCTGATTGTCTACATGTATTAATGCACCTCCCAGGGACAATGTCTTGAAGAAGCTCCAAGAGGGCAAATCGTAGTGTGCATCACGAGCCGTTGCGCGAGGGAGACGAAAAACGATTGATAGGGTAAAGCAGGTTGGCGTATGAAGGAGTAACGGCAAACTCATGTCATCGCCAAACCATGGATATGGCGAATGTAACATACACTGAGACGTGTAATGAAACTTGACTCCGTTAAGCAACTGAATCAAATGGCGCTGCCGTAATTTGCATGTGAAGATGAAGCGGCCGGTGGTTTCCAAGATCTTGGACGACCCCACACGTTGCCCGGCCAACCACAGGCGGTCGATGGATCGTCGAGTCGTACAGAATGCATTCCGACGACAAAGACGTTCATTTATAGAGTTGATCTCGCGAAATGCCAGCTTCATCATCGCAGGTCCCACGCGACTCTCCGGCCAGAAGGCAGCGTAGACGGAGAACTCACCAACGGACCGACAGCAACGGGGAGCTTCTTGGAAACTATGACGAAGATGCGATTCCGGCCAGCCCGGGCAGAGCACGAAGAAGTCACCACGAACGACGCAGCTCGAGAACTCCAAGATCTGAGCAAACACGTACTTCCAGCACTGCGCTTTCTTCGGAACAACTCGCACGGCTGGACAGATTGAATCAGAATCAGGGCTGGTCCGAGTACGAACGRGTGCCGCAGCCGCGACGCGTAGACCGTGAGGATGAGATTCGGGCAGAGCGGGCGCGGGCAGAGCGCGATGAAAAAGACAGAGAGGAGCGGAGGGAGCGAGAAAGACAGCGACGGAGGGATGAGCGCAGGCGACGGCGGCGGGAGGAGGCAGAGGCTGAAGCCTCATTGGACGAGCAGGAGCGGGAGGAATTGGCTTATGAGCCTCGCAGGACCAAACGAAGATCAGAACGGAGATCGCAGCGGCCGGAGCGACGAGTCATAAGCGGTCAGACACTGGAGCGAGGAGCAGGACGGTACTACAGCGACAAGGAGGAGTTCCGGGATGATGTACGCGAAGGCACCAGCAGTAGTGCAGTCAGCGCAGAAGAAGGCGAACGAAAAAGGAAACGGAAACGGAACATCTTGATAGGCGTGGCCATCATCATAATAGCGCTCGCCATAATCATTCCCGTCGCCGTGGTCGTGTCGAAGAAGAGTGGGAGCAGTTCGACCGAGAAGACTGGAGGAACWAGCACGGGCGGATCGTCGAAACCATCTAACAGCAATCTCGACAGCATCTCAAAGGATGACATCCCTCAAGCGGCCCAGGGAACAGTACTGGACCCTTTTACGTGGTACGATACCTTGGATTTCAACTTGACCTACACCGATGCCACAGTAGGTGGMTTGAGCGTCATGGGCCTCAACAGCACGTGGGACGACAGCAAGCGTGCTAACAATAACGTACCGCCTCTTAACAAGCCCTTCGAGTATGGCAAAATGCCTATCAGAGGTGTGAATGTAGGCGGTTGGCTGAGCCTTGAACCATTCATCACGCCATCGTTCTTCTCCAGGTTCACCACCAGCGACGGTGTAATCGATGAATGGACATTGACTGAGAGGCTGGGCGGACAAGCGAAAAGCACGATCGAGACCCACTACTCGAGCTGGGTGCAAGAGTCCACTTTCGCCGACATCCAAGCTGCAGGCTTTGATCATGTCCGCATTCCGTTCAGCTACTGGGCAGTCACTACCTACGATGGCGACCCGTACGTTGCGCAGGTTTCTTGGCGATACATGCTTCGAGGCATCGAATGGGCTCGCAAATATGGCCTGCGCATCAATCTCGACCTTCATGGTGCTCCAGGCTCCCAGAACGGCTGGAATCACTCTGGGCGGCAAGGCATCATTCGCTGGCTCAATGGAACAGATGGCACGTTGAATGGCGATCGTACTATTGATATCCACAAGCAGCTCTCAGCGTTCTTCACGCAGCCGCGTTACAAGAACATTGTCACCATGTATGGTCTCGTGAACGAGCCGCGCATGGTCAAGTTGGAGGAGAGCACTGTCATCGCATGGACGAAGGCAGCCGCCGAGGCTGTTCGTGGAAACAACTTCACAGGAATCATTGTCTTTGGAGATGGATTCATGGGTCTCGACAACTGGCAGGGAGAGCTACAGGGCATCGACGACTTGCTACTCGATGTGCATCAATATGTCATCTTCAATGTGGACCAGATCGTACTCAACCACCAAGACAAAATCAATTTTGCATGTGGCGGCTGGACAGCACAGGCACTTCGGTCCCAGAATACCGCTACTGGATTCGGTCCCACACTGTGTGGTGAATGGTCGCAAGCWGACACAGATTGTGCCCCGAATCTGAATAACGTTGGAGTCGGATCGCGATGGGAAGGCACGCTCAACATGGTTTCCACGCCTGGAGGCGGCGTCGATGGCAGCATACTGAATCCAACGTGTCCCACAAAGAACAGCCCACGATGCTCGTGCGATGGCGCAAATGCCAGTCCTAGCGAGTGGTCGGATGGATACAAACAATGGCTCCTCATGTTCGCTGAAGCTCAGATGCATTCTTTTGAGCAGGGCTGGGGCTGGTTCTACTGGACCTGGCAGACCGAGAGTGCGCCACAGTGGAGTTATAAGACTTCTTTGGCCGCTGGGACAATGCCAAAGTTGGCTTATGAGAGAAGTTTCAATTGCAGTTCTGATATCCCCGACTTCTCGGATTTGCCGGAGTACTATTAGCGAGCGAGCGTTGCTTTGAGAATCATACAATACACGCTTATAATGAATATGAGCGACGGCTTATGGGGAAAAACGCATGTATCATTCATTCACCTTATGTACGACTCATGGGTGACGGCAGATGAGAGAGAGTGTTGATATCGTGACGGTGGAGTGCATGCTGAATTTGCTTTGCATCTGCATGATCGACTTTGCATAGAGCGTGACCAAGTACCCAGCTATATGCTGATGAACGTTTTGGCTGCAGCAGTATACCGGCATGCATGAGGGAAGTCATCGTAAGAGAATACCTTGTTGTGTAGTCACTATCTACACTCTCCTACACGCCTATTCGCACATTCAAAGAAACCGCGATAAGACTTTTAAACCATGTACCTTCCTATAAGTCACCAGTAGAGTAAATTATTCACAATCACCGGCCGGCCATTCATGACGTTGATTCGTCGAGGTCATGCGGCCAACCCTGGAAAGTTCTCCAGCCAAATCTATTCTACCTGTGATGATGATGATCTTTGATGATCTGCGACAACCTTCACAAGCTTCTCCCCCCCATGTCTCCTCGGCAAACACTTGTCAAAAGTGCTTGATCTACGGCTCTAAAAATCTGCGCTAATTTTGTTTTTTTGGTGGTAGGTAGGGCATAGCTCCTTGCTGATGAGCGGCTCGTCATTTCAGAGGGGGAGGGTTAGGTTTGTTGGTGGGTTGGAACGAATAGAGGTAGGTCTTGTGAGGCGTCTTTTAGATCTGCAAAGTGGGAAGCATTAATTGTTGTAGAAATCCTTTATTATATTATTATTACTCCTTCTGCTGTTATTAGACTCGACTTCTTGCCTTATCGTTGTCTGCGTAGAGAAATTGCATCGAGTCCATTTGATTTCAAAATACACACGACGGCCTCAAACATGGTTTTACTTGTAGGACGCGATAGAGAGCACGAACGACCTCGRCCATGTGGACGGGGTGGGGCGGGCAACATGCGTGCGTCTTGGGAAAAGAGTCCAACTTGATTGATTCATGGATGCTGATGTCGACAGGCACCGTCTCTGAAGAGGAACACAAGGCTGCTGAGCTGGCAGAGAGTGATGACCACAGCGATAGTAAGCAGTCCAAACGAGTCGGTCGAATAGGTGGTGGAATGCTTACTCCCAACGAGGTCTTAGTCGACAAACAAGCACCATCTCTCGCAATTCGAGTTGGGGCTCCCTGCACGGCCTTCACGGCCGAACACTTATGAAGAAGATTTTATCGCGTCGAGGTTCGAAAGCAGAGGTTGAACCTGAAGCAACGGAGGCKGTGGAATGTGAAGACTCGGGGAAAGAACAGCAAAGAGTAGAGAGAGTTACGTCTACAGATACCCAATGAGAACTGCTTTTGTGTCAGCATCATGATAGCACAGATCGAGCGATATTCGGTGGGTGCAACTGCCAGTGTGAATACGAAGGAGAAGGGAAGAAGGAGAGAAGATGTCAACACGATGGCGATTTCACCTTCTGCGCCACTGTGACATGTCGTATTCATTACACGAGGGGTATCGAACTTATCCAACAGACTCTCCCAAACATATATATTTATACAATACTCAACCAGGAAGCCGTCCGGCGCTCTGGCTGTTGAAAAACGAAAGTCTCTGTTTCAAGGAGAATCCACTCTCGCTCCCTCGTCTCGCCTCCGGATCGGTATTGTTGCGGAAAACACTCAGACGACTGTTGCTCCTCTCCCGACCGCGCGTCTGACTGTCCGAGCGGGTTTGCTTGTCGCCTTCGGTTCTATTGGTCCGCCCCTGTCTCGAAAATCCCCGTTTCAGGAACGGAATGGACGTCCTTCGCCCGGTTCCATTTTCTGCCTCGGCCTGCTGTTCTTGTGACGGCGCTCCAGCAGAAGTTTGTGGATGGTCTGCGTCATTCAGTAATTGACCGTCTTGGTCATCGAGGGAAGAGCGAGGTGAGAGTTCGTCGGGCAGGTTCATGTTTCGGGGGAATAGAATGGCCAGCTCGTGTGCAAATGCGGCTTCGAATCGTGGCAGGAGCTCAGCCCTGGTCGCTTGATGGTCTCCTTTGCGATAAAGGCGCAGACAACGCCGGATAGCGAGTGCATGGTCCAATAAAGCGACTTTGAGGGCATTCTGTATAATGTCGAGGGAGTTTTCCTGTTCTTGAGCGAGAAGAGATGGATCGATGGAGCCCGAGATAGTGTCCGATATCTCGTATGCTGGAAGAAGGCCACGATATCGAGCAACGCTACTGTCAGAATCGGGGCCGACCGAGCTCAGCAAGTCTTCAGTGAGTCGTGCCATGGAACCATCATCTCCGTTGGCGGATATACGACTCTCCAAAGCAAGAAGCTCTTGCGTCTTCCTTGTGGTCCGCTCAATGGCAGCTTCGATGGGCAGCAACGTTATAGACTCTATTGCGACAACCTCGCTCCGTCTGAGAATAGTAGGAAACTCTTCTGCCGTTGTGTACAGCATCTTTTCAACAACCTGTTCTGTGATTGGAATGTCTCGCGCAGGCTGACGAGATGTGGTCGCGAAGCGTTGTGGATTGGAGATCAAATTGTACTCCCTCACGACCTGGGAGACCTTGATCCTCTGGTAAACAGGATGCTCAATGTCTTTGTTGGGGCTGACAGCGAAAATCTGCAAGTACTGCCCCTCAACCTCCGGCTCGGAATCGGTGCGGAGAATTCGAGCAGCAGGGTGCAGCTGTTGCATGCGGTCTTGGAACATGGCAAGTCGATCGGTGTCTGCGCCTTCAAAGATGAATTGCTTATCACGGAGGCTTGGCGGGAAGCCTAGCCCCCGATACACCACCCTGAAGTATCTTGGGTTCTTACGATCCCCCTTGGCAATCCGTTCCTGTATGCTAGCAATCGCTCGCTGAGTCCTCGCAAGCTTCAAAAAGTCGAAAGTGGTGGATTCGTACTGGACTGCCAGTTCCCGATACGCAGCAAGTGCCTGCTTCCAGGCCCGGCCCTTCTCGAACTTCTGGCATACTTCAAAGTATATCGCTTCCTTGCGTTCAAAAGCTGTTTGAGAAGGCAATTTCGGATCCGTCATCTCGGCGAGGTGGAGCGAAGTGTCCCAGTCGTAGCGATCGGCGTGCATTTTGAGTGCCAACCCGGCCTCCGTAACGTTTCCGGCGGCCGTTTGCATATCGGCCAACTGATGCACATACCGTATGTAGGCATCTTCGGATTRAACATCCCGAAGAAATTCCATGAGATGCAAGGTATCGACGAGGCGACTTGCATCGCTGACGGCGCCAGCTTTGTGAACGTTTGCGAGCATCACCAGCAGGTTGTCGATCTTCTCGAACATTTCGCTTACAGCGATATACAGACTGTCCTCGACCGTTCGCTGCAAGGGTTGGAATTGCTCCAGGAGTTCAGGGACGAAAGTCTTCTGCAACACGCTTTCAGTGACGCTCTTGGTCCTGCACAGCTTGTCCAGACAATCAATCATGGCACTTTGGATGATGGAAAGATCCTGGTCGATTTGCCAGGCACCGACAATCATCGAGCGCAAGACTTCAATCGCAACGGCACGAAGACTGCCGTGCACGCTGAGGCACAGCTCCACAATTGGCGCCACCAGTTCGGGCACAAACTGTACCTGGTATCCACCCATCTTCTCGAAGCCATGCATACTCCTGGTCTCGTCGTCAGTTTCCCAACCGATAGCATCCCAGCTGCGCTTGAGCAAGTTCGCGCCAAGTTCGCGAACATCACCAGCAATCTTCCATACCGCTCGCCGCTTTTGCTCGGGAAATGTCTCCATGGCAAGGGCCGGACTACTGAGTGCCGTGAAGAGGGTATCGAAGTAGGTACGCCAGACGACCGTGTCAAATTCAAACGCTTCGGAGGTGTCGTGAGCGTATATATCCGGCAGCGCGTCGATCAACACTTCTGATATTCGCTCCAATGCAGTAACCCCGCATCGGTGATGACTGACCAAAAGACTGAGCCAACTGCGAGGAAACGCTTCGCTAGACAAGACACTGTGTCCGACTTTCAAAGCCTGAAGCAAGACGCCGGGAATATCGACCTGACTTGCATCAAAGTAGAGCTTCCGGTCCGACGTTAGTGCAGAAGCAAGGAGCGCGGAAATTTCGAGCATCGCTTCATCCACGTCCAGATTCTGCGCTGTCGGTTTGTATGGAAAAGGAAAAGTTGTCGGGAACAGCATGCTAAAGACTGGCTTGGGAGTTCRCGGAACCTTCTTCAACGCCAAGTATGATTCGGCGAGCTTGGGGACATACTGGCAGCTTTCCTCGCCAAACGCTTCCATTTGCGCCGCGATGACGGAGCAGCATAGCCGTACCTGATTGCGCCATTGCTCGGTGACTTCGTCGGTGTGACCCCAGTATGGCTCCAGCCATCTGAAAGTGCATGTGATTAGAATTGACGAGGCTTCAGGCGCCTGAAAGACTTGAAGGTGACTGTAATGCATAATCAAAATCAACCTGTAAAGGATCATCTTGCCCTTTGCGTGTGCGCACGAATCCAACAAATCCGTTGCGATTTCCAGAATCTCGGTAGGTGTCATGACAGGCGCTAGCTCAGGTAGCCAGGTATGATAGTGCTGTATCAGAAGCGTCTGAGTTCCCAGTAAAACGGGCATGGGATTGCGCATCAGAGCCATGACGGCAAGGAACAGGCGCTGAAGCTCATTCCGGAGATCGGATTGATGGTCGTGGAGCATCCCGTTGGCATCCTGCGCGTCGTTCTCCGTGAGTTGTCTTGTGGTTTCTACGATGAGTTTCAGGATTTGATCGCCGACCTTGAAAGTGGCACGAAGTTTGCGGGAGGCATTGGGGTCCATCGGGCTGGAAACAAGTCGCTGATATGCTCGGACGAGGCACTGGCTTGCCTCTGGCCAATCGTGCCTGGTGGTTGCGTATTCTTCAATGATACTGCCCAGCTCGAATCGCTTGTCACGGACGATGCTGAGCACGACTACAAAGTTGTAGAAGATGACATCCTCATACCGCACATTTCCTTCATAATCGCGAAGAATTTCGAACAATGCCCCAAAGACATCTCCCAGCAGCTTTACGATTTCGATTTCCGGTACAAAGGCAAAACGTTCGAGTAATTCGATCAGCTGGTCTCCGTGATAATTGCGCCATTGGAGCACACCGAGTAATGTTGGGTCCTGAGAGTACTCTGTCGAGCACAGATAGGTGCGCAACGACACGGTTGCAGCGTTCATTTGAGCAGAGTCACCGCGGTCGTGCCACGGCGGCAGAGCCAGGTAGGCGCCCTTCCCCCCGATGATACTCGATGAGTACTCGTCGTACACGTATAGAGCTGCTTGGTGCTCTCCATCGCGGACAAAAGCATCAAACTCCCACAATGGCACCCATGATAGAGCAAATGGAAAGTTGGGTGAGTCCGCGATACTCATGACAACGTGACTTCCAGGAACTTGGTCGGCCGGGATGGCTAGCCTGATCGTCTGACCCCAGCTCTCACCACGCTCTATGCCGGTGGTACGCCAGGCTGTATGTCCAGCATGGTTCGCGGCAGTGAATATGCAATCGTCGATGCGCTCACCATTCGCCTTTCGGACCTCGAGCGTCAGCTGGAGGTTAGACAGACTGGTCTGGCAGCGTTGGCTCAGCGGTACTGCGCCATACTTGGAGTGTGCCAGTGTAGCACCTCGGGGAATTCGAGGGTCGCTTAGGGTCAAGTAGATGTCGGTTCTTCTCTCGCCGGGTACTCCAGAGAAGCCCAGCTTGGGCGTTGTCAAGACGTTGTGGAGCAGAGAAGGTGTGTTGCGCATAAGTACACCAAGGTCCGGAGCTGCAAAGGCTCTGACAAAAACATCCAGGCGCTTCATCAACGTAACGCGAGAGTATCCGCCAGAGGGACTTCGGGCTAGTTCGCGAATAACATCGACCCAATCTTCACTCTCTTCGTCTACAGAGGTCCCGGGAGTCCAGAAAGCCACGCTAGTTTCGATGGAAAGGTTGCTCTGCACAAGCTTTGTGATGTCCACAACGCCTATGCCAATGGTCCGCCGCACTGTTTTCATCTCCCGAGAGGTGGTTGATTCTGCAATGGAGTTTCCTGAAGAGCGGCCATCCGTGTCTGATTGCTGAGATTGCGCTGTAGGCGGTCGCACACCGGCATCAGAGGCTGTTCGACCAGTCATCCTCCTTGGAGTGCCGAAAACGCTGCGCCGGCTCTTCATTGTGGGGAGTTTGTCGGCCGACATATTGCTGAGCAACGAAGGTTTATGCTGATGCGACACCACCTGATGCGACATCCCCTGCCCATGCACAAGCTGCCGCAGGGGTTCATCGCGTAGCAATTTGAAGACGACAAACAACGAGCTCATGTCAGTACCGATGCCAACGTCGGTGTTGTTGAGATTCACGAACAGCGTTTTATTCTGATCTTCTTGGGTTTGAGAGGGCACGACGGGCATCGGAACTGAGATGACATAGCTTTCGCTGATCGGTAGGGGCTGGTCCCCATATGCTTTCGAGTAGAGAGACATGTGTAAGGTCGCGGATGGGTCGGTGTCGCAGACCAAGTTGCGCACGTCTACCAGAACGTGATGAAGCGTGTGCTTGTCGGCAGCGGGCTTGGGAGGTCTGTCGAGAATGCTCATATTCGCTTGGAGCTTGGTCATCTCAACCACCGAGTCTTGGCTGGTCAAGAGACGGCCCTTTTCCGTGGGACTGCGGACGATGACTTCGTCGTTGAGCATCTTGTTGCCAGCCACAAGGTCCCAGACCGTGTCTTCGCGGAGCTCCTCCAGTTCGTGTTCGGTGAGGACATCATGCATAAGCTTACTCCGGCTACTGTCGACTCGGCGTACGAGCTCCTTCACTCTGCTCAATTGAGTATAACCGCGTGAGAGCAGTATCTCATGCAATCTCGCATCGTGCCACTCCCTCATACAAGATGCAATCTCATCAACCAATGGCTCTGCTGCAGACGAGCCCGTTTCGTCTCCCACACGTAGCAATGGCACCGGCGCCAAGGGTTTGGGCGCGTTAGGATCCCGCGGCATGGGCTCCTCGTGGAGGTGTATCGACCGGGTTTTCCGCAGGCTGCGACTGCTCTTCTTTCTGCTCATTCTTTTGCTCACGCGCCGCGCGCGGTCCGCCTGGCTTTTGCGGCGTGCAGACGTCCCATCGTCTTCGTCCCCGTTGTCTGGCACGCTGCCATCGTTGTCCTCGTTGTCTCGAGATCCATCCTCGTCATCGTCTTGGTCCTCGCCCAGATACTCGCGTACTTCGACGCAGTTGCTGGGGAAGATGCCGGAGAAGACGCGATGCTCGAGCTGCTGTCCTCGATCGCTGGTCAGCCCGGCCAGCAGCGATGGCGGCGCGACCAGGTATCCGCGGTACCATTCATTCGTCTGGCCTCCCTGTTCGATAATGTACAAGTGGTCACCAATCTGGAGAGGCAGGTCATCGGGTTCGGTTGCGCGGAAAGGGTGTACAGCGATTGCAAAGCCGATTTGCACAGGTCTCCAGGGCATTGCTGTCTTCTCCCAGCGTGGGCGGACGAGGGAAGGAGCGAATGCCTTCCTGCTGTTCCGGTGTGCGACGTTTCAAAGTGCACATGCATGGAGGTGAAGATGCGGCCAGCAATAATACCTGCGGAGTCTCCGTAGCTGATCGTCTCCGCGCCAGTGTCCGGGCACTTTCCCGAGCTCCACGAAGCGCGACTCATGTTGAATGTGTCAAGCATACGATTGGACAGCGTGAAGAAGTCAAAATGTCTTTGTTCCTTGGTTGGACAATTCGACTAGTCCACGCGAAACCGTATATATCAAGTTTCAGGCAGTACAGGCATTGTACAATCTATATCTACTTCCCACATGACAGTTTGCATTAGAGACGTTAAAATCCACCGTCTTTGTGAGTCGCACAGATGCAAACAATCACACGCTTGCTATCTTCTCACACGTTTTCTATTGAACCATGGGACGACCTTCCGGACCGCCGTTTCCGGAACTGTATGCAGCCCCTTACTACCATAGGTAGGTCCGCGTGTGAGAAAATCGCTACCTTACTTCACCCCATACATCACTCACGATCATATGCAGAGCGAGAGCGCAAGTCGACCCTCTTCGCAGTCTGCCCCCAATCGCTCTGCTTGTCCATCAATAGCGTCTGCACGAGTCGTAAAGAAACAGCCGCTTGCTACTTGGATGCTCGACCGTTCTTCCGATTCTCACGTCCGGGTGGACTGTCGGTTCATGCAATAGATGTACTCAAGATAGGCATTTCGGTCGACCGATTCCCTCGCAGTAGAGAGAGCATGCGAGCATTCCATTACCTGAAAGGACAATGCGACATGCATCGAACTACGGCATCGAAATTCGGGAGTACGGCGTCTCGAGGCATCGAAGTGGAATGCGCAGCCCAAGGGCCTGCAGCTTGACGATTTTCTTGGCCAATTATTAATCCAGCTGTACCAACATGCAAGGGTCACCAGTCCGCTTTCGGTTGCTCCCAATCCGATGTGTCGAGAACTGTCTCGTAGAGATTATTGGAGTCAGGCCTGGGGATCCCTCGTGGAGAAATTTGACATGGGGCATGAACTCTTGGCGCCTTTTCGGGAGTCTCGATCGTTGCAAGACCAACCATCCATCCTTTGGACTGATGAAGCCTGCAGGAAGCGCAATTCATCAAATGCTGTTAATAAAGACGCTGGAAGATGGCGAGACGACAAGGTAAGACGTGTCTGCTTCAATTTGCGCGTGATGACTGCCCTTGCCGACGCCCCCACCTCTTCAGAAGCCTTCACTTGCCTTTGATCCAGAATCGCCCTTCCATTCGTAGGTATGAGGCTCAAGTAGCGAAGAAGTCAGCGATTTTCTCAAACCATGCACTGCGGCAAAGATAAGAACATGATAAAGTGGCATTATTAACCCGGCATCATTTCGTCCAAACTCGGCTGCGTCCACTGGGGTCCTTGCAACCCCTCCCTTTGTATGGAGAAGCGCAACGGAAACCGAAGTTCAAGCACTCGGCTCATGCCATCCTTGTACAACTCGCGCGGTCCCTGGGGCTGGCTACTCTAATCTCGCCAGGCCCCAGCAAACCTCTCTTCTGCAGCACTACTTTCGACCAAATAAATAAATGAGAAGTCTGACCTGTTCCGCTGCTGCTGATGTGACACGGCAGCGCAGCTATGACGACTTCGACCGCCGCATCCCCTCGGTGGGCGCGAGTGATGCGGGAGAGGAAGTACGTCGTAGTCGGCGCATTGCTCTCCTTGCTCTTCACATTCGCTCTGATCAGCTTTTTCACAGGCGCAGACACCCTGCTGCCGATTTCACGGCTTGTCGAGCAAGAAGATGCTCTACCACCTGCCAGTAATCTAACCACAGTGGACGGCAATGGTCAATCCGACGGTCTGGAGAGACTCCTTGGCCCTCTGACGCCGAAAGAGGAAGGATTCACGTGAGCTTCAGGCAGTTCGCTTCTTCACGGTCGATCAAGCTGACTGTAGGTACCCAGATTGGTTGTGCCCACATATCGGAGGATGGACGACCTGCCCAAGTTCCTCGACAACTACGCAAATGGCAACATACCTGCACTTCGTCGAATTGTGATTCTCTGGAACGACATTGAGAATGAGCCACCCGAAACTTTCCTTCAGATGTTAGACAACTTCAAAGAAGTACCTGTCATCGTCGAGCAACGTCACATCAACTCCCTCAACCAACGATTTCGAAAAACCGAGAACATCGTCACGGAGTGCGTTTTGTCTCTGGACGACGACATGCTGTTCAAACCTGAGGATATCCAGCTCGGCTACGAGACCTGGAAACAATACGGACAAGGGCGACGTCGGATGGTAGGTTATGTTGCTCGTGAAGCAACGGAAGACAATGTCTACATGGTGTCGGATCTCAAGAGCTACTCGATGGTTCTCACAAAAAGCGCATTCTTTCATGTGGACTGGATGKACGCGTACTGGTCCGAAGACCGCACAGTCACAGAACTTCGGACTTACGTGGAGAGGCATAACAACTGCGAGGATATCCTGATGGCTTTCCYCCACGCGCACTACACGAGAACCCCGCCGCTATTCCTGGACATGCCATTCACCGATACGGGCTTAGTCAAGGGCATCTCTACCAAGCCTAATCACCTTGCCGCGCGGACCGCCTGTGTGCGATTCTTCACGCAGAAGCTAGGGAAAGGTACACTGGTATCCTCGGACCTGGTGCTGTCTAGGATGAAGCATGGCAATTGACCCGGGTACCGATGGATGCCGATGAGGAGATCGTACTGGGGTCAACGAGCATAGACGTAGGAGTATGAAAACTCATGTTACAGTTGAAAGTGTAGCCCTCATTGCCACGAGAATTCGATGGCGGATGTTACCTGCAGTGAAGATCATACCCGCATTCTGCCTTGTAGACTCGATCAATGCCTGAGGTGAGTCGATTAGGAATGGTAATTAGCGCGTTAGCGTTGATGGCATCGATGGCATCGATAGTAGCATCGATTAGTATTAATTCGAGTCCTTACGGCGTATAGGTATAGATCTACGCTAACCGCGAATAGTAGTTAAGCTTAGTAAGTGCTTAGAAGGAGTTAAAGGAGTTCTTAGGCCTATCCTATATACGCTTGGACAAACTCTAGGCGCTCCTATCCTCGTAGTGGTGGCTCTGGTCGTGCTGGGAACACCTTGTGGAAAGTCTCCATGAAGCGAATCAAGAGTGCTTCATGACTTGCTTGGGCAATGAGGCTAAGCCCATGGGGACGACCGTTGTATTCGAGAGTGCTTAGAGGCATGGAGATCATAGGGTAGCCTGTTGAAAGCTCAGCGGTTGCCGCTGTGCGAAAAGTTCCAATCTGGTCTTACCTGCAGCGGCTGCGTGACAGTATACGAAGCTATCACCAGGCGCAGCGATAAGATTGATGTCATATTTCGCATACACCTTGTCGAGGCCTTCACATGCTGCAATGCGTCTTGCTGAAGCTTTGGCAGAATTCAGCTCTTGCTCTACTGTATGCGAAGCTCCCAACGAAAGGCAGCTGGAGATGTCATTTTGATTGGAGCCTGGAGGCATGACCACATCTGCATGGTTTTCGTTCCAATCGCGGATATCTGCCATCGAGTGTATGCTGCCAGAGTCGAGAAGGCTACAATACTCGTCCACAGCGGAGCGAGCTTCGCGAAACGCGATGAAGCGAACCCAGTCGGCATCGTGAGCCTGCAAGCTTTCTAGGCTTTGAATGGTGATAGGATGTTGTACCGTGATACCCTCAGCTTCCCCGAGCCGTTTGATTGCTTGGGCATATTCTCTCTCCTGGTTCCGATCATCAGATCAATACTTCAGCGGGCAGTCTGTGCAGACGCTTACCATTTGTTCGTTGGATTGGCTACCGTTTCGACATAGTTCTTCAGACGGTCACCAATCGTTTGCGTGAACGAAGCCAACCCGAAGCTGACTTGAAGCCCCAGGCGGTCTTGAAATGACCCCAGGGGCAATTACGTTCAACAGATCCTCGATATCCTTGGGACATTTTGCCAATGGGCCCAGGGTATCGAAGGTCTTGCTGATGGGAAACACGCCCACCATATTTTTTTTTTGTACCCGGCGTCGTCTTCAGTGCGTACAGACCAGCCCGATTGGCGGGTGCGACCAGACTTCCGGATGTCTCTTCACCAAGCGCAAGGGGCGCGTAACCTGCTGAGACCGCAACTGCGCATCCAGTGCTTGAGCCGAGGGGCGAGGAGTTCCCTAGAATGACATCGAGAGGGTCGAGACCATTTTTGGCATATGCCGACTGAGTTTGGCCTCCTACTGCAGACCAACCAGGCAGCATGTACGGAAGGCCTTTCGGGCCCCAGGTTTCCGAAAGGTTCGCCTTTGCAAGAATGATGAGACCGGCGGCAAGCAGTCTGTCGACCACGTTGGCGTTGATGGACGCAGATGTCTGCAAAAGCGCGTGTGATCCTGCTGTGGTGGGCATCCCGAGGCTTCGCGAGGTCAGAATATTATCCTTGAGGACGATGGGTATACCGTGAAGCGGGCCACGACAGTTGCCGTTTGCACGTTCCTGGTCGAGAAGGGCAGCCCTCGCCGACAGAAGGTGCGTGGGCGCAACCGAGATCAAAGCGTTCAGGTGGGTTTCGTTTTCGTGGATTTGTCGCAGACATAGTCGCACTAGGTATTCACTTGTAAGGTCGCCATTTTGCAGTAGTGCCTGGAGCTCAGCAGCAGTCGCTCTGACAAGGCCTAAGCCGGGGACTGGATCAGCCATGGTAAATGATCAAAGAACTCTGCCTGTATGGAAACAAGACTRTGAAAACTGCTCTAGAAAGTCGATGGGCGCCAAGGGGTTTGATGATGTGGGCGGGCTTCTTGCAGCACCAGTGCAAATACTTTACAGAGTGTACATGTATCGGTGGCAAGGAACGACCTACCTCCTTCTCATGCGCGCCTTCCAAGGCTTTCGCCTGCCTATCTACATTCGTAGGGCAGGCAGGATGCCGCTGCGGAGCCCAAGGCACTTGACTAGCGAGCGCGTTCAAGGATGTGAGTAGGAGATAAGGTAGGGAACGACACGGATACGCAGGATGGAGGTGGCCTCATATTGTGGGCACAACGGCCCACCTGATAAGGCGAGCCCGGAGCTGGGATGGGATCAAGCTAGGGCAGACAATGTCTCCGCAAAAGACGACGAGAATATGCAAACAAGAGGGCGTGAGGAGATAATTGTCGTCGAAGCAAACATTTCCTGTTCATGCTGAGAATGCTAGAATCTCCGGAACGAAGCAAATCTTGTAGTAAGGTGAGGTACTACCTATACTACCTACCGACCCTTGCCGTCAATTACCTTAGTAATCGTTAGTTTTGATGGCAACGATACCTACAGTACCTACCTTACCCCGAGAGTCGATCCGTCGCGGAGAACGTTGCACCGGAACCCCGCGTCGAGCTCGAGCCAGCAGGGCAGTTTATCCGCCATTGCAACCTCAAAATGTACCTGACTGACATCACCCCTCCGGCCAAGAGGCGGAGGTGCATATTGTACATGTATAAGTAATACCAATGCGTTCTTGGCCACGGATCGGTATCGTAATCATCTCTTGTCTAGATCATGTCTGCGATACGCTATGCGGCATTGCTGGCCGGTTCCATCTTCAGCAGGTACGCGTCTTGCCATCGCGTCATCAGTTTAGTCGGCAATGATTGGGAACTCTCCAACCCGGAGCTCAACATCTCAGTTCCAGCTCAGCTTCCAAGCCATGCGCACTTGGATCTATATGCGAACCAAGTCATTGGTGTAAGCCAAGCCGGCCAAGAGACAGACATCAAGCATCGGGTCCTCTCGGAGCTTATGTCTGCCCTTTTYGCAAGCTCGATTCCACCTGCTGATTCTTCTTTTCATGCTTGTAGGATCCACTGTTTGGCCTGAACAATTACAATCTGAGATTCGTGGCGTGGGCCAATTGGACGTATACTTCAGGACCAATATCAGGACTTTCATCGGATGCTAGTTCTACTTGGCTTCTCTTCGATGGCCTCGATACGTTTACGGATATTCAATTCTGTGGCCAGCATGTAGCAAGCACGAACAATCAATTCAGACAGGTGGGAACCAATCTCGTGATGCTCGAGTCCTGTTTGTTAACGCATCTCAGTACTGGTTCGATGTTTCGAGCATTCTGTCCTCTTGCAATGAGGCGGATAGAGTGGTTGCTATCAACTTTGGATCGGCACCCAAGATAGCAGACAGCATTGTAAGCCATCCAAAAAGCTAGAACATCGAGTTTCAGCAAAAGTAGATTCGGACATATTCGCTCGAATCGTTACTAACGCTGTTTCTTCAATCCCAGGCTGCGGAACCTGGTCAGGAGACATGGCCCGATGGCGTCCAGCAACTCTATCAATTTCCCAATCGATGGTTTATTCGAAAAGAGCAGAGTGATTTCGGATGGGACTGGGGACCGGCTTTCTCGCCGACAGGGTAGGTGTATCATAACCAAGACTTTAACGCGCGAAAGCTGATTTTCTGCTCTTACCTCTACAGCCCCTGGCAGCCAGCATACGTCGTACAGCTATGGGAGGACGAAATTCAGGTTCGGAACAGTTTGGTCGACATCTATCGTCGAGGTCAATTGAACAATCTTCCTCCGGATCAGAGCCAACCATTCATCATGAACGCAAGTCTGGACTATTTCGGATCTCTTTCGTCGGGAGCAACGATCAACTACAAACTCACAACGACTGACAACGAAACCACACTGGCCAGCGGTCCTCTGGAAGGTGTTAACGCAACAGAATCCGCGATAAGTGGCATGGTCACGATACCAAGCGAAGCCGTTGAGCTCTGGTGGCCCACCGGTATGGGTAATCAAACACTGTACTATGTGACGGTCGAACTTCTGTCTGCGAGCAACAAGACCCTTGCAACTGTGACGAAACGAGTTGGGTTCCGCACAATCGTTCTCAACAGCAACCCAATATCGGATGAGCAGTTGGCTCAAGGCATTGCGCCAGGCAACAACTGGCACTTCGAGATAAACGGAAAGGAATTCTACGCCAAAGGTTCCAACTTCATTCCTCCAGAGGCATTCTGGACGACAGTAACACCAGAGAGAGTTGGTGGTCTCTTCGACACTGCCATTGCCGGTAATCAGAACATGTTGAGAGTCTGGTCCAGCGGCGCGTACTCACCAGACTTTATGTACGATCTGGCAGACGAGAAGGGGCTCCTCCTGTGGAGTGAATTTGAATTTGGCTGTGCATTGTATCCATCTGACCCCGAGTTTCTGGACAACGTACGACAAGAAGCAGAGTACCAAGTCAGGAGAGTCAACCATCACCCATCGCTAATCTTTTGGGCTGGTGGCAACGAACTGGAGAATCTGGAGCTTCCTAACGTGAACGCAACTGCTCCTGAAGAATATGATCGCTACCTGGCGGAGTATGAAAAGTTGTTCCTCCACACTCTACTGCCTGTGGTGTATGGCAACAGCAAGAGTATCAGCTATCAACCATCTTCTACATCCAATGGCTGGCTCTCACTCAACCACAGCGCACCTCCGAATGAGATCATGATTCAGCGATACAACAACAAGACCGAAGGCTCGATTTACGGTGAAAGAGACTTGTCCGCACGCCCCGAACTCTTCGTTTGGCACATCGGCTGACCGTTACTTCTCCAGCTACAACTACAATCCCGCATCTTTAGGCAACGCATCCGCATACCCAGTAGGTCGCTTCAGTAACGAGTTCGGCTATCACTCGATGCCGTCGATTCAGTCCTGGCGCCAACAGATATCGGAGCGGGACCTTCATTTCAACTCAACAACCATTGTAAAGCGTAACCAGCACAACCCACCTGGTAACCTCGACACCAACAACCTGACCAATTCGCTGGTTGGCCAGGGCCAAATGACTCAAGCAGTTGAGATGTGGTACCCTCCAATCAACAAGACTGACTCTGCTGGGAACTTCTCTGCCTGGAGCCATGCTACACAAATCTTTCAGGCGGAGTTCTACACTTCTCAGATTGAGTTCTATCGTCGAGGAGCAGGGTTGCCGGAACGACAGCTTGGAAGCTTGTACTGGCAGCTTGAAGATCTTTGGTATTTGATCTTGCAGCACTCGTCGCCAACATATGCTGACATGTCCTAGGGTCGCTCCAACGTGGAGTAGTGTAGAGTACGATGGTCGTTGGAAAGTCCTCCACTACGCCGCAAAGAAAGCCTACGAGCACATCATCATCGCTCCCTACTTCGATCGATCCACAGGCAACTTGAGTGTCTGGGTAAGTTCGGATCTCTGGARTCCAGCTCAAGGAAAGGCCACTCTCACATGGTATGACTGGAACGGAACGAAACTCGATATTGGCACCAACACATCCACCGTGGATGTGACTGTCGGTGCAATCAACAGCACACAGGTCCTGCAGACTTTCACCACAGACCTCCTGGCCCAGCACGATGTAAATGACGCCATCCTACACATGGAAGTTGAAGTTGAAAGCCAGCTACCCACTTCGAATGAAACGCGAACTTTCAAGAATGATAAGTGGTTCCACCCCGCAGCTTTGAAGACCGCGAAACTGGTCGACCCAGGTTTGGAGTTGAGTTATGATGAAGATAGCAAGAACTTCACTGTAACTGCGACCAAGGGTGTTGCGGCTTGGGTGTGGCTTGACTATCCTGCCGGCTCTGTGCTGCATTTTGATGATAATGGCTTTTGGTTGGGTGCGAATGAGACGAGGCAGATTGGATATACGGTGAAAAGTGATGCGACGAATGGAGGGTGGATTCAAGGGGTCACTGTCAGTTCCATGTGGAATTCGACCTTGGCGGAGTAAGATTTCCGAGGAGGATGTGCTTTCTGAGAGAATAAATGCAGAGAGACTCGAGTAATTGGGTGGATGCTCGAGGCATGAAGTATAGGTCGCTAGGAGAGAGCGTGTAGGGGGAGAGGAGATAGGCAGCTATTCCCGAATTACTGTTGCATGAAGTGATGTTCTTGTTCTTGTCGTTGGCCTTACTCTACACGTCTGAGTCTRTATCATGCCTGATGTGTAGTATGGAATATCATGTGAAGACACACAAAACTCCAAAGTGAAAGTGAAGCTAGCAAAGTCGCGCGGAACTGACTCCGTCAAATCGCGTTTCCTTTGACGACGACAATCGTGATTATTCCATCTTCATCTACAACAACCAACTCCACATCCTCGTCACGACCAATCTCACCACAAATCGAGACCATCGTTGTCCAACTGTTCCTCTTTTCGTCAAGCGTCTATTGATCACACCGACACTTCATCCACCTCCGATAGCATCATCCGCGCGCGCGCCGACATAGCTGCCACTTCACTTCCTCCTTCGAGCACGGCGCAATGGAGCAATACGGCGGATACGATGGCATGGACACGGATGACAGCGGACCAAAAGTGACCATTCGCGAAACGACACCCACAACCATCAAGTTCGCGCTGAGCAACACCAACCTCGCCCTCGCCAACTCGCTGCGTCGCGTGATGCTCGCCGAGATTCCCACAATTGCCATTGACCTGGTCGAGATCGAGGCCAACACCTCGGTGCTGGCCGACGAGTTCATTGCACACCGCCTCGGCCTGATTCCACTGTCGACAAAAGGCGTMGAGGAACTGCTCTACTCCGCCGATTGCCCGAATTGTGAGGAGTTTTGCGAACACTGCTCCGTCATCCTACGCCTCAGTGCTTCGAACAGAAACAGCGACCAGAATCTCAAAGTCTTTGCGCGCGATCTCTTTGTGGAAGCAACCGGCAACAATGCACACCTGTACAACGCCCGCAATGGAGCCGGTGCCTCCGCTGACGAACTGCCACCACGCGGCGCCCCCATCCTCATGGATACCAAGGGACAGGGGGCTCTGATTTGTCAACTACGACGTGGGCAGGAGATCCGCATGAAGTGCATTGCGAAGAAGGGCATTGCAAAGGAACACGCAAAGTGGGCGCCAACTGCCGCGATTGCATTCGAATACGATCCATGGAACAAGCTACGGCATACCACTCTTTGGTATGAAACGGACGCAAAGGCTGAGTGGCCTGCGCCAGCAAAGAACGGGACATGGGAGGAGGAGCCACAAGAAGGGGATAAGTTCGACTACGACGCGGAGCCCAACACATTCTACATCGAGCTCGAGGGAACCGGAGTCATGTCACCGGACAACATCCTTCACTCGGGGATCAGAGTGTTGCAAGCGAAATTGGCGGGTATTATTCGCGATCTGGATGCAGGCGCGGAGGGTGCGAATGCTGGCGGAGACTTTGGAGGAGGCTTCAGTCCTCCAGTAGATCCCATGGCGAATGGTGCAGGAACTGCATATGGCGGGCAGRGTGCATATGGTGGAGGTTTGACTCAATATGGTGGACAAACCCCTGGTCTCGGCAACCAGACCGTCTATGGTCAGGCGACGCCTTACGGGCAGCACGGCGGAGGACGTGGCTACTAAAGATGGAGATCATGACTGTATCAGTATGGCTTTGAGATTTCACAGCGAAGGCGTTTGGGTAGTCATTCGATGGGAGAGGGAGGGGAGAGCGAGGCCATGCCCTCAGTGGAGATGAGGGGCACACAATGGACGAAGAAGCTCTTTGGTGGTAGTCTACGGCCTCAGCCCAAGCAACAGAGACGGCGAAGGTCCAACTCTGTGATTGAAGGATGAGTCAAGGATCCAACGTAACACGTTGCGTTTCTTGCATTTGACATCTTACATCCCATTCCATTCCCTCTACCTCAGTGACTACACACTTGTTTCTAATCATCATCAACATAATTCTCCTGTCCGGACCCCTGAAGCTTCGGCTTCGTCCACATATACCGCTTCGCAATTCGCACCCATTCCTCAACTTCACYGTATCGCCGTTGCTTATCCTCTTCATACTGCACCATATCCGCAGCAATCGACACAATCTCCGTCACATTGAATCGATTCAAAGGTCCATCTCGTCTGCAATATCTCCTGAAAATCTTCACCCACAAGCGATCGCCTGCGAATTCCTCGAGTCCCGTTCGCAAAGCATCGATTTCAATGGCAGTCCAGTCGATCTGTCGAGCTTTCTCCGTGGAAGCGAGTGAAGGTCCGAATCGTGGGGCGAAGACTTCCAATCGCTCAAAGGGTTCGCCGTTGCCGTCTGTGTCTGGTTCGAGATCAGGTACGCGGAGGTGGGCAATTTTCCACCTGGGTCGGAGGCTGGGTTCAACGTGCCATCGTTCATCATGGAGTCTCATCCATTGCTCTCGGATTTCGGCGCGTTGTTTGGCGAGGGCGTCTTCTCTTTCAAGTCGTTCTTCGATCGTTCTGTCCGCTTCAGCACGGGCTGCATGCTCCAGTTTTTCTTGTTCTCGTTCTTGATGTCGGCGTATTTCGCGGATGAATCTGTCCTGCACTGGTCTCAGTGCCGCTACGATCTCTTTGACGGGCTGCTTGACATTCAGCCCTTCTGTGGGACTGCAGTATTTCTTGCACACCGTGTCGTACAGTGAAGTGATCGCGCGTAGAAGCGAGGCAACGACGCCCAAGTGATGGATGGTGATGGACCGTTGCGGTGTTAGCTCACCATCCTCCTTGTCCATCTCTCCGTAACAGTCAACCGCATGTCGTACGAGCTTTGTCAGATTYGCAAACAGATGGAAGTAGATGTTGTTGACCTTGTCTTCGTTCACAAAGTATGCCTGTGTTGTCTCCAAAGCGCGGACTTCCTCGCAAATCCTGGCCAGTTCTTCCGGCGCATCTGACGCCATCTCTAGATCATCTGGAACTGCTTYCAATTCAGACATCTTGGACTTTGCTTCCCGACAGAGGTTCTTCAACGATATCACCTGGGCATCATCAAGGTCCACAACAGACTTGCTATACTTTATGCCCTCACGGTGAGACCATCCGATGTCGCCGAGGGTCTTGTATGCTTGACGCAACAAAGACTGCTGGCCATACAACTCATGATATTGCCCCAGGTCAATGCGCTCCATAGTCTCTACAGATTGGACTGTCGCTTCAGGTGTGACGGCTCTCCGTTTCCTAGGCTGCTCAAATGTTTGGTGAATCTCGTCATTATTGGGACCCGCGAGGTCGATTTCATCGCCTGCAATACTTTGCTGAGGATCTACGGGACGCTTGCGATTCACAGGTCTCTCGATTGCTCTCTTTGAAGCCTGGGTTCTCTCCGCATAAGTAATCACAACCTGGGGAGAAGTGCGATCGACACCACCCGAGGCTGGCTCCCTGGCTGATGATGCAACGGGCTTGGAGCTTCGAGTGTTCCTGGTCTTGCGTCTAGTTGCAGCAGTTTTTTCGCTAGCAGCTTCGAGATCTTTGGCAGATTGGCGGTCGGCCTGAGATTCAAGCTCATTGCTGCCAGGTCCAGCGCCCATATTACTCTCGACAGCATTAGCAAGTGCCTGTGAAGATTTGTCTGCTACAGGAGAACACTGCGCACGGCGGGCTTCCTCAGGTGGCTCCTCCTCTGTATGAGCTGGCCCACCAGTGCGTTTTCTACTTCAAAACGGCATCAGCATTGCTTCACTCACGTAAGTGACATACGGTGTATAGACCAACGTATTCACTTTGTAGTATTTCGACCTACCCCGGAGAACGATGCGGCGACTTCTGCGCATTCAGTGCCGTCAACGCTGGCGCTGAATCCGCAACTTCTGGCCGTTCCGTAGGCAAAGGCTGACTGACCACAGTGCGAGCGTCATCACGTCTGGGTGAAATGGTCCCATTCGGAATAGCTTTGATCTTTGGTTTGCGGCTCCCTTTCTCTGGAGAGCTTAGCTGATCGAATCTGTCGCGAGAAGGACCACGTCCGATGCGTCTGAGAGTTTTGCCTTCACCAGTCTTCTTCGCTCTTACAGCGGGCATAACAGGGCGCGTTTGAGGTCTTGATGGCATGACCAACTTCCCAGAGGAGACTCGTGGTTTGCTAGGCCCAGCTCGCGCGCCGGCCTGGCCGGTGGCATTCTGAAGCTCATTTTCTATTTGTTGTGTCGCGAGGTCACCCATAATGAGCTGGGATACCTCACGTGCACGTGCATTCCGGCACGGTAATTTATGGTGTAATCGACAGCGCAGCACGGTCCGCGTGTTCCATCGTTGTATGATTCGTGTCAATGTTTGGTGTAGTCCATGTCAACACACGGGTGTGTGGTTGATTGAAGGTCGAAGCTCACCGGGATTTCCTCGGCATCCCTCAGAACTTCCAACTTTCCAAAGCACGTCTGGTCCGCCTTGACATTATCGACCCTGTACAATCACGCAACACCATAAAAGATTTGGAGCATGGTGAACTCTGGCACGATTACTCAGTCATCAACACACCTTTCCCGCTTAAAAGATGTTGCGCAGCACCAGTTTGCCGTGCCGTCAAAGAGAATAAACGATGGCGATGATCTCGACTTCTTCTTCACCTCAACTGCATACCGGGACATCACAACATGGCTCCTTCAGCTGACGCGGTCGATGTTCCCGAGGAAGAATGATGATGGATCATCCACGCCGTGCACTCTTGACGTATCGCTTGAACTACCACCAAACATTCAAAAGCTGCAGACCCTGCTCGGCAGGTATTCGAGCTTCATCCAGCAGGCTCCTCCAGATACAGGACCAAGAAGATTTGGCRATGTCGCATTTCGCAAGTGGTTCCAGGTCGCGGAGAATGACTCGTCCCGGCTTTTAAGCGAGTATCTCGTCGAGACCTCCGTCTTCTCTGCCGTCAATACAGCTGAACAAGATACACTCTGCGATGAACTCAAGTCGTATTTGCTTGGGGGCTTTGGCAGTGCACCACGCCTAGACTACGGTACAGGGCATGAATTGAGCTTTCTGGCGTTTCTTGGCTGTCTCTGGAAGCTCGGAGTCTTCCAAGCAGGCGAGGAGCAGGCAATTGTAGTTGGAGCTGTACAGCCGTAAGCAAGGCCATTTACTTGGTCCTTCATCCTCTAATGCCATTCGCAGATATCTTGTGCTTGTGAGGAAACTGATCTTAACATACACTTTGGAGCCCGCAGGATCGCATGGCGTGTGGGGTCTCGACGACCATAGCTTCTTGCCTTATATCTTTGGCWCTGCGCAAATGGGCCCAGCCATATCACCTGCCGACCACAATGCACCGATCCCGGTCGAAGGCTCTTTACGTGGGGCGCCCTCACCAGCATTGGTAGCAGACAAGTCTGCGGTTTTACAGTACAAGGAAATCAACATGTACTTCTCAGCAATCCAGTTCATCCACGACGTTAAGACAGGACCTTTCTGGGAGCATTCTCCAGTCTTGTACGACATCAGTGGGATCAAAGATGGGTGGGGTAAGATCAACAAGGGCATGCTGAAGATGTATGCTGCAGAGGTGTTGGGCAAGTTCCCGGTCGTGCAGCATTTTCCTTTCGGAAGTATGTTTCAGTGGGTTCGAGATCCCGACGCCGTAGCAGCTCCCTCAACTTTCCACGCCAGGCAGCAACCGTCAACCATCAAGACCGAGGACGTATCTTCTGGGCAATCTGCTTCTGTATCAGGCACCAAGGCTCCCTGGGCTCAACCTGGTGTCGGGATGCCWCAGATGCAGGCTGCTACGGGTATGCCGACTACGAGAGCGCCATGGGCCGGCCGGCCGTCCGCCGGGCTACGCACGAGCATGCCAGCTCCCGCACCGCGCCGGTCTCTGCCCAAGAGGGAAGACCAGTAAGTTGGTGATCCGTTTGCTGCTGGAGCATGTTCTGTTTACGAGGCAAAGAGGAGGCCTCAGATGGGGCTGTCATGTACTGCATAACTCAGAGCATGCTGGTACCCACATCGGACGATTTACGCTTAGATGACAATGCATAGAACTGTAATTTCTTTGACTTTTTGAGAGCACCACGCAACGTGCAATGAACCCTCATCTCCACTCCTCGCGCGTGCGCGTGCGCGCGCCGCGTGCCTTGAGCGTGCCCTAAGTGCGGAGCATTTCCCTGGAAGCTGTTTCTAATTATAGAGCATCGGTCCCACTTGTGCCAAACCGCGTCAATACAGCTTCCTCCGCGAACGAGGCGGATTCATGTAAGGTACATCGCTACAAAGTCTGGGATCTATCCATCCAACCAGGCATCCAAGTACTCGGCACCTGAGCGTCAAGTAGGGATCTTTGAGAAGATATTTCATGTGGACCGTGCCTTGCCGACCTGAGTCTCATTTCACTAGCAGGCAGGTACATTACTGGTCGGGGACAAAAAGGCCCCGAGCTATTGAGAAGCTCTCGCGGACAAGGTCTTTGCGACGCATCCTCGAATACGACCTCGTCGACTTTCGCCGCATCACACGAAATAGCAGCGACAAGGATCTAGCCCACTCAAATCAGCCTACCACAACACAATAAGCAAACATGCCGGGCGTTCGTAAGTCGGCCGTAGGACAGACGATCAGGACGGCTTACTGACACTTGTGACAGCTCCCGATGCGTATGACGATGTACTCAATCCCTTTTGGAACGATCACTGATTACATTTAAGCGTCGAGAGGGTCAAAGGCTTGCTCAAGGGCATGTTTCGGCGTGGAAAGAAGAGCAAGACAGAGCCGGAACAGCAACAGCAAAAGCCTGAGCAGCCTGCAGCGACCCTTCCACCTCCACCACCACCTCCTACCAATGTAGCGCCGGCTGCGTCGACCTACACAACAACTTCCCCTGCAGCGGACAAAGCTAGCCCACCAAACAGCGATAAGAAGCTTCCGGCCACMCTTGACAAGGCGCAACCGGCCGTGCCCGTGGAGAAATCGGTGGAGCCAGCGCCTGCTGCAGCTGTGAAGAAGGAGAGCGACATACATGCTTCGACGGCAGCTTCGGCAACCCCAGCTATTCCTCCACCTCCATCGGATGCATTTGAGAGCGACCCCGCACCAGCGGTGCCCCCAAAGAACGATGGCGCGAAGGAGGCGGTGAAGCCAGCGGAGCCTTCAGGTATGGCGCATTCTTTGCTTCAATCGATGAACCGAGTTGACATGTCACCAGTCGATCATGATGTTTCGCCCTTGTCTGCCTCGCCGTCAGTCGCCGCTGCTACATCTGCCCCGGTGGCCACCACACCAGAAGTCACCAAGCCTGCTGAAGCCGCTCCAATCGCTGCGCCAGCAGCGCCAGCAGCGCCAGCAGTTGCACACTCCGACGAAAAGATGCCGGTCGAGTCCGAGGTGTCTCCAAGCCCAGCGAAGCCTGCCACGTCAACGAACGAGATGAGCGCGACTTCGGGACCGCTGCCAGACTTTCCTCAGGGTGAAGCCAAAGAATGATCGTTGCACATTGCCTGACTTTTTGCTGAGAGAAACGAGCTTAGTTTATCGAAGATCGGAATCGATTCATTCGATGCCGTCCTCGAATTGCTTGCTTCGTAGCACGACCTCTCCGCGAATACGGTGTGGGGGATGAAGCAAGAGCCTTTGCTTATCTTGTTGTTGCGAAGGTGTTTATGGGGCAGTTCCATCTTTGGAAAGGCGTGTGTAATACTTCTTGCTGGCAGCTTTCAGTTGCGTGTTACTCTATACCCTAGCGTGTTAAGCTGATGAATGCGATCGATGTCTGAAGTGTGTTGCAAGTTGTTGTCTCTGGCAAACATTGCGTACTACGCTTTCCTCAACAAAAAAAAAAAGATTGGGAAGCCCAGACGAAGGCCATAACCATGACCACGGCGCGTTTCTCTGCCACGGCGCGTTTCTCTACCACGGCGCGTTTTTCTGCCACGGCACGTTTCTCAATCACAGCACGATGTTCGCTTCTCTTCATGAACTCCGTGACAATCATGCGCAATCCCATGACAACGACATGTTCTTTGACGAGCACAAACGCAACGTCTGTCAACGACGAATCAACAGCAAACATCCATCCTGAACAAATCTTGCATGTGACATTCATTGTTGTTGTTGATCGGCATTGTTCCAAGCCTCACGTCCGACGTCGGCGATTGCGTGCTTTGGACTCTCAACTTCACAAAAAGTCTGCTTGGGAATCAGATGTCGGCGAGCGACGGCCAGCGATCTAGGTGAGGCGAGACTTCTCTAGTGAATGATGATTTGATTTCCTTTGAGTGCACTGTCTCCATCTCCACATTCCTCTCTGCGCTTCGCAAGAACAATCCACCTCCAAGTTGAGGCATACGAGCGTGGAGACCTGAACCTTTCCAATAGCCGCCACCATGCATCTCCAAACAAGCGAATCGTCTGGTCCGGCTGGCTCAACACAGCAGCAACAGAAGCCGAAGCAGCCAAATTCGACAGCCCTCCCCTTTGGACAGAATGTTGAGCTGTCATCGCTTTCTGGACCGACATACTTGACTGCGCAGACTCTTGTCCAGCAAGTCGCCTATGCTCTCTCGGACAAGCTGTTCTCCTTCTCGCCCGAGTCCTTCGACCTCGACATCGCAGCACGTGCCTGGTCGGACGCGAAACAGAAGAATGTATACGGCGAAGTGACGGGCGTGCAGGGCCTTGAGACACGCAGCGGCGCGGGCACTCTGGCCTTGGGTTACATGTTCAGTCCAGACTTCGATCTAAGCAAGAGACACGTTCCGCAGTCCATTGTTGCCTCGGCGGGCAGTTTGCTGCACCTTCGTCCCGCTTTGGACCAACTCAGTCTGCTGTACGATGTTGCCAACCCAACTGTTCTGCAGGTTGCTGCAGTGGACTACGCCGCCGAGACACAGGCTGGTCTTGTCACCGACTACACTGCGGCCTTGACACTTGCCGAAGAGCTGGGATTGGGGTTGGTGGCAAGCAAGAGTGCATATGAGATCCAGCACATGTCGTTGCTCTCAACTCTGCTTTCATCGATCATCCCAACAATCCACACATATGATGGGATCACCGTCGGCCGCGAGACGACCCGCGTCGTTGATGTCCTTGGCCTGCCAGGACTCAAGCGTACATACGACAGCGTGCTGAGCGCTGTCAAGGATGACATCGCCTCGAAGCGATTCACGAATGAGGGCAAGCTGTCTAAGCTACTTCTCGCGTTTAATGCTGAACTCGGCACCGAGTACAGAGCATTCGAGTACCACGGCCATGATTCTCCAGACCACGTTCTCGTCGTGTTTGGCACCGTGGAAGCCAGCCTGTCTGCACAGGTTGCCGAAGCACTCGCTCAGCAGGGCGCCAAGGTTGGTGTGATCAACGTACGCGTGTACCGCCCATTCGTGGAAGAAGACTTTCTTTCTGCTTTGCCACCCACCGTTCAGCAGATTACGGTTCTTGGCCAGGTCAACGACAAGCCTAGCGCCTTGGACTCTAATGTAACCAGCAGCCTATATGCCGATGTCGTTGCTGCTGTCAACTTCCAGAGCATGACTTCTGGCAAGACACCCAGCGTCTTCGAGGTCAAATACGCACGTGAGACTGTGTGGACAGTTTCCAAGATCCAGGGACTGCTCCAACAGCTTGGGGCCAAGTCTGGCGAATCTGATGCACAGCTGCCTGGCCTTTCACTTACCGCCAAGGATACCAAGCAGTACACTTTCTGGGATGTCAGCTCAAGCAAGAGTGCCAATGCACCGCTTATGCTCGGCCAACTCCTTTCCGACGACAGCTCGCTTAATGTGGCTGTTCGCTCCGGCCACGACAACCTCGTGCAGGGCGGTGCTCTCAGGACTGACCTGCGTGCGTCCTCTAAAAGCATTGAAGCCGCTTACAGTGTGAAGGATGCGGATGTTGTTGTCATTGGGACAGAGAAGCTCCTCAAAGACTTCGCTGTCCTTTCGAGCGTCAAGGATGAGGGYGTCGTCATCTTGAAATCTTCTGGCTGGAAGGACGAGGATGTTGAGAAGACGCTCACTACACCTGTACGCAAAACCATTGCAGCTAAGAAACTCGCGCTTTGGGTGTTGGATGTTTCGGCAAGCCCGCTTGTGGAAGAAAGCGATGAGCTCGAGTCTTACTTGCTGCAGCTTGCGTTCTTGAAATTGTCCAAGCCAGAGGTCTACGAGGCTGGATTGAAGAAGCTGAATGCCGGTGGCGATGCTTTGGACGCTCTTGCCAAGGATCTTGAGATCGCGTTGAAGCAGATTGAGATCCCTGAAAGCTGGCTCACAGCTGAATTGGAGGAGAACGAGTCTCTCCCAGTTTCTGATGATCTGAACATCAACAGCTTTGCGCCATACGAGGCAGCTGATGACGAGCCGCCATCTTACCTCCGCAACTGGGAGGTGGCGGCCCGTGGTCTTGTTTTCAAGGAGGCATATGGGACCTCGACAGCGCTCAGGCCAGAGCTGAGCACCAAGACTGCTATTGTCCACGTCAAGGAGCACCGCAGACTGACGCCTGAGAGCTACGACCGCAACATCTTCCACATTGAGTTCGATCTTGGAGACAGCGGCGTCAAGTACGAGATTGGCGAAGCCCTCGGCATTCACGCTGAGAACGACAAGGCGCACGTGGAAGAATTCATCAAGTGGTACGGATTGGAACCCGAGGAGATTGTCGAGGTACCAAGCAGAGAAGATCCATCCATTCTGGAGAACCGCACAGTCTATCAGTCTTTGGTGCAAAACATTGACATCTTTGGTCGTCCTCCAAAGCGTTTCTACGAGGCGCTCAGCGAGTTCGCTTCTGAGGATAAGGAGAAGACGGAGCTGCTCATGTTGGGAACCGGTGGCAACCAGGAAGCACAGCTAGAGTTCAAGCGCCGCGCTGAAGTCGACACCATCACCTACGCCGACGTWCTCCTTGAGTTCCCATCTGCGCATCCAAGCTTCCACGACATTGTGCGCATCGTCAGCCCCATGAAGCGCAGAGAGTACTCTATTGCTTCTTCACAGAAGGTCACACCCAACAGTGTCAGCTTGCTGATCGTCACTGTGAACTGGGTCGATCCAAAGGGACGCGATCGCTTCGGTCAAGCCACCCGCTACCTCGACGCACTTCCCGTCGGTGCCCCTGTCACCGTTTCGGTCAAGCCATCCGTGATGAAGCTCCCACCCAAGACCACGCAGCCCATCATCATGGCTGGTCTTGGAACTGGTCTCGCGCCTTTCCGCGCCTTCGTTCAGGAACGTGCTTGGCAGCGCGACCAGGGCATGCCCATTGGCGACGTCTTCCTCTACATGGGAGCCCGTCACCAGCGCGAGGAGTACTTGTACGGTGAAGAGTGGGAAGCATACCAAGATGCCGGTGTCATCACTCTTCTTGGACGTGCTTTCAGCAGAGACCAGCCTCAGAAGATTTACATTCAAGACCGCATGCGCCAGACCATTGACGACATTCGCCGTGCATACCTGCGGGAAGATGGTGCTTTCTACCTGTGTGGTCCTACCTGGCCCGTGCCAGATGTCACAGCGGTGCTTGAGGAGGCAGTTGAGACTGAAGGACGAGCTGAGGGCAAGAAGAAGGATGGTCCCAAGGAGATTGAGAGGCTCAAGGATGAGCTGCGCTATGTTCTGGAAGTGTACTAGTTGATGTGAGTTCTGTTGGCATTATTTGCGGGCCTGTGTTGGCATAGACAAATCTAGATAGACGATCAATCCTTCGATTCGAAAGCCAGACTTGCTGTCTATCCGGGGCTTTGTCAATCACTCCGCCCCTCGGCCCACCTCGGGGTGAGTGGCCATACGCAAATTCGTGATTTCTAGAGGGCCATACGTAAAAAAATTGGACTTTGCTTAATGTAGTACTAAGATTTGATATATCCTAATCAAAATAGTGGAGCGCTAATGTGTGTGAGATCAGAATTTGGACCCTAAACTACGACCTCGACTTTTTCAGCTTTTTATAAACAGATTTATAATACCCTTCTATAGGGAAATAAAAGAACATTAGGGTAGTAAATTTATAAAGCAAGATTCTACAAATATTTGCATGTATTTAGATTTTAAAAAAAGTGTTAAATTCTAATATAATGCCCTTTTTTACGTATAGCCCTCTAAAAATCACGAATTTGCGTTTAGCTACTTACCCCGAGGCTACGAGGGGCTAGCGAGACTATTAAAGCCCCGGCTCCTTAGTATTAAAAAAAACGGATTACGCTAGTCTAACCTATAACATAGATTAATTTATTTATTCTTATCTAGAACGTTATATACTAGCTATCTACTTCTAAACACTTAGAGTACCTTACTAGTATCCTCTTTATTACGTTATTAATCTTTTCCTAAGTAATCTTATCTTAGGCCGAAAGGGCTATATTAATATAATCCTCCTTATTCCTTCTTATTTACTTTCGGTGTTTAGTCTTAAATATTAAAGTAACCGTCTTAATTAAAGTTATATCTAGAGATAGCCTTAGTATAAAGTAATAGTTAATACTAAGCTTAGCTTTATATTTAACTAAGGACTTAGAGGTATATAATAAATTACGGTCCTCTTAAAGAATAAAGTCCTCGTTATTATTAATCTATTACTTTATAATCCCCTCTAATACTAGCTCTTTATATATCTTAGAAGTTATCTTACTATTTATATTAGAAAGGATCTCGTAATAATATAGCTTGCTTTTATAGTTCTAGCTAGTAGCGTACTAGAAGTAAATAACCTTACCTTCTTTATCGTTACGGTTAAGATTATCGTTATCCTTATCCTTCTTATTAAGTATCTTACTACCCTCCTTTCGACGGATATAGTCCTTTACGTAACGATAAGCGTTACTAGCCTTATATAGGATCTAGTAGCGGTTTTCTTCGTATCCGTAGCCGTAATAGATCTCGTCTAAAAAGCGTATCTTATATAGCTAGCTCTAGTTATTAGCCTCGTTCTTTTATATCTCCTTTATAAAGTCGATACGATAGGAGGCTAATATATTATTAACCTCTTCCTTAGAGGCCGTAATATAGAACCGTATATCCCTATCCCTTAGTACCCTTTTTAGTATACTATTAGAGTAATTAGGTATCTTATACTCGTACCTTAAACTATCTAGCTTTTAATCGTGTCCTTCGTATTTATTATTATTAATTAGGCTGTCTATCTAATCCTTCTTTTCCTTAGAGATAATCGCCTTTTATCTACGTATTTCCTCCTTTTTAATCCTCCTATCGTAGCTATTAATAATTCGATTAATTATTGCTTAACTACGTCGAATCTACTACTCTAGTTTACGACGTATTAGGCTCCGTATAAGGCTATTAACCTCGCAAAATTTAGCGAATTTAATAGCTCCCTTTACTCTATATTTCGTAGGTATATCTATATAAGAAGGCATTGCGTAGTTATATAGTAATTAATAAAAGAATATAGCTTGGATTGCGACGAGGATTGCTAAGCGATCCGTTTATTTTAATACCAAGGGGCCCGGATACTTTGTCGCGGTTAAACATTCCCTTAATCGGCTCTGGGTCCGATGCTGCTTGAGACTGATGTCATCACTGATAATTGCCATGCACAACACTTCAATGCTCCAGTCTTTTATTCTTTTCTTCTTGTCTTCATCTAGCCTTTTCACCCTTCATCAACAACTCGAAATCAAGAACCCAATCCCATCCACAATCAAAAAATGTTCACGACAACCCTCCGCAGAAATGTCCTCGCCCCTCAAAGCTTCGCTCTGAGACAAGTCGCCATCCCTGCACGAAACTTCCAAACCTCATCGATTATCCGAAAAGAAATCGAGAGCAAAGACAGCATCAACACAGAAAGTAGAGAGTATTCCAAAACTGGAGGAGACGGAGCCGCGTCCCAAAAGACCGAAGACGCAGCTTTCAATCCTGACAAGACGAGACCTGAAGAGGAGCGGGAGAGTGCTAAGCAACAGAGTGGAGGGGTGAGTTTTGTGAAACTTGGAAAGAAAGAAAGACTGTGTTGAAGGTAAAAGGATAATAATGATGCTGATTGTTGTGTTTTTATTCAGGAAGAGAATGATCCGTTGAATGTTTCGCCTGCTAATCCGGATATATCCCAGGCGAGGGGAGCGCAGGAGGGTGGAGCTATGGGTTCGAAGAGTGAAACTGGGGAGGGGAGTGAGAGGGCGAGAAGTAGTGGTGGGGGAAGTCCGGCGAAGAGGGGGGGTGGGAAGAGTGGTTAAGATGTTGTTGGATTGGCTTTGGGATGTTCCAAGTGGTTTGCGAGTATGGAGAGGTAATGGGCTGTGAATGGATAGTGCATGGTTCCTGAGGGAGTTCCGCTTTAGCAGAACGTACAAGATTACGATTTGATGCTCTTCGAAGACGCGTCTCTTTTGTAGGTACTTCTGATACATCGATCCAGACAAAGGCAAATCGTGACCAACGTCCGAGACAGACTTGACTTGAAGTAGCACCTTGATACTTCCTTGTTGCAAGCAGCTGTTGCGTCGTGGATATCGCTGGATAATCTTAGATGCCCTTACTCCTCGTATGATTCTCTACTTCTCCATGATCCCATAAATACGAACGAGACAAGGGTTAAACGATTTCGTTCTGTATTGACATCTAATCGTAAATGCTAACCGTAAATGCTCCTCTCAAACCGCCAATCCTCGCCTCTCATACATAAATGCCRCTGATTTGCAATCCAACTCCAACAATGCAATGCAATGAGATGCCGTGAAAATCATGCTCAGACTCTAGTACTTGCCAGATCCAATACCGCCAGTCATAGGCGCGACAACGCTAGACCGACGACGCTCATCGATATCCACGACCGAGAGTCTCTTCTCGTCGTAGTGCACAGTCTGCACGACGCCTCCCATAGCCCCACCTTCAAGGGATGTAGCAATGACTTTCTCGCCCTTGACACGGAGGACGTGCCAGCCGCGTGTGCACCAGTGGTATCTAGAGCGAGGTAAGCAGATGTTCCCACATATCTCGGAGGATGGGGAGTTATATAGAGGTTTCGAGACGTGCTCTTTGCCTTCCATATTTCCAATTCGACTTACATGGCATAGGTCAGTACGGCCACGAACCCAACGGTTGGCACGATGTAGGAGATTCTGGTGTTGACATTGGTGGCAATTGCTCCCTGGATTGGAGGGAAGACGGCACCACCAGACACTCCCATGACGAGAATTCCAGCACCACCTAGAGCAAAGTAGGGAAGGTAAGCAAGTGTTTCGGATGACGGGATGCTGTATGGAGGTTTTGAGACATGCTCTCTGTCCCCCGTACTTCATCTTGACTTACGACGTGTGTTCTTTCCCAAGTTGGCGGTGCCGAGAGTGAAGATTGTCGGGTACCTGAATCAGAGTAAGTATGTCTCTCGGATGGCATATATGGCGTGGAGAAGCTGTATGAGGGCTCCGCCCACTTGTTTCTCACTTACATTGGGGCCATGAAAAAGAAGATGCTGAGGCTATAGTCAGTCACTGTGTCAAAAGCACTGGGCCATTCTGTTCATCAAACGTACCCTGCAAAAGATGTTAGCAATGTGGCAACCAAGAAGGGATAATAGTCGTATACGTACAGATCAATACACCCACGGCTGCTTTTCCTTGTCCTGCGGAAACGTACGCAGTCAGAGCGATAGCAATGCTAGAGTAGACAACCACTAAAAATGTGTTAGTGTTTGACTTGGCTATTGCACTTTTGGCCTTCTTACAGAGGAAGTTCGATTCGAAAATGACGGCTAGACCTGTGGCCACGAAGCGACCAACAGTGAAAACGACTGAAACCATATTAGCAAATGACCGAGGAAGGGGGATCTGTTCGTTATACTCACTCAGGCCATATGACAGCATCTGCGAGGCTTGAGAATCGGCATAACCGGCGTTCTCGTGAGCGTAGTTGATGAAGAAAGTTGCAATCTGAGAGGAAGTCAGCGTGGATCTTAGCAATAGGGGATAAGCAGAAGACTTCGAGACACGCTCTGAGCTTTCCACACTGAGTTTTACCCACCGTGACTTGGGAGCCCACATAACCTATAGAGTGAAGATGGAAGGTAAGCAAGTGACCTCTGACGGAAAGCTGCATGGAGGTTCGAGACATGCTCTATGCCTCCCATACTTCATGGTGACTTACAGAACTGGGCAATGAACCCGCAGATCATGTTCCACTCCTTGTAGATCGGCTTGTCGACGATAGCCACACCGTACTGTATGACACACAAAATTAGTATGACTGATATGAAAGATAATTGCAAAAAGATATTCGGTATTTACCTCTTGAACAAGAGTAATATCAGTGTTCTGATGAACACCAACATCAGAGTCTCCTCCAACGATGGATGCCGAACGGCCAGCGGCCTCTTCTGCGACTTCTGGGAGTTTGGCGAAGATGAAGAGAACGGCGACGGCGGCTCCAGCGCATGCTACAGCGAGGTAGACGTATTGTACGTTGGTGAGATCGTTCTCGTTGCCGCCTGAGAAGAAAGCCTTGGATGCAATGAGGGGGCCTATGAAGGAGGCGACACCATTCCATGACTGGCAGAACTGCAATCGGGCGGAAGCAGTTGCGGGATGGCCGACTGCGAGAAGGTTAATACCAGTCTTTGGAAAGGGGAAATGTTGTATTTTTTCATGGAGCACATACTAACGACGGCGTAGCTGTTTGCGCTAGTTTCAAGCGTCGCAAGACCACAAGCGATCTGTCACAGAAATGGTCAGCAAGCGTTCAATACCTTTAGAAGTTGATGGCTATAGACTCGACTTACGACGAAAGTACACGCCAGAAAGCCGCCGAACGAACGAAGATGGGTTTCTGGAGACGCGAAGTGCGCTGTTGGCCAGAACATAACAGCTCCGATCGAGTACAACGACAGTCCCATGAGAATCGTTGCCCTGTAACCAAAGCGCTTCATAACCTCGGCAGCAATTGGCGAAAAGAGGAAATACCTAGGAAGGGTCAGCGATGTCTGGCATATTATGTCGTGTGGGCAGAGACATGGCGTAGCTCGGAAGAAACCTTCAAAGTACCCCGTATGCCTTCTGCCCTTTAGTATCTTACCCTCCACCAAAGTACATGACCTGGAGACCAGTCGACTCAAGCTTCGTGATGCCCAACACATTCTGGAAGTGCTTATTGAGCACATCGAGCAGTCCGTAAGAGAATCCCCAGAGAAAGAATAGTGAGATGACCAGGCATAGCGGGAAGATCAATGCTCTTCCAGATAGATAACCACCTGAAACGGCAGGAGCACCGAACACGGCACCTCCAGGCATAGTTGTTGAAGGCGATTCGGGATTCGTGTAGTTGGATTCTTGCTCGTTCGTCCGAGGTGGCGACTCCAAGCAGTTGATCAACGTTCAAAAGACAAAAAGAGGATCTTGAAGCTGGCAACGAAAGACCTAGCTATGCAAGTATGCTGACGGACTCGCTGGATAGCCTTCACAACAGTGGGTATGACAAAAGTCTTTATAGATCAACTCACAATCTGCGCAATACACCAAGCAAAGCGACATCGTTCGCTGACTTCTCCATCTTTGGTCTTTGGACGTTAGTAAGGTTGACGCTACTGCAACAGTAGCGCCACCTAGAGGCATCGAGACACAACCCAGATGCACTCGTTAAACTCCAGAGGCGGGTTTTCTCACAATCGGCCCGTGGCAAGAACAAGGTTTGCCCCTCCACTACTACCCACAAGGCTATCCCATGGGGAAATGAATGGAGAGATTAGGCGATGAGATCTAAGCCGTGAGCGCATGCACCGCTGATTGGTATCGCGAGGTGTGAAGCACGCGACACCAGCGTCCAGCAGCGGTAGGTGTTCGGGAGCATTCCTTGTAGCGCCACTATTCAACCGCATGCTTATGCTCCTTCCGGCATCGTTTCGGCATAGTTACATAGGGCTGTGAGGCAGCATAGCACAGCAGTAGGAAGCTCACTCCGCGGCTGCTAGCAAAGTCACCGGCGTGGCTTCATACGGCTCCTTCTTCCATTCCTGTACTACGTCGGACGCACGAGTCCAGAGATTGGTGATAACCCAACTATGGTGTCACCCTCAATCATCTACGTATTAGCAAATCGTGAGCGGTGTCTCCGTTCCATGGCTTTTGGAGGCGGCCTGGGGACCTTCCAGACGGCAAGGCGCTTAACACGCTCTGCTCTGTTGAGACGCGAACGCCACGTTGCAGTGTACCTCGCATCCGTCGGCAACTTCAGGCTCAGCAATATCAAGCCCCTGTCATAGCTCGTAGCGACTGACGAGGTTGGGGATTGTGAAGTTTTGTGGAGGCGGCCAGATCGTGTGCACGAACGCCATGAAATCCCCAGACGTGAAGGTGCGGTCGGTACCGTGGTACAAGGAAGATGATCTCATTCGCGGTCCTCCAATAGCGTGATCGACGGAGTCTTGACCGCCTTCTAGTGTCCTTCTAGTGTCCTTCTATTCGGGCCTTCTGGGAGTTCTTGTGTGGGGATGGCTTCCCCGAATCGCCTTCAGTTGGCGGCTCGTCAGGACTGATAAGCATTCACGGAGTTTGAAGGCATCATGAGTCGAATCGCCGTCATCGGCGGCYCGACTTACTCTCGTACAGCATGATGCTGCTGTTCCTCGGTTGCTCTCGATCTTTCCACTAGACTTGTCGAGGCTTGGGTCCGTGAGCAATGTACAAGAGGACGCGAGGAGGAAACGCCTGACAACGCGTGGGCAGTTGTTGAGATACCGCCATACCCGTGTAGTACTCGATTTTTCCCCGAGCAGGCGCCCTATGGACAGGCCAGACCATCGAAAGTGTCAACGAATTTCCCCATCTTTTCTGGAGCTGACTCAGATGAGCTACGAAAAAGAAACGATGTGAAAGAAGAATCGATTACGACGGTGAAGTACCCAGTAGGAAAAGAGTTCAAGGTAAGGTACCTAGTTTTACAGCTGAGCCTGCTGTCTCATTGGCTCGGGGAGCTCCGGCGCTAGCTGAAGTCCAGAGATATAACACATCCTGCCTCCCCTCAACAATTGTCCAAATCCAAGGAGAGCTCAAGGGCGGAAAACAGGGCGACTTTTCGATCTCTCTTCGCGTGAGACCACTGATTGGCTCGGATATATCCGGCACTAGCTAAGGTAATTAAAACAGGGAGCAGCTAGCACTCCTTCCTCCATGACTTCGTTTTGGAGACAGAAAATGGCGGACTTCTCGAGAAAAGGGCGGAATTTCAACTCTCACTTTGCGTGTAAACACTACCTAGTAACAACATCACATTTTGCGAGCGCATTGGCTCGACAGCGCTCCACGGAGTTTCTTTCCACTGGATCTATAAATTCATGGGAATTGAGGTTTGCAAAGGTTTGTAATTGACAGGCAAATGCAGGAATCGCAAGCTTTTGTCATCGAATCTCTCAAAGTACTAGTATGGGCATCTTGTCGTCGCTGCAGCGCACAGATGATGAATTTGCATGAAAGTTCGCAGGTTACGCATGTTTATTGTACACCGTTCACAGCCCATCGGCTGGTCATCTATTCTCATGCCTTCGTCACCCATTTCAATGTGTCGCCTCATTGCTTCATCGACCTCTCACCAAGATAGCAGCCCCTTGATTCTCGATCCGCCATCCTTGATTCCTCAACGCCTTGCTCACAGCAGGACCAAGCTTGCCCTTACCGCCAATGCTATGCGTACCCAGACCAACGACAATCCTATATCCTGCCTGTCGACTCTCCGCACCCACACGGCCGTTGACACGGTTCTCCCCAAGACTCGCCCACCACTGCCCGACTCTCTCCTGCGCAATCCTAATGCCGTTCAAGACGTCAATCCCATGGAGATCCACTTCAGTCGAGGAGGATTGCCGCGCAGCCAATTGGTCAGCAGATCTTGCCGTAGCCTGCGAGGATAATGCGCTGAGATTGCGGCCCTCTTGGCTGTAGTATGCCGCAGCGCCACCCATCAATGGATTCGACCTCGATTTGCGGTATGCTGCCTGAGCTTGTTGAAAGGCATTTGCACGAGCAGCGTTGTACATGGACGCGTGGTCTGGCCCATTGGAAATGTCGTACTCGTGGTGTTCTATGGGAGTCGTCGGACGGCTCCTCCTGAGCGGCTTCTTCCAGGTCGAGTCTATGTCGTCCAGTACCGGCGGTGCATATCTGGGAATGATCTGGATACCCCCGGTAGCTGCTCTAGGACGAGCAGTGAGCTCCTTGGCAAGTTCATGCGCAGCTGCTGTGGAAGGGTGCGTCAGATGTATCAGTGCGAATATATGCTCATGTTCGATGGTTGGAAAATCCTGCTGGAGGTCGTATGCGTTGGCTACCAAGACAGGATCTTCGCGGTCTTCTGGACTGATCGTTTGCGAGCGTTTCTTGAGTATGGCAGTGATGGTCTTCGGCAGCGACGCTCCGAGGCTATTGTAGAGTGACTGTATCGACAGCAAAGACAGGCCGGTCCGGCTAGCCACGAATTCGACATCGCGACCAGATGTCTGCCACTTGTTTTCAACTGGCGATGATGCATCTGTTTGATGCGAACCATTTGATATTCTGTTGGCTTTTCTCTTTCCTTTGGCTTTTCGTCCCTTGCGATACCCGTTGTCTTCGAAGAATGCGTCAACGCCCTTGTTTGAAATCTTTACTCCGCCGTCGCTTTGCAGGAATTCGCCGATGCCGACCTGGGTGAGGAGTTCCTCCACAGCAGTGTCCCACTTTCCATTACACTTCTGGAGTGCATGTCGTACGGTGTGTGGAGTCGCCTGGTCCTTGAAGACCTCCAGCAGAAGCGTCACTTTGGTCTCTTCGTCCATTGTATCGAAGTCCACGGGGTCCCAATCGGGAGTACGCGTGCCATCTTGAGAACTGTCGCTCAAGTCCAATCCACTCAGACCATTCGACACACTGCTCATGTCCGTCTCCCGGAAAGACGTTGCGCTTCCCTCCAGCCGCGAGGACTTTCGCACTTCCTCCTCAGAGACATCCCCTTCGAATGCAGTGCCAGAAGGATCGAATTCGGCATTTTCCTCTAACAAGGCAGACTCTCGTAGCTGGTCCAATAGAACTGTCGCGTCTGCTGTATCACTTTCCTTGTTGAGGTCGTAGTCGGATAGAATCGAAAATAAAAGAGCGGGGTCTAATGGAGGACAGTACTCTGCCTGCATGCATCGGTTCAGGTGAGGGTCAGGTCATCGCGAAATGTGAGGTTCACGTACCTCGAACTTTGCGGAAGCCTCATCCATGCTCGACAACCTGGGGGGATGGCACGACCGGCGCACAGAATTTCATACTGCTAATAAGCAGTAAATCATTAGTATGATGTACGGGAATGTTTTGGTGTGTGTGTTGAAGATGCATGTGGTTCCTAGGTGTTGGAGACCGTACAGAGGAGAAATCGAGTAGCCTGCGGCCGAGGACGAAAACATTCAGGTACAATTAATGACGCGGTCGAGATTGTTATGCAGATTGTGCGAGGCTCTGTGGACCGTGCACGATAACGATAGCATGCACAACTTGCACAAATTCTCTTCCATCTTGCAGCAAGAAGCATTACATCGACTGAGACTGCAATAGCAAGATGTAGGGAGGCAAAGCAGAAAGACATTGTGGGAATGATTGAGGTTGTCGTCATTAACCATCATGAATCATTTTGCATCAGCACGCAAGCGTTCGGGGATATAAGCCGTCTATCCAGATAGTAAGACAGTTTTACAACAACAAACTCGCTCAACCACAACACCCCGAGCTGCCATAATGACTTCCCAATCGACCATTGACCCAGACTCACCATATCTGGTGCCTTTCTTCAAAACAGATGGCTCCCAAACCGAATCTGCGAATCTCCAAGCCATCATGAAAAAGTTGAATATGCAGAATCACCCAGAGGGCGGCTACTTCGTCGTAATCATAGACGCAGATCTTGAACAGTCTTCCCGAAAATCTAACATCGCTGTAGGAGACTGATCGCAATACCACGCGTGTACCAAACCCCTTCGGTGATAAGAAAGGAACGCGTAGTAGCTCGACTTCCATCCACTATCTTCTCACTCCCAAGAGCAATTACGGAGGCTTCCATCGAAACGAGGCCAGGACTGTCCATACTCTTCATAAAGGACGAGGCCGATACGTACGATAGTCTGGGTGGGTTTTTCGGGACTGCTGTTGCTGACTTCGATCTGCTAGGTCATTATACATGCAGATGAGGTTGCCAGCAAGGACTTTCCTGGTGGTTATGGAAAGGAGAGTGCTTCCGAGAGTGAGAGATGGGTAAGCAAAGCACGAGTGGAAACTTTCATCGTCGGACAGAATGTCCTTGCGGGTGAGAGGTTGCAATGGTCGGTCCCTTCCTGCAATGGATTCCAATTGCCATCGCTGATCTTGAAGTAGGATTGTCGAAGGTGGGAAGTACAAGTCCAGTTTCCTGCTCCCCGACGAGGACGGCGGGAGCACCAGCGAAGGCTTGTTGATCTCTGAAACTGTCGTTCCAGGCTTCGAATTCGAAGACCACGACTTCATGAAGGTCGACAGGATGGARGCGCTTGTCACGGCCGAGCAGGCAAAGGAAATGAACTGGATGCTGAACAAAGATGCCCAGTAAGGCCTTTTCCCGTAGAGGCCTTTCGTCCCGAAAAGAGACGGATGCTCCTTCTAATGTGTCTCCCAATCGATCAATCAATCATATACATACATAAAAGTCATCCCAGCTCAGCAGGCACTCAGTGTGCGGCGAGCAATGTTCCCAATAACGCCTCCGCTAAACCTCCATTTGATCTGGCACCAATGCAAATCGCTAATCCTTCATCCCAAATCATTCACATGCCATTATTCCATGACTGGTATTCAGTCGTCATCTTATCAAGTCATCTTGCTTTCGTCGTCHCAAAGCTCCCACAACGCCGCAACGTTTCTGGTGGGAAGAAGTTTATACATCATCTCCGCTCGTTGTTGATGTGCCCACAGTGCCTCCTCCTACGCGACCGAGAGAGGTCTGAGCCCAGTATATCGCAAAGCCGATGAGTCCTAAGACGACGAAAAGGACGATGATGATCGTGAAGACGACAAGGTTGCCTTGCATGTTGGCGGTGGTCGATCGAAGGTCTGGAGTGGTTGTAGGATGATGTTTGGGGGTGTCGATGTGATTGACGGGGATAATGCTTTGAAAAGAGCTCGGTGTCTTGGATTTCGCAATTTGGTATCGTTGTTGTTGATGTGTAGATCCAAAGTTCGTCAAGCGTCGATGGTAGGCGAGCTTTAGGATTGCGATGGACTGATTGATGACAGGATGTTCGTTGTAACAACTTTACAAGGTCTCAGGCAGCAAGATATGTTTGGATGGAGAAGACGTTGGATATGGAGCAACGGTATTTTTGCGATGCTGCTTGTTTTGTTCCGTACCTGAACAAATTCTAACAAGTGGCTGGCGAGGGGAGGCTGGGAAGGCTGGATCGCTTACAATGCGCGACATCGTCAGTCGTCGATGGCGACAGGGGCTTAACCGTTTAGATTGCATCGCATAATATCCGTATAGATGCCTTCAAGTGCTGCAGGTCTGTACCTTATCCTCGCTGCTCAAAGTCATGTCGTTGATGCAATGCATGATGAAAGATGGTCGATGAACCAGGACCAGGGAATCGTGAGGCGTGGCACGGGCCGGCGGCGGCACTTGATCTGACTTTCGGCTGCGTGACGTCGATCATTTTGGTTCTGGGCTGGACTTATCTTGATTGTTCGGAAAGTTAGCGCCTTGCACTATGCAGCTGGCACGGCCCGGTAATGTCGCTATTACCGTGATTAGCTAGTAAGCAGCATTTTAGAGCTATTATAAGGTAATACCGTTATTTTATATTTATTCTAAAAGGTATACTAAGGCTCTAAGCCCTCTACCTTACTTTAATAATCTTTTACTATATCTAGTAATATCTATATATAGCCGGAGCGGCTGCCTATAAGTATTAGTATTTATTTTATCTTTATCCTTTTATTATGTTCTTACGCTTTATAAGATATTATTAAATTACGGATTAAACCGTCGCGTTACGGAGCTTAATATATTATATATACTATCCTTAATCCTTTACTAACCTTGCTACCTTCGAGTACGCTATAAACAGCGTTTCGAACGTATATATTAAGAAGCCGAGCCCTCGTACGAAGGATAGCTTAACGTAGAGGTCGTATCTATATTATCGCTATTATTAAGATATAGGGAGGGAGCGGCGGTAGCCTAAAGGTATCTATAAGGTCGAATATTACGAGGCTCCTTATAATACGGCCCTTATTATAATACGGAGGTTTCGTAGCTCTAGTACGAAGGAGCTATTTAAGGTAGAGGTAAAACGACATATTATTAATACTATAGCGGACGGTATCGAGCTATATTACTATACGCTAGAGTATATAGATATCCGCTTTACTAACCTAGTATTAAAGAACGCCCTCGAGTCCCTTATATATACTAATAACTTAAACGTTATAGCCGTCCTTTACGCGGTTAAAAGCGGCTCTCTAGCGGATGTTTTTAGTATAATTTGCGGTAATATAGTTAAGGCCGGAACCGTCGCTTAGTCGAAGAAAAAGCGTAATATTCGTAAGGCTAGCATAGCTTAGCGTAATAGCGTAAGGAAATAGCTTAATAATTTAGACCGTAATTTAGAGGAGTTAACGGATAGCGTAGATAATACGCTACTATAATATAAATTAGTATAGCCTTAGGTCGATAGCGAGAAGTAGAAGGGTATTATCTTTTAGGCTATATAGTAATAGTGTCTGTTAAATAATAGTAAGGCTAGTAATATACGTACTTAAAGGATAAAGGAAGAGTAGAGCTATACTAGCTCTTAGAGTTAGTATTTAGGTAATAGCTAACTTCTTTCTTTTAATATTAGCTCTTCTTACTTAATAGTACTTATAAAACTACTAACCTTAATTAGATACTATTTACTATATATATTCGTAATAACCTTAGTAGCTAGCTACCTACCGGCTATCTTATACTCTAAACGTAGAAAGCGAAGCTTATTTAGTCCGGCCTCTAAGTACTTAAAAAGTAGTATCTAAACTAGAGCCCTTAGATAGCTATTTATAAGGGTAAAGATGTAGTAATATATTAGACACCCGTAATTACTCGATTAGAGATAAGACTAATTCTTATAGGTTAAATATGCG